AGTACTCCATCAGTTGCACCCCCTTCTATTCCAAAAAACACTGGCTACTCTCCTTCCTCAAACTCCCCTTCTTTGCCCATTGCAAAGGCATCTGTTGGACATGGTTCAAGTTTAAAGCAGCCAGTTAATCCTCTGGTTTATTCATCTCAGCCCTCTGTGTCCACCGAAAGCACTGCATGCCCTCCATCCCAAACCTCCAAAACTAGGGATGAGAATGAGCCTTCAAGTTTGGAAATGAAGATTCATAATTTTTTGAAAGGCAATCCTGGTTTTAGTGGTTTAGATTTGAACATTCCTATTCTTAGTGGCTTAGGTTCCACCACCTTACCAGAGCCCTCTCCTGACTTTCACCGTGCTCCCCCAAACACTTCTCTGGAAAATGTTGATGGGACACCTGTTAGGGATGAAAGAAGTGGGACACCAACTCAGGATGAGATGATGGACAAGCCAGTTTCAAGCAGTGTAGACACTGTGTCCTTATTGTCTAAAATAATAAGCCCTGACTCTTCTACTCCTAGTAGTTCGAGATCTCCACTTTTAAGCAAGGAAAGCGAGTTTCAAAAGCTGGCTAGCTTGCCCGCTTATAGGTCTTTCAGTCTAGGTGGAAATTCTCCCAATGCCTATCTGCAGTCTTCAGATACATTAGAGAGCACTCAACCAATTGATTCCCCACTGGATAAGTTTTTTTCAGAATCTGCATTTCATGAGGATGAGGACTACCGTGACTTTGAATATTCTGGTCCCCCACCGGTGGCTGCTAGTGGTCTTGAAAAGATGCCTTCCAATCCCATTTTAAAATCCACTGGCCTTTTAGAGCCTACAGACTATAAACAAGGACCACCCAATTTTGGTCCACCACAAGACTTTGCTAGGCAGTCCTTCCCCCAGTCTATGCAGCCTCCTTTCAAGTCTGCTGAAAGTTCTGGGCGAGTGTCCCCATCCTCTGAGCTATACGGAAGCTACAATTTAAGAGGGGGTAATCTAGAAGCTGATCGATCACCATCACTGCAGAAGGATGAGCCATTTTTCCCTCCAGACAGTCATAGTTTAACAGGATTGCATTCGGGTTTATCAACATCTCATTATTTAGATTCTCCTCATACTCTTCAAAATAGACCACCTAACTTTGCCTCTAAAAATAATCTTTCCTCCAGACCCCCAATGTCAAATATGGAACAACCAGGCTCTGCTGTATCAGCCTCTACTACAATGGAATTTAAGACCATGCTTAAAAATGCATCTCGCAGACCCTCTGACGAAAGTCAGTTCAGCCAATCAAGCTTAAATGAGGACATTCACATGTCTGGCCTCAGCCATTCTGGGTTGTCTTCTGACGAGAGACCACGTCAAGAGGAGCATTATCGAATAGAAACAAGAGTTTCATCATCTTCTTTAGACCTTGGAGATAATGTGGAAGAAAAAGGAGCACCCATAGAAACCTTGGGATATCACAATGCCGGCAACATGAGTATTTCAGGAGAGCCTATTAAAATTGTAGAGTCTGTAAGAGTGGGAGTGAAAGGTAACAGAGCACATGGTATAGATGGTAATAGAGGGGGTTGGTTTGAGATGGGGAGTTCAGGTAGCTCATTTGATGATTGCCCCTCAAGTGCTGATGAACAGGCTTCATTAAGTGGTAGCGGAGTATTTAAACCACAATTTGAAGAGCACGTACCACGCTTTCCAGACACAGTTGGTGACTTCCGTGCAAAGAATATGCCACCTTTTGACCATCATGTGCCACCTCCATCCATGGTTCCTCCATTAGAGCGAGGGGGGCCTTTTCAAATTGAACATGCTGGCCCTCCTTCTGTACCACCTCCAGGCTTACCTGGTGATCATGGAAGTCTCTTTGGTAGAGACATTACTGTGACGGCACGCATGTCCTCTATGGAACCTCCCAATCCTTTGACTCATGGTCCGCCTCAGCCACCGCCACCTATAGAACATGGAATGAATCCATTCCCTGGGCATCCTCTTCCAGAGCATGGTACCATACCATTTTCGCCACCTCCCCGTCTAGATATGCGTCACCCATTTTCACAGGACCATGGTACTCTTCACCAAGGAGCAATAAAAGAACATTATGGTATGCATACAGGTTCGACAAGAGATCACGGACCACCTCGTGACCATAATGGCCCACCTCATGCTAGGCTAAATGAAACAATGGCACCTAATTCCAGGGACCACCATGGACCCCATAGCGGCCCTCCACGTCATCCTTTTACACATCATAGAGACGATATGAATCCTGGTGGGGTAAGACATCATAGGCCACCGTTTAGGCCTAGGGAACCCTATCACAGTTTAAAAAGACCACGACCACCGTTTGGACGGGGTCCTCAGTTTTTCTCTCCAAAACGACCTTTTTATCCCCCTAGGTACTGACCTAAAATTATAATCGCAAAAGAAGACATTAAAACTGTTTGTTTTCAAGTCGTGGCATTGGTTTTTGTACTTGTCTTTATTAGCCCATGCTAAGATGGTGACTTTTGCATTTAAACCAGTGACAAGCTGAAAAAACCCAAATAAGTTAATTAACTTTATAGTTCAATGCCACAGGTTATAATGTAGCTGAAACAGGTCAGACCGATTTTTATAGGGGAAAGGCTAAAGTAACATCCACCATTTAACTAACCAACCACATGACCGATTCGTATAAACTATTCAAACCCTCATTCGTTCAATGTCTCATTAAGCATACATGGATACAAGTCGTCCCTGAGTCACCATACTAAAGTCAATGTACGGAATCAGTCTGTTCCTGCCAGTGAAGATTACCAAGGCTTTCTCAGTGCTTTCTATATTACAGATAGGTGAGTTACAGAGGGAGTAACAATGAGCTCAATATCTTCAGGTTACATAATGGAGTCTGTTTTACTTTTTTTTTTTTTCTCTCTTCAATAAATGTTTATTTCTCAGCCTGTTAACACACCGTGCCCACATTTTGTTTCTCTACAAACCTTGCCGCCAGCAGGAATCCTGCTCAAACTGCAGCTTGCAAGCTTCACCTCTGCACCGGGCCTCTCAGAACTTAAAGTCGACTGAGATATATAATGCAGCCTGTGGTCTTCGGAGCGCGAGACGGATAGTGAACACTTGGTGGCATTAAATACTTCCAAGTTCCTCCTGTCGTAGTGTGTGTTATTAGCTTTATAAAAATGAATGAAGTGTTCTGTCATCAAATGACCAACGTAGTTGAAAGAGTTTAAGTAAAACACCACCTAGATGTTGTTCCCTTGCTAATCACCTCACATCTCATAATATTCATTCAGTTTTAACTTGTGTCATAAAGATTGTTATTCTGTGCCCTGCATTATATGCCTATTACTCATCCCACTCCCCTTTTCTTTTTAACTTTATTTTGTAATCTCTTGTGCAGAATAGAGATTTGTTCATGTTTTGTTTTTTTACATTGAGTGGAAATTTAACTTAACAATAACAATCCATCTGATAGTCTCGATCCCGCCCCTCCCTGCTTGTTTCCACCAAACGGCCTGTTTGCACTTCAAACCTTGGATTTTAGGGGGAGGAATTCTGGATCTTTGTCCTTTGCAATGTTCTGTATGTACATAATGAAGTAATTGTGTAGTTTTATGTATAATATACAGTAGGGCTTTCATGAAGAGCAGAGTAGCTGGTCAAATGTTGACTTGCCCTTGGCACCTGCTGGATGAAAAAATAAATGAGTTCAGCACATCTTGCACAAAGCTTATTATTTCACATCCTTAATTATTTTATACCTTGCAGCGTAGCACCAATTCTCTGGGCACCCAGTGCAAATATATTCAACAGCAGCACTTTCTGTCTAACCAATCTCTCTATTGCCATTCTACTAGCGATTTACCTATTTAACATGGCATCAGAGTAAGATAACCAAATGTGTGCATGTTTCTCCCCCAATCCCCAAAAAGTGAAAATAAAGCCAGTTTATGTTCTGTAGCAACTTTTATACACACTAATTCTGCTTATTGCAGAAACGTACTGCTTTCTGGGGGTAAGGGGCTGCTTGCACTGTGAATAACCTCAAAGCTGTGACCTTGTGTACAAAGATACTTGCCCATGGTTATTTTGGGATAGCCTTTTGTGTTGGTTATATTGTACCCAGAAACTCATTAACTCTGCGTTCATTGAAACATATCTGAATAAAAACACAGGACTAATGGTCAAATAGCCAATTCAATATTTAAAACTGGCTGGAGACTTGACCAGCAAAAAATTCAAAGGGGCAACCATTTTGTTTGCTATACAACTCTGCAAGTTATTAAACACACAGACGTCCTTTAATGTTCTGAATGCATGCTCACTTAACCCATGTTCTAAAGTTGGAACAAAGTCTCTTTAATAGTTTGAGAGTCAAGCAAACATGCTTTGTGTCGTTATTTTTTTTCTTGGTCCCTTCTGTTTTGGTTCTTTTGACTGAATCTGCTGTATTCAGTTTTTGGAGACGTAACAGAATATTTACTGTCCATTTTAAGGGCTGGTCTGGACAAATCTATGAAGCCATCTGTGAGGTCTCCAGGGTTTCAAGCTAACAAAACAAATAAAATCTGAATTGTAGCAGTTTAATCGCTTTCACTTTAATGACCAGTAGACTGACAAATTGTACAAAAGAGGTGTAGACCTCACAGGTATAACATGTTAGTACAGGGCTGAACTGTACCACAGATACAGATGTTGGGTTATTTTTGAAGGGTGACTAACATGGATGTTAGAATGATTCTTGCTGTGATTAGTTGTTTTTTATTTTCTTTAATGATGCTCTGTTCTGACCTGCAGCTGCACTTTATACGCCGGCTGTTTTGGTCTATACATTGTTTGCAAAAGGAAGAATCTAGGTATCTTACAGGGTTACACAGGCTGAAAAGAGACCTGTGCCCATCAAGTTCAGCCTTTCTCACATCTGTTTTTTTGATGTTGATCCAAAAGAAGGCAAAAAAAACCCCAAACACAGATTGAAGCGCTTTCCAATTGTGCAACGAGGATTCCTTCTTGACGCCAGAATGGCAGTCAGATTTATCACTGTATCAAGAAATGTGTAAATTGTAAACCAAAATAGCTGAATATGTGGTAGAGAATTTTCCATTTCATTATTTTGGCCTAGAACTCGAGGGTCACTTTTAATTCCTGACAGTTTACACTTAACTGAATAACCCAGTTTATGCAAATCTGCAATTTCCCTCCTCATGGCCCTTTAAAAACATGGCCGCCTGCGATTGTGAGCAGCTGCACATGTAGCCACATGACACTTAAGTATAAATTTCTGACAGCCTTCTTAAAGGAAAAACATATGTAAACATTCAGATCTCTAGCATAGCTGATTTGCTAGTACACTGTATAGATTATCTTCTTGAAGTGATTTATCAGCCATATGTTTTGTATATACAGAGTCCTGTTAATGTAATCCCAGTATAGTATAGCTCTCCTCTATACGGTTTTACTTTAAGGGATTTCCCAGCCCCATCCATAACTATATGGATAACTGGAGCAGGTCAGAGCATGTTCTTTAAGTGTATAATTATGCCTCAGTGTATGAAATAAGAAAAATACTGATCTGGCATGTCAAACTGTGGTCCCGGTGTACATCTTTTATGGTTCTTCAACTGTATAATATTTAAAGGAACACTAGAAGCATCAAAACAACTTTAGCTTAATTAAGCAGTGCTTGTGTATAGATCATGCCTCAATTCACTGAGTTAAATCACTGTTTCTGTTGATGCAGCCCTAGCCACACCTCCCCTGGCTGTGACTGACACAGCTTTCAGTCACATGTTACTTGCCTTAAAGGGATGCTGCAGTGCCAGGATATAAAGCAGTGTTCCTGGCACTACCGATCCCTCTGCGTCCCGTTCCCCCCACCCCCCTCCCCCCCCTTCCCTGCTGGGTAAATAAAAGGTTAAAAACCCTTTACTTCCCTTATCCCAGCGCCGATGCTCTGCTTCGAGAGAGAGCAGCTAGAGGTGGAATTGGCTCTGTAATCAAAACACTGCTGTCTCTCCAAAATCGCAGTGTTTTGAATAACAGGGCTAAGGGGTGAGGGGCAAGGCTCCTAGACCACTCCAATGAGCTGAAGTGGTCTAGGTGCCTGGAGTATCCCTTTAAAAGATTTTATCCTGCACTGTAAATGGAATGTTTAATTACATACAGGAGCTCTTGCAGGCTTTAGCAAGCTACTAACAGAGCAGGAGATATGAAATTCTAAATTAAACAATTTGCAGTACAGGAAGGATAAACATTGGATGACTTTACAGGAAGTGTTTAAAACGGCTATGTAAGTTACATATAAGGAGGTGTGGCTAGGGTAAACAAAGTGATTTAACTCCTAAATGGCAGAGAATTGAGCAGTGAGACTGTAGGGGCATGAGCTATACGCCAAAACTGCTTCATTAAGCTAAAGTTGTTTTGATGACTCTAGTGTCCCTTTAAACCAATCACAGGATTGCAGGCAGCTAGGGGGCACAGTTTTACACTCCTAGTTCTGCCATGGCACCAGTACTATCTCAAATTCAAGGCAAATTATTCTAAGTGTTCCAACCTGTGTATCAAGTACTGCGTATGGATTGATATGAACAGCCAGTACACACTGCATTGAAATAAGGTGCTTTTATTCACCCCCTTTATATCTTCCACATTACACAAATGTCTATAGGACTCCAGCAAGAATGCAGAAGACCTTGATTAGTATTCATTTGTTTTTTGTCATGATGCCTGTTGCGTGGTTTGTAAAACCACTTGGCACTTTACCTCCAGCAGGAAGGCACCCACTTCTAAAAGGAAGTCTGTTTGGATGGTTTAAAGGAAATATACCTGTCAACAAGTTTTATAGGGGCCTAGTATTGGCTTAGAATTCTGCCATTTGGACAACGGCTGAGTAAGTTCGCATCATTTCAGCAAAAAGACATTCAGAGATTAAAAACGTATTGCTTAGAGACACTCCAGGCTCTAAAGCACTTTAGCATGTTGAAAAGCTTTGTGTGAAGAATGTGTACTCCTCTTAATTTTGCAAAAAAGTGCAGATTTCAGTCGAAATTGACACAATTATAAATTAGCTTTGTAACACCTTGGGGTATATCTACTAAAACAGGGCTTTTGTTTTATTTATTTTGTATTTGGGCGGTGGAGTGTCCCTTTAAAGGAATTATATTGTGTAAGCGCTACGGAATCTGATGGCGCTATATAAAAAAAAATAAGGAATAGAAGGTTGTATTCCTTACATTATAGTTCCCTCTGGCACACCGCCTTCTCCATTGTCACCTGATTTGGGGGGAGGCTTATGCGCAAGCACATTGTGATCTCCCCATAGGATAGCATTGCTTCTGTGCTTTTCTATAGGGATTTAATTAACTAATGCTGGATGTCCTCATGCAAAGCACGAGGACGCTCATAAGTCACCTAACCACCAAAAAGTGCCTTTAGTGGCTGTCTGATCAAAAACTGCAATGATTTACATTGCAGGACTAAGTGGGACTGAGACCCTGTACACGGACCACTTCAATGAGAGAAAGTGATCTTTGTGCCTTTACTGTCTCTTTAATAGCTGAATCTGATCCCCATTTAAATACATACAATAAAAACATTCACCTTTTGAAAGTTCTGTATTTGCTGTGGGTTTTCCCCAGAGTCAGGGGTTTCTGGGATTTGTAGTTAATTGGTTGCATTCTCCTGAAGGCTGTACAGGATGGAGCCAATCTGGACACACCTGGCTTAATACATAACCTAAAAAGATGAATGAACTTTTTCATTCAAGTTGAAGCTGCAGAATAGCTTCTAATACATGCAGTTAATTTTTCCCCTTTTTACTTTTATACAAACACTGGGACTGTAGAGGGATATGGAAAAGCACTTTGAGTGCAGTATACACTAAAACGTCAGCACTGCAGATTTGGCAGGAGAGAAAGGAGAATTGAAGACTCAGCATACGCTCTTGCTAGAAGCAAGGTCAAAGCGTTCTAAGGCGCAATTGTTTATGAAGCTGTAGAGCGGTCTGGTGAATAGTTATATCTTGGACTGTTTGTAGTCAAGCATAATGTTTAGACTGCATAATAGACAGAACTCTGAAACATCCGTACTATTTAAATTGAAACGTGTGCGTCAAATTATAGAGTTAAACGTCACTAGATCTACATATTGCTAAAATGCATACAGTTCGAAAGGCTGAATTATCAATCCAGGATAGAACCTGGCTTGGATGGTCAATCGCCCCTTTATGGCAGCTCTCCTGTTGGATCACACAGTTTGTTCAGGTTGTTGGGCACTTATTGACTATGTGCATCATGCTTGCTGGGCTGTAGGCTGAACAATTCACGGCCTGCTTCCAAGGCAAGCCGTTTCAATGCTGGATAGCTTGACCTAGCTGCAGTGATTCGAGAGGAGAGCTGTCCTAAATGATTTACAGGAAAAAAAAAAAAAATTTTTTTTTACATGCCCTGTCTAGTGCCCACTTTATTTTGGAGAACAGTGGACGCCATATGTCTGCTTTTTTTTTTTTACTAAAACCTTGATGGTCACCTCCTGCAGCAGTATTTAATTCCAAATACTATTACTAAGTAATAAGAAATTACTGTTTTAGATCTGCTCAGATTAGCAAAAGGCTATTTGAGAAAATACAATTTGAAGAAAGATTTAATTTTTTTAAATGTAAACTTATGAACAATCAGCAGTATCCGGATTACGCAAACACTTCACTTGTTTCTTACAATAGTAAGGTTCGTTTCCAGCTACCCTGGGAGTCCTAAAGATGCTGTGCTTTTAGCCAATTATTGTCCACGTTTTATGTTTCTGCTGGTGTAACAAGCTGTGATCTGCCCTCCTACAAGAAAGGCAGAATATTGGTGATCCCAAAAAAAAAGTAAATTTATATGCAAACATAGACATAAACATATACGTTCTAGATTTATGTGGACTAGGCCGTGTCTACCATAAAGCCAGATGTACATTGTAGACATCAGTAATGGTAACATTGAGTTGTGCCCCATTCATGCTAGAACAATGTCCATTCTACTGAAAAGATTTGCACTATAGCACTGTGGTCTTGCTATGGGAGTTCCGTGAGTCTGTTAGACTCATCCTGGCTTCCCGCCTGCATTCAATTCATTCCAAAGATTTATTTTAAAATGACGCACCATGCACAAAAAGCATTGTAGCTTGCAGAGGAGCATCTCCCCTAAATCTTAGTATATAAAAGTGCTGATTTCTGTCTTAAATCATAATTTTTTATAAATACTGTCAGAAACTCATCCCTGATTACAGGGAGATATTCTTCCTTGTCTGTTGGCTCCAAGAAGCTATTGGACGTGGCAGCCTTGTTCTGGTAGAGCTCACCTTTTCTCCCCCCTGCACAATCGTCTTTCAATGAGAAGCCTCTGATTGGAGTAGTCTCCTGGGCCTGTGTTGGGCGGGGGAAACGGGGATGGCTTGCAAAGGCTGCAGACTTTTATTTTGGGTGTGTGTTTTTTATATTTGTATTTGTAGGAAGAGTTAGCGTTTCCTATATAAATCCACTCCTCAATCTTACCTGTGCCACACTTTTCAGGTCATCTCACCCTTCTCCTTTCTATTTATTTCCTTGGGGGGGTGGGGCCCTTTTCATTTACAGGCCTATTAATACGTCGGTTTCGGCACACCACTGGCGCCTTGTTTGATCATAAATATTATGAGAGCGAGAGAGCGTGCTGTTTTAGATATAGCCTCACTAAACAAATGCATGTTTTAGGGTTATAATTTATGATGTTGAAAAGAAATACAAAAAAAAAAAAAATCATCATTGAAGTGTTCCTTTAACGGATTGACATTGTCATGAAAACAGGAAAAAACCTGATGTCCTTTCAAAAGAGCCTAAGGCCTAGCAGAAAGCCTGTATCTACCAATTCAATAGGTGCCCCTATGCAAGCAGATACCAACTTATTACATCCAAACACCGATATCTCTCAGAACGCCCCATTCTGAAGTGTGAACCATATCTCCAGAGAGAGTGCCATCACTGCAGCAGAATCCGTAATCTTAATACCACTCCAGCAAATGACAGCCATCATGCATATTGACTTTATGCTACAGTGCTGCTTGTAAGCCACAACTTAAAACTTCAAGTTCTGTGCTACTAATAGCCAGACCTTAAAATGTACTTGCCTCTGCAAGCCTGGAGAGTGCACGCACACTTTGTTTGCCCTGGATAAACAGTCACTTGTGAATGGCTGTTGGGCATTTTGTACCCAAGTCTAAGCCATGGCAATCCATTTTCTAAACTCCTTAACAGTAGAGATAGCATTGCTTCCAGATGCAATTTGGAGTTCCGTGATAAGTTTTGTCCAAGGCCAGAAATTCATGTTCATATGGTCTATTCTAAGAGCTGATGTGGCCTGTCATTGTTTAATTGTGTGCTTCCACGTCACAACAGCAGCACTTTGTTGTTGGAAAAGCCTTATGTCTGAATCATTTTAATACACCAAGCTCTTTTGACTGTGCCATTCTACAACCAATGTTTCTATATGGACGTTCTCACTGTGCCTTTAAACACAAAAAATATCCATTATCACTGAGTGATCAAATACTTTTTGAAAATGCATCGTAGCATCTATTAGTTAAAATTGGAGGATATCAGATCCTTTTCTTATAGTAAAAAAAAAAAAAAGTTGGTGCCCATCCCTTGTGTTTTGATTTTTCACCTCCTGCAATAAATGTGAGGCCAGTCGTACGTCACAGCTTGTAAGTGCAGCAGTGCACTGAACAGTCATTTAAAGTATTCTAAGATGGCGGCCGGCAGACAATTATTTTAAGAAAAAAGTGAACTTTGTTAGCAGTACTGGATTATTAATTGTTAGAAGCGGGAAAGGCTTAAGTAAAATACAACTTTTAAACTATTTTCATCTCAAATACTATCCTCCTCTTCTGCATTTATCAAATACAGAAGAAGAAAAAAATCTCTTTCATGTGTGGAGTGGCCTATGTGTGTTTAAATACTGACTGTATGGGGAAGGGGCAAGACTGATTTCTTGGAAATTAAAACTTGCTTAATACAGTACATGCCCACTACACTTCATATAAAGTACACCTCTCTCTTTATATTTTTTACTTTTGATCTTTACCCCACCACCCCCTGTTTCTTTTATGTAACAGGCCAACGGGCAGCACCTATTCTCACACCCGCTTCTCTAATTTATTTATTTTATTTTATTTATTTTTTTGCTCACCATTGAATGATTCTTAAAGGGACGACCTAAGCACAATAACCATTTCCGTGACTTTTGGTGGAGCACACGGCTGCAAAATATTGCTCAAGTCTGCATTCACTTACTGTATCACAGTGCAATCCTGCATTGCATACAAATTTTGGAAAATGTCTGAGTAAGACAGATCAGACTAGAGGGACTGCACCCACGAGCATAGAAGAGCCATAACTGCTGTAATGAACTGTTTCAAGATACGAGACCTGAGACCTTTTCAGGTTTAATCCATTCTGTAAATACTAGCTAGTTATTATTACTCTATTGATTTCATGCAAGATTAAAGCTGAAAAGGTTCTCTTATCGTAGTCTAATAGGTTGTGTGTTTGTGAGTTTACAAGCTTGTAATGATTGCACAATACAAGCATTTTAAAAGCGTAAGCCACATTCATTTTTCAGTTACTAGTTAGGGCCCAAAATAAACACATGGCCTGTTCAGATGTAACCCTATTTTAATTTTTTTTTTATTTTGGAAGACTACTAAAAACAGGTTAATTATATTTAAAAAAGGGAAAAAAAAACCACAAGGCTGTTTAACGTTCTATATTTTATCTACATTTTGAAGTGATACAAATTAATGAAGGGGGAAATAAATGTAACTGTTTACAAAAAGGTCTGTGCCTGGTTAACTTAAAGAAATGATTTAACCATTTTTATTGGGTTTATTCGAAGGCAGCTATTACATTATATTTTACATGTGGTGTAAAAACAAGCACTTTAATTAAGCAGGAACAATAAACTTATATGACCGTCTTGTGTGTTAATATGTATATAAAATATGTGGTAAAATGAAGAACACTATTTTTATAAATTGTTTTACCATATACAAGTTTTAGATTAGGAAATAAGATCTAGATTTATTCCCACTAAAACAGAAGAGTAAATTCACTGCAGCTATATACAGTACATTTGGAAAGTATCCGGTAACATATGTTGCAGCTTTATGCTACAATTGTTTACATTTTATAAATATATTTTTCTCCTCACATCAATTTGCACTCACAATCAGGCAAAGATTGGAATTATATTAAAAAGAAAATATTGAAATATCACATACATGAGTATTCAGACCATTAACTCAGTACTTAGTTGAAGCACCTTTGGCAGCAATTACAGCCTCAAGTCTTTTGGGGTATGACACGACAAGCTTTGCACCCTTGGATGTGGCTAGTTTCTTTCACTCATAAGATCCTCTCAAGCTCTGTCAGGTTAGACTTCGCCCTTCGGTGGACAGACATTTTCAGGTGTCTTCAGAGATGCTCAGTTGGGTAAGTTTGAGGTGGCCACTCAATGACATTTACAAAGTTGTCTCTAAGCCGCTCTTGTGCAGTCTTGGCTGTGAACTTAGGGTCATTGTCCTGTTGAATGGTTATCCTTCAAGCCAGTCTGAGGACCTGACTTCTCTGGACCAGGTTTTCATTAAGGATATCTGATTATTGCTTTCAGCTTTACTTCAACTCTGACTAGTCTCCCAGTTCCTGTAGCTGAAAAACACTCCCAAAGCATACATGGCACCCCTGGGATGGTCTTGCACTTGTGATGAGCGGTGCCTGGCTGTCTCCAGACATGATGCCTTGAATTGAGGCCAAACTGTTCAATCCTCGTTTCACCAGATAATCTTGTTTTTCACAGTCGGCGTGACCTTTTGGTGCTATTTTTATTTTTTTGCACATCCGAAGCAGGCTTTCATGTGTCTTTCAGTGAGGAGAGGCTTCTGACCAGTCTGTCATAAACACAAGATTGGTGGAGTGATGGTTGTCCTTTAGCAAGTTTCCACCATGTCCACACATCCCTGGAGCTCATTCACCGTGACCATTGGGTTCTTATTTATTTCTCTTACCAAGGTCCTTCTCCTCTTATGGGCCTGTTTGACTAGGTGGCTAGCAAGAGTCCTGGTTGTAACAAACTTTAATGAATTATGGAGTCCAATGCTCTTGGCAACATTCAAAGCATCAGAATGTATTTGTAGCCTTCCCCAGCTCTGTTCCTCAATAGAATCCTGTCTATGAGCTCATCAGGCAGTTCCTATGCTTTCATGGTTTAGTTTTTGATATGCAGTTACAGCTGGGAGACCTTTAATAGACAGGTGTGTGCCTTTCCACACCTTTAACAGTCAATTGTATTTGTCAAAGGTGGACTCCAAGAAAAGTGTAGAAACCTCTCAAGGATGATGCAGAGAAATGGGTTGCATATGTGCAAAGTGTCTGAATACTTATATCAACGTGAAATTTCAGTTATTTCTTTTTTTAAATTTTGCAAAGTTTTCAAGAATATTGTTTTTGCTATTTTTTATTAAGGGGTTATGGAGTGTAGGTTAAATTTAAAAAAAAATAATTGTAGGATAAGGCTGCAATATAAAAAAGTGAACTAATTGGAGAGGTCTTGATACACTCTGAATGTCCTGTATATATGAGACATCGGCTGATATAACTTGTAGTGGAAATATAATTAGTTTTTGTAGTTGTTGAAAAATGGTGGCACAAGATCCAACACTGAGCTATATTGATGCAAGGAAATTAATGTATCTTCTATTAAAACAATAAATAAATAAACTAAGAAGAGCCAGAGATCTATTTACAATAGGCTAAATTAAAGTGTGAACAGGCACATCTTAACAGTAACCCAGAGGTAGAATCGGTATAGGTGATGTGCTCCAGACTAGTACTTTTGAACCTAGACCTTAAGCCATGCCAGTGCAGTTGTACACGACAATAAAAGGAAAAATGGATATAAAAATAGAAAATGTTATAAATTAAACATTACCAAAGGATTCGCTGGCAGCGTATTTTATATAATCTACCTGGTTTTCAGTTAAAGCACGCCATTGAATGTCAGGTTGCCTAAAATAAATTTAAGTAATCCCTTATAAGGTGAAATAGACACAAAAACACGAATTATAATCTGACAATAACTCTCGGTGTTTGTTACAAAATGAGAGCCCATTGCTGTACCCAAACATTTTGCTATAGCTCATTGATAATTTCATACAAATTTTTTTATATAAATAATTACTGTTAAGTTCAAAATGGTGATTAGAAGTTAAAATTTGAACACAAACAAAATTAAAATTCATGAACGAGTTTGTAAAGTATATAATAAAACACTGGACTTTGCACTTGATGACTCTTTAATGTTCTGGCGTAACTACGGCCACTAGTATAACAATCAGGAAAGAGCGTATTCTGTGGATTTCTTATTGGACAAATCACACTGCTTTTTAAATATTGTAAAAAAAATAAATACATATATATATTTTTAGCAATTGTAACATCAACAAGTCAGTCCAGATTCGGACATCTCTCAAGACCTAGTCTTGAAGCAGCATGCATTACACAATAAGACATTCTCTGAAGGCTCTCTTTTCTGATAACCAACTTTTTATTTCTGCCCAGTTTTCATATTCTTGTGTTTAAAATTAAAGGCAAAATAATATACACTGAGGAATTTCCACTCAACATATTTTATAGTTAAATTATGGTACAATTTAAAGATTTAAGCTGCTGCTTAACTTTCCATTTCCTTGTTTGTTTGTTTTTCCGAGTAATTCTCAGTAAGATAATGATAAAACACATCAGGAAATGCAACATTTGAGATTTTAATTTTTCCACTTCCTAACCTATAAAACACATATGTAAAACATCTATAGTGTCTCCTGCCTCCATTATTTTTTGGTGTGAATTATTGTAAATATTTTTCATTTATTACTTACAAGGTTTTCACTTTTTTGTCAGTACATATTAATTGGGTATTAAGGATTTTACAATATATTTCAAATTGATCCAATTAAATTCTGCCCAGATTTATAAACTTTCAATAAATGTAATGTAAAAAAAAATATATATAGTTGGAACTTGGCCAGCAGTCATGGTAATAAGAGAAATGTGCCAATTTTCAAGGCAGACTGTATTTGCCATGAAATGAGTGCCTAATTTCTATAAAGAAATTTTTTTTTTTAATTAAATTATCACTGTTAAAATTGCCACTTGTAGCACTTGAAAAGCTGATGACTTTTGATTGGAGTTTTTGTTTTCCTGTCAACCTCATTTGCTAATTTAAAAAAAATAAAATGTTTTGTGGGGTATTTTTTATAACCCCTCTCCCCCTTTCAATTGAAAACAAATCCATAGGCTGATCAGATTATTTTTAGTGCAATTTTTAACCTGTGATTTTGATTATTTAAAAAATAAATAATAATTTGGATGTGTTTCTCAATTGTCACTGGTTACTTACTCCCAATTTTAAAATAAAAAATGCATTGAACTTAAGTTTATTTCAGCACCTGTACAAACTTCTCACTGCCATCAGATGCTGTGAAGTCATCAAGATTCATCCAATCAGGATCTTGACATAGAGAAGCATTGCTGAAGTATGGTGCATGTATCGCAGTGGGCGCCAATCGCCAACCACAGCACTGAACACTCACGCAGCATCCAGAATCTGCATACTTTGCTTGCTGATGCTGGGTATAACCTAGTCTATTTTAGTTTTAAACCCCCCAATGGCTGCCTGTCTGACATCCATTACAGCTGTGGCCATTTACGTATGTTAACAGTGCGGTTTCTCAGAAATTACACATTTCATTTGCAGAAACCTCATCTATCCCCAAAATCACTGTTGGGACAAAGTGAGTTTTTTTTCCTTAGTTCTCCTTTTCGATGATCTTTTTCAAGGTTTGCTGTAATATATGAATCTTGCTTAATAGTGAACGACTAAACATACAGTATAGCCATGATCATTATAATATTAGAAGGTAATTTTGCGTTTTCAATCAATCGGCTAAATTTCGTATTTACTGGTTTTATGCCCTATAATTAGGAAATCTATTAGAAAGCAACAATGTTTTCCATCTATATCTTATCCCCTTAAAGTTGAACCTGCTTTCCACAAATGTAGGTGACAAATTCCCCTTCAGATAGCTGTAGATTTAATTTTCTACATTGTTCTTACAAACCACTAAATTGATAAATTAAACGATGCTTCCATTAAAATTGTGTCGTCCTCCTCAAAGATGGTTGCCACAAACTTATAGGACAGCATCAGTTTGGTTTTCATTACTTCATCACTGCATAATGCAGTGTCAACATATGTGCTATTAATTTGTCTGGCAGATATATAGATGGGATTATATGCTCTATAAAGAGTATATAATTTTTTTTTATGCGTCATTACTGCTAAGTAGACATGTGCAGTTATAAACGAACTGGGAATCTTCCACATTTTTAGCAATCAGCGGGTTTTCTGAATTCGGTAACACCAACGTGCAATAGGAACATATTCTGAACAAACGAACCGGACAGTGGATGAGCGTATTTGTTTGTTTCGGGATTCAAAGTTGCACCTGTGGCACAAAAAAAAAAAGTGTTGATCGTTTGCCACTAAGTACACATTTATTCCCATATTAAGTGAGATGGGACCAACAGAGGTGAAACAGTGTTCGCAATAGAAAAATCTATATATACTTTTAATAAATCTATATAGAATTTATATTTTACTTCTCCCGCTATTGGCTATTTATTCTCACTTGATCTGTGATCCAAATGGCCTGAAAATGCGCCATCGGTGTACTGCAAAATATTTACATATTTATATTTTGCAGAAGTTTGGCCTTTTTTCGTGTCTTCTTGAATCGTTCGGAAAGTTTTCACAAATATTGTGTCTAGACCATGAGAACCGCTGAAAAAATGAATATCGGTCTATCTGAACTAAATTTTTATCTATTTATTTATTTTGGGGGTGAAGTGATTTGTCTGAATCCGATTTTTGCACTGGGCACAAGTCTACTGCTATATAACGTGATCCTGGAGTTTCACTGTTTAAATCACCCATAAACAATAACATTTGTATCAGTTTATACTTTAAAGATACACAATTTATTGGACTACATTAACTTTTAAAGCACTAAAACCAAATAATATTTTCCTGTTGTTGAAAATGTATTTAATCTCCACGTTCAAATATCACCACAATTCACTATTTTGTTAATAAAACCATCAGCATTAATTCTGTTGTCATGGCAGTTATATCTACTGCCAGAACAGTTTTTGTTTTTTTACCAGCTTTAATATAAATTTCTTTAAATATTACTCTTGCAGTACTTTTACAAAATTAAATAACAGAACGTAGTCAAACTCTAAAGTAATGTTTTTTTTTTTGTTTTTTTTTTAATAACCCTACATTTAAAGGCATTTTTAGCCTTTATAAAATACTTGATGTACTGAAGAATATCAATATAAATTTTCCCTTTTGTCAATGTGATTATTTTCTTATTTGTTTTTATTAGAATTGAATTAAGACGTGTATTGATTATATCTGGATCTGATGAGCATGTTGTGCTAGGTAATTACAGATTTATTTAATTTTATCTATGTAATTATTTTGGTCATTTTTGTAAACTAGAAGATTAGGTAGCTTCAGCCATGGTTAAATTAAGATGTGTGGTGATTTTTATTTTTAAGTTTGTCGAATATGTGTTTCTCCTGTGAGTGTTGCTAGTTATTTGTATTCGAGATAGCTGTACAGCGTGTGTGGCGGTAGCATAATTGTCATTAAATTAAACATTCATATGTATGGATGAGACTACTCTGACAGTACGAGAAGAGTAGATCATGGTTTTGTAAATCCAAGAAAGTTAACCCATTAATTAGGTTGAGATTAAATAATTAATGTTCTGTCTTTTTATTTTTTAATTTAAACTGAGCACAAAAAAATAAATGTATCTCAACATGTCCGATTCAGGAGGGACATTCCATATTTCACGGTCCTGGTTGACTTTGTTCCCAGGTGTCACGCTTTTGTGGATACCAAGGAACTGTCCTCAGAAAGCATAGCACAAGCCCATCAGAATCACCTGTGCTATGCCTTACAAAGAGCACTGACAGTGCACCGTGTATGGGCAGGCCTGCTTAATTGGTAAGCAGCCGGGATGACCAGCCAGTTCTCCTGGCAGACCTCACTGGCCAGCCACTTTTACCCTGTCCACACATCCCATTTCATGGGACGCCGATGTTTGTGAGCAGGGATTTCTTAGATTATTCAAGAAACCACTCGGTTGCATTCACTAATCTGGGAATTCAAAGTGATTTTCAAATATTCTGCAAAAATAGCCAAACTGAATATGTAGCTTTTTTGGGGGGCCAAAAATGGGAAATTCACTTATATCCTCAATCATTCTTACATCAGTTAATAATACTGCCTTGCATTCTAAGTGCATTAGTTGTTAGATTTTTTTTTAAAAAATTCAAACATATTGTTAACTTTACCTGTGTGTCAGAGGCGTTGGTGCTATGGTAACCTTTATTAACACGGTTCTTTTTATTTAAAAAAATCTTGAGTAAACAAGTAACTTGTTTTTGTTGAACTTACAGAACACATATTTACATATACATAATTGCAATCACTGTCTAATGTATGCAAATGTAATTTCAAGAAATATATTCAGAAGGAATTACAAAAATGAACCACATAACTGATATTTGTATATTGTTATACGACAAGTTTTTATTTTTTTACGAATTGCAATATTCTTTTCAACCTTTTAAAATTGAGAACCATTTGTTAGTCTTAAAGAAAAACAATGTTTACATGTTACCTTTTATTCTGTGCTAATACTTTGGTTTTAAGCCATTAAGTGATTTATTTATTTTAAGAAATGTATTCCTACATTTGAATCTGTTGACAATACTGAATGTTTCTCTTTGGAAGAACCTACAAAACTTTGAATTTAAAGGGACACTGTAGGCACTATATCTGCTTCATCTTATTGATCTGTCTGTAATGCCTGGAGTCCCCTGGTGCTGTCCGTTCATTCACCATTAAACCGTTTTTAAAGTTTTTATCTTTTATTATTAAACTAGGGTCCCCAATAGGCCATTCTCTCTCTGCTGCTTTGGCTAATGAAGAATTATTACCTTAGCAGTAATGGACATCTGTGATTGGCTGAAAATGGGTATGACTACAAGGAAGTGTGTGATCTTTGCTTTAGCCACACCTCCAGAAGGGGCTGGGCTGTAGATGGCCAGGGAATCGTATTCACTGTTTAACACTGCATGGAGGCACTGTGCCAAGGAAGTCCAGGCTCTCTAACCAATTTATTTAAAAAAAAAAAAAAAAATGGTTATAATCACTACAGTGTGGATATTCTTTTGCGTGGCTCAGTAAGTCCATGTGATATTTACTGCGTATGATGTCATCAGGGATTCACTGTTGACATAATAGGAAGTGCTTACTAGATGAAATCTGGTTCAGCTTTCTTTGGTCAAAGAAAACCATTATGCTTCTGGCAAGGTAGACTTGGGAACTTCACATTTAAATCCAAAATAGCAAAAGTGAAAACAAATCCTCCAAGTCAAGTCCAATGCTTCATTGTTGGCTTCATAGGCTTTGAATTTGAAATTACAAATAAATTAATAACCCTGCAAGTGACACGATATTTGTTTAACGTTAAATAAAATTATTTTTTTCTTGTTTCTCTTTCTATGATATTATAACAAATTTTACTGATTTAGACTTTGAGATGGTTTTAATTTTTATTTTTGCCATTTTGTGTTAAATCCATTTTATTGAGATCAACATATAAAACAATTTCCCCACACAGGGGTTGTGGCATTAACAATACATTCCATGTGGCAAAACAGTTACATTCTTGTATTGTTTCGGGAAAGCGACATATTAAACAGTTTTCCCACACAGGGGGTGTTGTGCAAGCAGGGTACATTATTTGTAGTAGATAGGTGGTCTTTTTTAATGAGCAAGTAAATGCAAACATATGGCTAAGTGACAAACAATGCTTGTGATCGCCTACGCAGAGGCATGTTAGTCCAGGTATGGACATAGAGGGAAAGCCATAATATTAAGCGAATCGGCTCCTAATTTGTATAGATATACATATAATGCAAGAATAGGTATAGTTAGGTGCCGTATGACTGGGTACGTGTTCATCTGATGTGATGGCCTCCCTTAACATCTGTCTCCTAAAGCATGGTGTGTGAAAAACATGCAATGTGTTTGTCAGTAACACACACCTGCGGGTGATCATCTAATCCGTTTTTTAATACGTATGTTTCGTTATGGCATTGCTACCGTTAATAGCGTGAAGCGGGTGTGTGTTACTGGCGTAGCTCCCATGATGTCAGGAAGTGCCACTGTCTGTCGTATTGGTATGGTTGTATGTGTGGGTATATTTCTGGTGGAATAGGCGCTTATCGTTTCTCGGGATGAGTTGGGTGACGTCTGTGGCCTGTCGGGGATCTCTTGGCATTAAGGGGGTAGTGTACGTGTGTCAAGTTTAGTAGAGTGTGTTAAGGGTATTAGTCGGGGGTAGGATGAGATGAGGAGAAGGAGGGGAGAGAAAGAAGAAATGGGTAGAGACAGAAGACTGATGGGGGGGGGGAAACAACCCGGGCTCACTTGGGCGTTGCCCCTGGTCGCCACCCCAGCCTCCGCCCCCCATGAGCTCTCCCCCCGGTGCCCCATCTGGGTCTCCTTAGCTGTTCATGCACGTTCATCCACGTTCATCCGACTGCCAGGTGACGTACGAACTCGTCTGATGAGACATGTCTCTGCCAGTAAAACCATTTTCTTGTGGATCTCTCTGTCCTTCACGTGGTTGCTTTGAGATCTTCGAATTTCCTTGTGTCCTTCATCTCCTCCATCCATCTTTTGAGAGGGGGAGTACATGGTTGTCTCCAATATAGAGGGATGAATGCCTTTGCGGCGTTGAGGAGCCGCAGGAATTTTTATCGTTTATATGTGGGTGTCGGCATGGTGGTGTGATGTAGCAGATATGTGGCTGGCATCTGTGCCAGTGTTTCATCCATTACTTCTTTGATAACTCGGCTGATCCTCTCACAAAATGGTCTAAGGAGGGCACAGTACCACCATATGTGGGTAAAGTTTCCCCTCTCCTCAGCGCCAGCAGGGTTCTGGTTTCATGTGGTCCCGGGCATGTAGGGCAGCCAGGGTAAGGTACCATCTTGAAGGCTTTACATGAGTTCTCCTGCAGTCGTGCAGATCCTGTTTTTTTTTTTTTTTTCTTTTTTTTTTGGACGTGGGTAATGATCTTGTCCCATTCCACTCTGTGAGCGTTTCATCGAGGTCTTCCTCCTATTGTCTTATGCAGGGCGGTTCCAAGAGGTAACGATTTGTCACTAGTGAGGGAGATGGCTTTCGGAGGCATCGTTTCTTATAGGCAGAGCGATTCGAAATCTGTTCGGTCTTGAAGTAGGTTCGGTTTTTGTGGTATTGATTTGACACAGCGCAATATTTGTTCTCTCGACATTGAATATAGAAATGTGTGTTGTTCTGGGAAGAGGTCGGCGATCGGGTGGACCGCGAACGGTTTGACCATCACGTCTGTTATGCGGAATAGTGGTTTATGTTTTGACAGGCGTGGGAGGGGGCCCAGTTCTCCCGCCGGAAAATCTGGGTTACCCCTCAGAGAAAGCAAGGGGCCAGGGTGTGTCGTGAGGTAGTACTTGGTGCAAGTTCGGTGCTTTCACAAACGGGTTGCCTGCTTGCTTCCCTTGTGATCCATGGTAGAGTCCGTAGATCGCAGTTGGTGCTGTCCGCTTCTAGATTTACCTATGGTTTGTCCTTCAATGCCATGGTCCAGCTCATGATTCTTGTGTAATGTGTTGCAAGGAAGTATTTTTTGAAGTCCAGGAGGGCTAGCCCCCTTTTGAGTTTGGGCAGCGTCAGTTGTGAGTGAGCTATGCGGGAGGATTTACCTTTCCATATGAATTTGCGGACCTCTGCTTGTAGTGTGGTGAAGAAGGTCTTTGGGGCTGAAATTGGCACTGTCTGGAAGACGAAGATGAGTTTAGGGAGTAAGGTCATCTTTACTGCGTTCATCCTTCCCACCCATGAGATGTAGTATGAGTTCCAGGCATGCATTTCTCCTACTGCTGTCTTGTGGATTGGCACAAAGTTATGTGTGTATAAGCTCCTAGGTATCGCATCTGTTGTGCACCAGCAGAAGGGATGTTGAAGTTACAATATCAGTCGCTGTGCGTGGCTGACGGTGAGGGCAAGGATTTTGGATTTGGAGTAATTCATTTGCAGGTTAGAGATACAACCATATTTTTCAAATTCTATTGTGATCGCTTGCAAAGAAGCAATGGGGTCCCTTACTATAAAAAGGAGGTTGTCTGTGTAGGCGAGGATTTTGTGATGTGTTCGGCCTATTTCCATTCCGCGGATGCTCTCGTTGATCCTAATTTTGTTCAGGAAAGGCTCCGGTGTGATTGCGAACAGCAAAGGTAATAGTGGGCAGCCTTGGTGCATCCCGTTGTGTATTTGGACCGTTAATTCGCAGTCTTGCTGTTGGGCATGTGTATAATGCCTCGACCCATGCATTATATTTTGGTCCTATGCCCAGGCTCCGTAGTGTTTCAAACGTGTACCTCCAATCCACTCTGTCAAAAGCCTTCTCTGCATCTGTCGACAGGATTAAGGTCGGGTGTTTAGTCTGTCAGGCCTTCGAGATCCGGTTCATCGCTCGGATGGTATTGTCTCGAACCTCCCGGCCTAGGATGAATCCCGTTTTTGTCCGGGTGTATTATGCCATGGAGCAGCGGGGCCAGGTGTTTGGCCAGAACACTAGCCAGTAGTTTAAGGTCGACGTTGATGACCGAGATCGGGCGGTAGCTTTGACAGTGTTAAATCCTTGCCTTCCTTCGGAAGTAGTGTGATGTCCAGGTAGTTCAGTATGTCTTTGCGTCTGTGGTGTGTTTCGCCGTCCCGCCTGTCTTGGCATATGTGGTACAGTTATCTGTAGTATTGGAGGAACATGGCGGAAACTTGTTCCGCGAGGTAGTGAACTCTTTGGGCCGAGTCCTTGATTTTAGGGATGTATAATTGGGTTCTGCAGTGCTTGAGTAGGTTGGCAAGCAGTCTGCCTCATTTATTCCCGTGTTTGTAGATCATGTGTTGGAAATGTTGGTAAGATCGTTGAATGGAACGGTTAAGGTGCGTTTTAGGAGGAGGTCCCTGTATGTGGCGGCGTCCTGTGTTAGTTTGTGGTTTTTTTTTAAATTCTTTATTTTTAAGATTTTCGTGTTCATTTGGGTTGGGGTACAGAAGACAACAGGGGAGTAAGAGTATTGGTACATTGTGTATAGAGTACATTTTGCATTTGTAGGGTATAACAATCATGCATGTAATTCTTGTTTGGTGTTCATTCTGCGTTTTCGTCATTTGGTAGTTGCTTGTTCGAAGTTGCTCTGCACATGACATTTGTCCTGACTCTAGCTCTTTGGGTCGGGGAAGGGTACAAAATAAAAGGGAGGGAATAGGGGTGTCGTATCAGTTTACTCCCCCTACCCCCGCTGCCGCACCGCCCTCTTATAGGGTCTGTATTGTGTTTGTGCTGTGTGGGCGACCGTGCGGGAGATCGAGGGCTGAGAAGAAGGGAAGGGCGGGTTGGCGTGTGGTTCCATTTGTGTGCTCCCTCATGTTACAGCCTTCAGGTGTTTGGGAATCCTCCGTTTGCAGCTGCTGTGTGTCAGTGCGCTCTAGGGTCCGGGGCGTGTGTGCTTGCCCTTTGTTGCAGGCGTGTTGTGGTCCGTTGGTCACCGAGGGATGGGTGTTCTAGGGACATGTCCGTCGTTGCGAGGCCTGTATCTCCTGGGTGTTTTGATGGCTGTTAGGTGCTGTTTGCGTGCCTCGGGTAGGGTTGCTATCGGGGGTCTGGATCCCGTGTGCTTTTGGACAGGGCGGTTAGGGGGTCGGGGAGGGGCGCGGGTTTCCGCGTTTGGTTGGTTTTGTGTTGGGTGGCTTGGCGGGAGGTGCCGCTCCTCGCCTCGCGCGGGCGGGGGGAGAAGGAGAGGAGAGGGGGGAGGAGAAGGAGAGAGAGAAGAAGAGAGGAAGAAAAAAAAGGGGAAAGAAATGTAATTAAAAACCCACACATCTGGGGGGCTGGGGGGGGGGTCAATTTGAGAGGGGATGCCCACCCGTGGCGCTCCTTCTGGTTAGTGCGTGTCCGCGGTGCTCGTTCGGCTCGGGGCGAGGTTTGTCGGGGTCACTGATTTGAGCTGTTAAACGTTAATCCGTTGCGTTCTCGTTCAGTTTTGCGTGGTTCGCGTCCCAGGGGTCCCATATGCGGTGGAACGCTTTATACGTATCGTTTATTTGTGCCGTTAGTTCGTCCAGATCGCGGGTTTCTTTGATTTTGCTTATTATGGTTGTGGTCATGGGGATTTTTGGGTCAGCCCACAGTTCTGCTATCGCTCGCCGCGCCGCTAGGTTGATGCGGGCGGTTAGTTTGTTTTCACTTCTTGTTAGCGAATCTAACGGTTTGCTGAGAAGCATGGCCCATGGTTGTGTGGTGACTGGTTTGTTTGATCGTTTCAATGAGGTTGCTTACCTGGCCCCAGAGTGGTTTGAGTTTGGGGCATGTCCACTAGCAATGTAGGTAGGAGCCAGTAGCGCCACACAATTTCCAGCACCCATCGTCGGGTTTTCGGCCCATTTTATAGAGTCTTTGTGGTGTCAGATACCAACGGTGCAGTGTCTTATATGCTTGTTCTTTGTGCGTGACGCAGACCGTTATAGAGTTTGTCGCTTCCCAGATTTTGGCCCAATCGCTCGGGTCGTCTGGTGGTCCCAAATCTCGCTCCCACGCTGCGATGTAGGTAAGGTTGACCTGTGATGCGTGGGTCGTCAGTGTGTTGTAGAGGGCGGAGATTTGTCCCGATTGTAGGGGTGCGTCGAAGCACTGCTTCTCGAATGTCGTCGGAGGTGAGATGCCTGCTTGCTTGATCATGGGCTGTTGCGCCAGGTCCCGGAGCTGTATATATCGGAAATGGTCCGATGTGGTTAAGGTGTCCGCTTGGGGAAGTTCGTTGTATTTGAAGGTTTCTCCCTGGCGGTACAGGTAAGTAGTCGTGATATATCGCGTTGGTCGAATGCGAGGAAGTGCCTCGCTGTCATGCCCGGTGGAAAGAGTTAATTTCGGTATATCGGTGTTACCAGGGAGAGAAAGGAGGAGAGGTCGTATCTCGGGTTAAGTTTATCCCAGAGGGTTAGTGTGTGGGTGATTGCCAGTGAGGTAGGTGGTGGAAGTGGTCGGTATATGCGTGGCACCCACATGTATGAGGAGGGTTGGTCCCACCCCAGAATGTCATGTTCTAAGTCCACCCAGCGTTTTGTGCCTGGGGGGGCGTGCCATTGTTGGATGTGGGCCAGTTGGGCCGCGTTGTAGTATTGCTGAAAATTGGGCAGTCCGAGGCCGCCTCTAAGTCTAGGGATGTACATTGTGGCTCTGCGAATTCTGGGTCTCTTGGCTTTCCATATGAACTTGTCTATTGCCGCCTGTAGGCGTTTGAAGTCCGATTTCGGTATCGGGATGGGCAGTGTCTGGAAGAGGTAGAGGAATCGTGGCAGGAGGTTCAGTTTGTCCCAGCGTTGCAAGTCTGAATACGCTGTTGAGAGGAGCGGTGTGTAGTTGAGGCCATAGATGTCTCCCAGTGTCGGAGCCAGTTTGGTGCCTAGATACGTGAGGGCAGTCGTGGTGATGTGGAAGGGGAAGGAGTGGTGAAGCAGGTGGAATTGAGAGGGAGTCATCGCTATTGGCATTAATGTGGACTTGGTTAAATTGATTTTGTAGCCTGATATGATTGAATATTCGGCGATGAGGGTGAGTGTGGAGTGTAGGGAGGGGATGGGGTTCGTCAACGTGAGGAGGACATCGTCTGCGTAAGCTGCCACGGTGTACGTGTCTTGTCTGATCCGCACTCCTTGTATGGTGGGATGATTGCGGATAGCTTGGAGCAGAGGTTCCAGGGAGATTGCAAAGAGTAACGGGGAAAGGGGGCAACCCTGCCTGGTCCCGTTTGCTATGTTGAAGGTTTGGGCTTCGACAAGGGGGAGTAGGAGCTTCCCAGTTGGGCGATTGTATATTGCCCGGAGGATGTTCAGGAATCCCGGTGGAAAGTTCAAGTGTGCTAATACTCCGTACATGTATGGCCAGAGAAGGCGGTCAAATGCCTTCTCGGCATCCAGTGATAGCACTACCGAGGGGATATTTCGGTGTCTGGTGTACCAGATTGTGTCATAAGCTCTCCTGGTATTGTCTGACGCCTGTCGTTTGGTGATGAAGCCGACCTGATCTGGGTGAATCGGTAGTGGGAGGAGTGGATTGAGGCGATTAGCCAGTGCTTTCGTGAGTATTTTCAGGTCGATGTTTAAGAGTGAAATTGGGCGGTAATGTCCCGGATCAAGGTGTTCTTTTCCGGGCTTGGGTAGGATGCATATGTCGGCTGTCAACATGTCGGGGGGGAGGTCGTGTCCTTGCAGCAGTGAATTGAAGGCTTTGCGGAGGTGCGGTATTAGGATGGCCTGGAATGTCTTGCAGTAAATGGCTGTGAAGCCGTCAGGTCTCGGGCTTTTCCTGGGTTTCAGAGTCTTGAGAACTAGGGCGATTTCCTCGGCCTCGATGGGTGTTTCCAGCATGGCTTGTGCCCTGTTGGAGAGGGAGGGTAGATTGAGGGGGCGTAGGAAGGAGGAGATGGCCTCTGTCTGATCTGTACCTCTCGTGGGTATCGTGGCGGCGTGATTGTATAGGTTAGTGTAGTATTGCAGAAATTCTTGGGCTATTGCTTCTGGATTTGTTGTCGTTTCTCCAGTCTTAGTTCGAATTTTCGAGATTTTCTTGTTATCCTGCCGTTTTTTGAGGCAACGTGCCAGTAGAGAGCCCGCTTTGTTGCCCTTTTCATAGAATCGTTGCTTGGACCACATGAGGTTCCTTGCCACGTCTCCTGCCGAGAGTTGTTTGATGAGTTCTCGCGTCGTCTTGAGCTGTGCAAGGAGTGCGTCGGACGGGCTTTGTTTGTGTAGGGTTTCGAGCCTTGTTAAGTCAGCCAGGGCGTCCGTAAGTTTCTGGAGTCGCTGCTTTTTAAGGGCTGTGGCTATAGCTATAAGATCGCCTCTGATCGTTGCTTTGTGAGCTGCCCAGACCGTTGTTGGCGCCACTTCGTCGGTGGTGTTGAGGTCGAAGTAGGTTTTGAGTTTCTCAGTCACGGTGTGGCCTGTGGCCGCGTCTTTGAGTATCCATGGATTGAGTTTCCAACGCCAAGGGCGTGTCAGTAATGGGATCTGTACCGTCAGCTCCACTTCGCGTGGTCGGACCACGCAATGTTTCCTATGTGCGTGTGGGTGGTCCATGGTTGAACTGCTGGGGAGATAAGGAAGCTGTCAATTCGGGAGTAGGACTTGTGTGTGTGTGTGTGTGGGAGTAAAAGGTAAAATCAACCGACGGTGGGTGCTGGATTGTCCAGGCGTCCAGTAGGGGTGTATCGGTAAGGAAATCCGCGTATAGTTTGTCGTTTCTAGTTGGGGCCGGTGTGCTGCCGGTGTGTGTTCTGCGGTCCGTTGCGGGCGTGTGGGTCGCGTTGAAGTCGCCGCCTACGATTAGGTGTTTGGCTGCGAGGCTCGTGAGGTGGGTCTTGAATGTGCTCCAGAATGAGGCGTCCGGGGTGGTGGGAGCGTATAGTGAGCATATGGTTAGGGAGGTCGTCCCCACACGTCCTGAGAGAGGAATCGCCCGAGGGGTCTTTGCAGGTTTGTATGTCCTCTAGTGGACAGGAGTTTCGCAGCAATATTGCGACTCCTTTTGTTTTTGCTTCAGGTGAGTTGGCCAGGTAGTACCTTTTAAAGTGTCGGTTGACTAGTGGGAATTGTTTATGGTCGGTGAAATGGGTTTCCTGAAGCAGGACGATGTCCGCTCCTGTACGGTTGGCCCATCGCAGTATCCCGTGTCTTTTCCCTGGTGAGTTAAGTCCCTTGACGTTGAGTGAGGTGAGGCGGATTTGGAGGTTCTTTGGCGCCATGTTGCCGTCGGAGGGCGGTCCCGGACAAGCGTTGAGGGTCGAGACGGTGTGCAGCGTAGCGTCCCTTCTAGTCGCGATGGCCACGGGTGGGCAGTCGGTTCGGTTTGGTGTCGGCAGGGAGAGCGGGGGCAGGAGAGAGGGGGAGGAGGTCGACAGGGTCCCGCCGGCGCGGGCCGGTGTCTGGGGGACTGGGCTTATCTAACTGGCCAGTCGTTGGTTAGGCGGGGGTCTCGAGTACCTGACCCAAGGTCTGTGTAGCGATCCTCGGGAGAGTCGAGACCAGAGGGGTGGGGTGTACGCAGGTGATGGCAGGGTCCGCCTGTGACCTGCCCGTGGATGTCTTAAGTTGGCTGAGCCGGGTATTGGGATTTGGGATAGGGGAGGTGGGTCATGGGCGGGTGCTCTCGTATGTGCGGTCCGTTATGTGGTGCGGGAATGTCTCCGTTCGCGTGTAGTTAGTGTGTTGGAGAGCTCCCCGTTTGTGGGTCTGGGTGCTGTAGCGCAGGCTTGTTGATGTGGGCGTGTGTTCTGTGTCGCTAGGCATATGGGTGCGCGCGCTCCTTTGTGGGGAGTGATTGTTCGTGCCAATGGTACGGCGTCTGCCCCGGCGCCGCCTGCCCTCCTAGTGAGGTATGCCGCATAGGGGCAGCGGCGGGGTTGCCCCGCGCCATTAGAGTTATGTAGGGTGATCCTGTGTATATTGTTTTGACCGCGCTATAGTATTTCTGAGAGTTATGTGTGGCGTATTGACCTCTTAAAGCGGGGTGTAGTGTGGGTGTGGTAGCCCCTGGCATTATAGCTGTCGCAGTTCTCCCTCCCTCTAGCGGGGGGGTTGCGGCCTGTTGGGGTTTGGGTTCACTTCTCTATGCAGTGTTCCGTGTGTGTGTGTTTCGGCCACCGGCCGAATGCGTGTACAATAACCTATATATAAGATGCTTACATTTACAATTCAACAATATAACACATTAACATTTCGCTGGTAGCAACATATATAGCATCAAGGCAGGCAAGGAGGAAAGAGAACTGGTTTCCGCAGGTGCTTCTGGTCTCGTGTGTGTGTTACCCCGCGTCCCCTCCTCCCGGCGACTCACGGGCCCCCCCCAGGGTGGCCAAACCGTCTCGTCCATGTCTCATGGTCAGTCAGGTCAGCCTTTGGAGGGACAGTCGGTGTTTGGGTGGTACGTGGGAGGCCCCGTACTGCCGGAGCAGCGTCCCCTGTCGATTTCCCCCCCAGCTGGCATGGCCCTAAGTCATTCCTGTGGTGATGGTGTCTGTCTTCTGTCTACAGCTCTTCTATGTGGCCTGTCCGTGACTCGGTATTGCGTCAAGTGTATGTCGGGCTGGGGTGAATAAGCTATCGGTCATACATCGTCCGTCGGTGGATCAGGGCGTAGGTTGGTCGTGGGTTGGGGATGTTTCTCCAATGTCCGTGGTGGCGGGTGTGGGGAGTCCCGATGGCTTGTGTTGCCCGCTCCCCTCGTAATGGGAAGGTGTTGGGACAGTCTGTTCGTTCCCCCGGGATCCCATCCCCCCGACAGCCCCCCCTCTCTGTCTTCCTCCCCGGTATCCCCCCCTCCTCTCTCCCTTCCCGCCTCCCCCCCTCCCCCGTGCCTTGAGGGTTGGACCTGTTATCTGGTTTGGGGTTGGGTGGCTGCGAGCGAGAAACGCTTCGCTAGGTGTCTGTGTATGTGCAGTCCCCTTTATGGTATACTTGCTGTGTGCCGCCCAGTGTCAGAATCTCAAAGTCCCATTTCTGGTCCCGACGTCAGGCTTCTGTGGTGGGCATTAACCGGGAGAGGGGTTTCTGAAACGGGATGTGGTGCGTTCTGGGAGTAGTCCTGTGGATGCTGGGGGTTCTTGCCGGGTGGGGTTGCTGTGCCGGTCATTATCGGTTGCTCTCCCGGGGTTGTAGCTGTCGGCGTAAGGAGGGGGTCGTTCCAAGGCGTAGTGCTTAGTGCAGGAAACTCCGCTGTAATTCGTTTTGGTTGGGGCTGGAGGGCGTTGGTGTAGTGCCCGGTAAGAGTGGCCAAGCTTTGTTTTCAGCGCTTCGTGGTTCCCGCCGGTATGTAGGCCCGTCTCTGGAGTTTTATGTTGTAGTCCGTGCACTAGTTACTTCCGTGGGCAACAGTGCTTGTTGGGGGTGCAGTGGTGGTGCTGAGGAAAACTTCCCGGAGTGTGTGGGTCGTGTTGCGCTAGTAGCCGTTGTAGGCCTCTGGCTTGGGATCGCTCAGGTGGTGCGGTAAAGGGTTGGTTCGTTCAGTGTCGACCGAAGACGTCTGACGGGTATCTGGGTATAGAGGCGGGTAGCCGTTCCTGCGTCACTGTCCCCCCATCTCCTCACCTCTACTGCCGTGCTGCATCTGTGCTTTGCGGTGCTGTGTGGCGATGTTGGCGTTCGCCATTTCTGGCAGGCAGGTTGTTGCGTGGCGTCTGTCGTGGTGGGAGATCTGTGTTGGAGTGAGGTGTCTCCGGGAGCTGAGGTAAGCCTAGTTGCGTCGGAAGTGCAGGGATTTCATCAGGCCTTGTGAGGGAGTGGAATCTGCCATCTTTGCGGATGATCATTTTGAATGGGTGACCCCATGCATAGCGGAGGCCATGGTGACTGAGGTGTTGCGTTAGCGGTCGTAGTTCTCACCGCCGTTTTAGGGTAGTTGGTGCCAGGTCTTGAAATAGTTGGACTGGCACTCCTTCCAGTTCAATGGGGGTGTCCCTGGCAGCTCGCATAATTCTCTCCTTTATATGGTAAAAGTGGAGCCTCACCACAATATCCCTAGCTGTGGCGGCATTGGCGCTTGGGGCTCGCAGTGCCCGGTGTGCCTGGTCCATCAATAAATCAGCTGCTGTGGCCTCCGGCAGGAGGTTTTGGAATACCTCTGTGAGGGTGTCAGAGAGGAGGTCAGTTGATATTGTTTCTGGGATGCCCCTTACCCTGATGTTGTTCCTGCGCGTTTTATTATTGAGGTCTTCATTGGTTTCTTCTAGGGAGCGTAATTGATCAGGTAGGTATTGAATTTCAGTGCCGTGGGCTTGAATCCTTTCATCTGTGTCCGCCATTTTGGCCTCTGTGGCCTGTGCACGGGCTGAGAGGTCTGCCATACCTTCTAGTATGGGGCATAGCCTTTTGTCCAGTTCCTCTGCCACTGATTTTTTGAAATCTGCCAGGAATCCCCTCATATCCCTCCTGGTCAGTGGTGCCTCTGATCTTTCAGAGTGTGCCTGGCTGCTCACCTCGGATTCCGAGTCCGTCTGTGGGGGTTCTAAAGATGGCGCCCGTTGTTGTTCAGGCTTCTGCCTGAAGATCGGCGCGACTGAAGAATTTTGGGCTTTCTTCCCGCCGCCCATGGGGAAGGTACGTGGAGGGGTAGCAGGGGATGTTTTCAGGGGGTTTGGGGGGGCTCAGGTGCTGTGGATGGCGTTCTGTTGGGATAGGTCGCGGCGGAGCTCGGGCATTATGCGGCCATTCACGTGCGGGGTTAAGCTCCACCTCCCTGTGTTAGTTTGTGTTGACGCTTCAGCGCTGCAATTTCACTGCTCAGATCTGCAATTGTCCGTGCATTGGCTTTCTTGCGTGTTGAGCATATGGCTATGAAGTGGCCTCGGATCACCGCTTTTTGGAGGTTTCTACTATGGCTGGGTTGGATAGAATGGACTCATTTAAGTGCCACGATGTTTGACGGGGCCGGAACAGTGGTGACTTGAGTCGTAGGCGGACTGTGTTATGGTTTGACCACGTCATGGGTAGTATTTCCGATTCTACAAGGAGGGTGAGGTGGCTGTGCGGCATCAGGAAATAGTTCAGTCTCGAGTAGGAGGCGTGAGTCCGGGAGTAGAAGGTATAGCCTCAGGTCTTTGGGTTCATTGCCCTCGAGCAGTCCGTAAGTTGGTGGTGGTGGAGCAGTTGAAGTGTTTTTGCGTGTGTGTTGTCTGGGGTTAGCGTGGGACGGGCAGTGCTATCCTTTGGGTGTGACGTGTATACGTGTGGCAGTACTAGCTCACGCCCTGCAGTTCCTTCGTTTGTACACCCCTTCCCCACTGAGCTGACCTGATTACCCCACTGCCCCATGTCCTCTGAGATGTATGGGTCCGCCCTCTGTCTTTGTAGTGTTACTCTTTTCCTCGTTGTTCCCCCTCCCCTCCACCCCCTGTCCATTGTTGGGGGGGAGGGTTTGTGCATCTACTTTGTTTTGCAGCTATTGTGCGAGTGGTGCCTGTAGCGGACTGGGTCCTATACCAGAGTACGCCCCAGTTTCCTGGAGGGGGCTGCTGGCGCACCTCCTGCCCAGTGATTATGGCCCCAGAAAGATAGGACCCCTTTAAGTACAATGGCTGGAATTAATGGGATTTTGTTTGGCACTACCGGCCCTTTAAGACCTAGCTAAGTACTATTACAGAGACTTCGGACTATATACCTTATGCAGCAAAGGACATTGAACTATCACAATTTGTGTCTTTTAAGGTACTTTCATGTATTTTAATGTCTTTGGTTAAATTGCAAGGTAATATGTGGAAATGTATGCAGTATTCGTCTGATTGTTCGGTAGAAACATTCTAGCAATTATGGGAATGAAACTACCGAACAGTCAGACCTCCCCAGTGTGAAGTGTGCCTTCAATTACCGGTTGCAACAATGTTGCGAACCGGTAATTGACCATCTGTGCAGTGGATCCTTTGTTCTCAGGGGTGGCCGCCATTCGGGAAACGAACACGTGGCGGCGGCCATTTTAAAACTCCCGAACAGCGGTGTTTTGCCGTCGAGTGTCTGGAACCCAAATCGGATACTCTGCTAGGCAAACACTGCTGAGACCTCCATCCTAACGGTATGTTTGCATCCAAACTACCGAACAGCCCCTCGTTCGGTAGAAAGAAACAACCGAGTGAGGGGATTCAGGCGAATCCTCCCTGATCTCTGTAGCCTTAGCATTTCGTGCAGTTTGTTCCCTTATACTGTGACCGACCACAGGGCCCCATCGCATAGAACCCAATTCGGCTGTTCTCTCCAGCGCGGTCGGTCTTTTTATTACCTCCACAGATTTCCCAAACCCCTGGTCCGATCCGGGTGATTTTTGGATATGTTGCCCACCCGGATCAGGGCTACCAGGGGATGTGCCATTTAAAGGGGTACCCCTAGGTTTAGGGGTACATCCAGAAACTGGGGGAATTTGTGTACTGTATAAGGGGATTATGAGTCAGGCTGAGGGGAGGAGATATGTGGGAGGTTACCGGAATATGATTGGACACTGTACTAATTATTGGAAATTCCTCCCTTGCATGGGAGCATGCTTTAATAGGCCACTGCGGAAATAAAAGTTTAGTTCTACTCCTGATACTGTGTGTCGTCCAGTTATTGGGATTGCTGTTGGGATATCGCTGGATTATTTTGCATGCTGGAAACCTTGTTTTGTGGATTGATAATACTTGTTCCTGAGCCACACCTGGACTTCCAGCGGAAATAGCCTGTGAGAGACCAGCGTTCCGCTACAGTGCCCCCCACCCCCTGTTCTTTCTTGTGTGTAACTCCCCCTCCCCTCTCGGTTGCCTGGTATGTCATGACCCTCTCCCCCACCACATCCTCCCCCCTTCCCAATAAAGGCGTGTGTCCCCCAAAAGCGTTGTTCGCTCTTGCGTTGTGGATAGCCTGTGTCCCCAGATGGAGAAGCAATGCTCTCTAGCGTCGTCGAGCATGTGAGTCAGGATGAATTGGCTCGTCAGCCAGTTTGGTACTTGCGCATGCAGGAGCACCATGGATCGCTGGAATCCAGCGACGTTTGCGTGGGTCTTAATCGTGATGCCGTCTGGGCCTCGGCGGGACGTCCATGAAAAGGGCTATCCCCAACAGTAAGGGATTCCCACTTCCTGCATTGCGGAAGTCACCGGGTGGAGGGCTTTTCTTGCCTGCAGGGTGTATCAGGATACCATCAGGAGTCCTGGTGGATTGTTATGTTTTGGCCTTCTAGGCGGATTGAGCCCATGCGATGTGCGGTGCGCAATATGTCATTTTCTTTTAGTGTGAAGCTCTCTAAGCATCCAATAATATCTCTAGGTTGGTCTTCTGTTGCGTGCGCAGTGTGCCCTAACTAGGCTCAGTCTGGGTAGCTGTTGGCCAGCATGTGGCCGAAGATCGTGCACAGTAGCTCTGGTATGTTTTCTGTGAGGCCCCTCTCTTGTACCCCCCCGGACCCGGAGGTTCAGCCTGCGGCCTCTATTATCCAAGTCGTCCACCCACACAGATCCATCCAAGTTGTGATCTGTGCCAGGCCTGACTCGCATCCAGCCACTGTTAGGGTGATAGCGTCTACGTGAGTTCAGAGCCCTCTGGAGTCTGCCTTGTTGGTGGTAATTCTGGCGTCCATATTTTAGATGTCTGCTCGCAGCTGGGCTATTTCCTCCTGGACCACCCGGCTTAAGCAGTCGGAGGACCTCAAAGTTGGCCTTGGTGAGCAGGTTCGGAAGCATGGCCCGGAGCTCCCTATCCAGTTCCATCGGAGTTTCCGAGGAGTTTGACGAGGCCGGGGAGAACCTCACATGCGTTGCGGAGGGTGAGTTCGGGCTAAGGGCCTCCCGCGGTGTTGAGGAAGGTGCGGTTCGATTGCTCCACGCCGGTTCCCAGACGGTTTAGGGGTATCGGAGGATTTTGAAGGTTGTTTGTTGCGTATTGATGAGAGGGGTGTTTTTTTTTCGGGTGCCACGAGGAGCTGAAGAGTTATGCGGCCATTTTCTCCGGCTACCAGACACTCTCCCCTGTTTGACATTATGCAGGTTGAGCTGCAATTTTGTTAATGTTGATACAAGTTGCCCTACTGCATGAATTTTACTTTTCACCCTTTGTAATACAGCATTACCATTAGATATGATGTGTAAAATGATGACGGCTTTCTCCCTGGGTTTATGGATCTTTCTATGTTTCCTGTGTTTATGAAACTCACTGGTTATGTACTAGATGGCAATCTGGGGTGGTTCTCCTCTAATTCTGTAAACCCCCAATATAATAAAGCGGTGCTGGTCGGTCCTGTAATCCCCCAGTATAATAAAGCGGAGCATGGCAGTTCTGTAAACCCCCAGTATAATAAAGCGGTGCGGGGCGGTCCTGTAATCCCCCAGTATAATAAAGCGGTGCGGGGCGGTCCTGTAATCCCCCAGTATAATAAAGCGGTGCGGGGCGGTCCTGTAATCCCCCAGTATAATAAAGCGGTGCGGGGCGGTCCTGTAATCCCCCAGTATAATAAAGCGGTGGGGGCGTCCTGTAATCCCCCAGTATAATAATAAAGCGTGCGCGTCCTGTAATCCCCAGTATAATAAAGCAGTGCGCGGGCGTCCTGTAATCCCCCTGTGTATAATAAAAGTGCCGGGCGGGCGTCCTGTAATCCCCCAGTATAATAAAGCTGCAAGCGGAGGGGTCCTTTTAAATCCCCAGTATAATAAAGCGCGGGCGTCCTGTAATCCCCAGTATAATAAGGCGTCCTGTAATCCCCAGTATAATAAAGGGCGTCTTGTAATCCCCCAGTATAATAAGCGTCCTGTAATCCCCCAGTATAATAAAGCGGCGCGGGGCCGTCCTGTAATCCCCCAGTATAATAAAGCGGCGCGGGGCCGTCCTGTAATCCCCCAGTATAATAAAGCGGCGCGGGGCCGTCCTGTAATCCCCCAGTATAATAAAGCGGTGCGGGGCGGTCCTGTAATCCCCCAGTATAATAAAGCGGTGCGGGGCGGTCCTGTAATCCCCCAGTATAATAAAGCGGGGCGGGGCGGTCCTGTAATCCCCCAGTATAATAAAGCGGTGCGGGGCGGTCCTGTAATCCCCCAGTATAATAAAGCGGTGCGGGGCCGTCCTGTAATCCCCCAGTATAATAAAGCGGTGCGGGGCGGTCCTGTAATCCCCCAGTATAATAAAGCGGGGCGGGCGGTCCTGTAATCCCCCAGTATAATAAAGCGGTGCCGGGCGGTCCTGTAATCCCCCAGTATAATAAAGCGGTGCGGGGCCGTCCTGTAATCCCCCAGTATAATAAAGCAGGGGTGATGCAGTGACTGGCAGTGTAGTGTGTGATCTCTACCTGCAGGGGGCGGGTGCATGCTATGATTGCATGCTGTTGGTGACGCTGGGCTGACTGTACGGAACGATCCCACAGCGATCTGTTTCCAGTGGGAAGATACAGGCACGGACAGTGGGAGGAGTCAGCTGCCAATCACATGGCGGTGTCCTGGTGGTTGGCAGTCAGTGGGCGGGGTTCTAGGTGTCATGGCGGCGCTGTGTGGGGACATGTGATGGCTGTAAGGTGCTGCTGAATATGAAGCTATTAACCCTGATCCAGAGGGGCCGTCTGGTTAACCCATTCCATGCCGGGGCTGTGCTTGGCAGGGTCAGGTTATTATTATTATTATAATTCTATAATCTCCATGTGTGGGGTTATACTGACTGCTCCTCTCCTCTAATAATACTGTATATATGGGGGATTTATTAATGAGCCAGTCTGATATCAGTCAGTGTGAGCAGGACTGCCGAGTACTGTAATATAATCACTCACTCACTGTGTCTGTGTTACAATACTCCAGCACCTGGACACATCACTATAACCATGGGCAGCTTACTATTCCATTTGATGTAATGTAGAACATTAATACATTTAATTTCAATTAGACTGATTGTTACATCTAATACCAACATGGCTTTTTATCTTTTGGAGATAAAATCTTGACTTCCAAAGTGACCTTTGTAAATGAATACATGTTTCCTGTAATATAAATGTCAGTGGCAGGTGACCTTACCTATGCATTAAAAACAAAACCATATATATGTGATCATAGAGAATTTCATCAGGGTACGATACCAGCTATAGTAATGAATACATGGCGATCTTTCCTCTAGGAGACATGTTTGATTTTAGCTTTCTAGTGAAGATCTAAAAATTGGTGTCTATTGCGAAGAGTCCCACAGTCAGCATTCTTAGTACTTTTCACAGAACCTTTTGTAGAGAATTGTTTACTAACCCGGAAATTGTAAAGAATTGTAAACTCTGAAGCCAAAATAGTCCATCTGGAAAAATAACTTTTTTTTTTTTTCAAGTTCAGCTACTTTGACCTAAAATCTAGCAATTTTCAGCTTGGTTCTTCACTTCCTGGGTTAGTGTGAAATAAGTATAATTTTACTTGATTGTTGAGTTCCATCCACTTCAGTGGGGTCTCAGCGTTGCAGTAGAATAACTTGGGCACCTTGACAGAAACGAGAATGCAGTGAGACCTACCCTAGTTAAGCTGCTCAGGAACATGTCCTGGGAAATGTATAGGATACGATCATTCCAATTGGGTCAGTTAGAATCCTCTGGGTTTTCATATTCAGGCGAGGGTTTGAGCAAAGGATATTCTCTATTTTGTGGCTTAAAAATATGACTTTGTCGAGGAGCATAAGGAAAGACATTAGCATAATTGTCAGTGTAAAAACGTTCTCCCACCCCCTTTTCAAAATAAATCAAATGCAAATTTGAATAGACCCTGGCTGTAAGAGAGCAGGTAATGTTACTTCCTGGTTGGTTTAGCTCAGTGGAGATAAGCCCAAGAGGCAGCAACTACCCAGAGCACCTGCCTTGCAAAGACTTATCATTGAGCTGCATTGGGAAGTCTGTGATTGGACAGACACAAAGTCTGGGCGGAGTTAGAAGGGGAGGACTTGTAAAAGCTGCAGACAGAGATTTACAGCTCTACAAGCTGGTTTTAGATATACCCACAATGAAAACATACATAATTAAATGTGTGGATGTTATCATTGGGGATATGTCTAATAAAACTGTGATTTTAATTTTTTTATGTTTGTGGCAGTGGAGTGTCCCTTTAACCAATATATAAAGCAGTGCTTTAAAATACACAAAATCTATACAATGTTGAACTTCTCATAACATGTTATGTTTTTTTTCAATTCTATTGACTACAAACTGATGAACATTTTGTTTAACTTTTTATTTTTTCCCTGGATAGAGCTGCTCAGACAGGATCCCAGTGACCAGTCATGGGAATGTCAGTGAAGAGAATCAAGGCAAAATTATACAGGTAGAATACTGTACTGAACAAAAAAAAACAAAAACAAATGTCAGTTTTAAAACATACCTTCCATGTCTGACATAGTTTTTAAAGAGCATAACAAGTCATCTGTATGGTGTTCTGGGTAATTATCTTAAAGGAACACTATAGGGTCAGGAACACAAACATGTATTCTTTTAATTTTTTAATTTTTACACTGTGCGACAGTTCATAGTGTACAGATCATATCTTTCTTTACTGTATTCAACACTTGTCCTCCATCTGAATTATAAATGACTGGTTCATTTTAAATGTAACCATTACTGCAAAAACTACTTCTTTCATATATAAAGAGTTACTTGCTTACAGTAGTTTTATTTTGCTGCCTGTTATGAGTTGTCTGCCTACTTTAGATCCATTTTGTTTTCAGCCCAAAGCTGTGTCTGGGTTTATTAATGAGCGACTCTTACTCTATGAAAAGCTGAGGGCGCACTACGAGGAGAGGCTGACCCAAAGGGTGTTAAAGGAAAGTCGTCCCATCAACATCTTCTCCGCAGGCAGAGAACTTAGAGGGGAGTCTTGGAAAACCACCCCCCTTCAGGTGGCCTTACAGATTCGGTAAGAGCGCCGCCATCAAAATGTCTCTTCACTCAACACAAGCACCCCACCACCCACTGTAACAACTGTTTTTGGTTTTTAGGCCAGATGTGGCTCACCATGCAGTATGTGCTAAAGTGAATGGTGATCTCTACGATATGAACCGGCCGCTAGAAGGGGACGCAGCTGTTGAGTTTGTGATGTTTGACTCCCGCGAAGGCCAGTCTGTGAGTTACTTTACAAGTTAACGTCTATTCAGTAAAGGAGGGCTGTTGGGAATTTAATACGAGTTTATGGAGAATTTATCTCCCCCATCCCAATATCCAAACTGAAAACAGAGCTGACTTCAAGAATATTATCACTGTGGCTATTGAAACTTATTATGTTCTTTGTGTACTTTGAGTTCCCGACACATCACAAACATCAATACAACTGTACAGATTGGGTGTATTGCAGGCGTGACCATCAGCACATTAGTATAGATGTGTCCTTAATAATTCCAAGTCTGTCTGTTGTATATAAGTGCTATGTAATCTTTCCAGAGCAAGCCATTCTCGCTATATTGTGCTTACAGTGCATAGAATAATAGTTCTTGTTTTGCTGTTTATCACAGCATTTAATATTTGGGTTCCAGGAAAGCCCTACTTTCACTAATTGTATATCATCACCTGTGTGATATGAATTTCCCCCAGCTAACCTCTTATCCACACGCTTTCTCCTGACCCAGTTCTTTTTACAACTATCTCGGGCATAATATCTCCAACACAATCTGCACTTTTAATTTGTCACAGATCAACCCTTTACCTCCAAAATCTAAATCTAGCTGTAGAGATTATTGCAATGTATCCAACTTTCTCTTGTTTATGTTTTGCCATGTGCATAACTGCTTTGTTTCAGCTTTGAATTGAGCTCCAGAATACTTTAACACCTGCAAAGCTTTCAATACACTGTGTTCCGGAGACAAAGCCCTGTTGGTTATCCAACATATAACTTGGTAAAAGGCAATTCTTTTTCCTTGAGATAAATGTGACTTGGTTAATTGGCTCACATTTGGTTAAAACGCTGAAAATAGTAACAGATTCTGGTTAATTCCCACCCAATTTTCTCCTTAGGTATTTTGGCATTCCAGTGCCCATATCTTGGGGCTGGCATTGGAGCAGTTCTATGGGGGACTGTTGTGCAGTGGACCCAGTACAGAGGATGGTTTTTTCTATGATGTTCATCTCTCGGGCAGGTAATATGCAGCTACAATGACTTCACCCGTTTTCAGAACTATTAAGCCACACTATTTGTATATTCTGTGTTCAGTACCAGTTAAAGTAAACAGAGTGAGAAATTAACATTGCATTCTGCTCCCTAAATTAGACAAATGCCATGGTGCCACATATATAATCTCATGGCGTGGCTCAAGTTTTGTAACTCTAACCCACTACCCAGCTTGGAAGATGCATGTCATAAGCGTGTATAGTTTCTTTAAAATAATAATTTTTTTTAAATTTTTTTTCCATCCAATCATTTTTTTTCTTTTAAAAATCATGCCAAGTAGACACATGTTTAGGACATTGACCATGGATTGTCTTATGGAAGTAAAACGTGATGAGTGGGGTAAGGTTTTCTGGTACAATGAAGGCAGTTATAGCTAAGTGTTTGTACGTAGTGGGACTGTATAGGTCCCTTTCAGGCGTCTATGCCGTGGTAATGACTGGCTGTGTTTGGTATGCAGACTAAGGCCATGTACAGAATGTACAGGAATAATATTGGTCCCTGCCAAAATAAATAATCATAAATGCACCATTTATTGAACTCTTGTCCTAAGGTATGACATTTGCTATTATTACCTAATTAAGAGTTATCAAATGATGAAAAGAAGAGGCAGCCAGCTGACCCTGCCAGGAATTTACCCTGTGGCTCTGAGATCCGACACATAGATCCCTATTTACTGAGCTATCACGGTGACATGACCCCTACCACCAAACAAGACTTTACTTTAAAAGGTATAATGACAAGCAAAATACAGAAAACAACAAGACGTTGCTATCAGAGCTAACTATGATTTTTTTAATGTAGTAAATTAATAACATATTCATAATATGTAAACATATGCTGGTTATCTCTGTTAGCAGTATTATTGTTTTCTGATTTATTTTAATACTCTAGTGTTTATTTTTCCTCAACCAACTATGTAGGGCTAATCCCCTGCTGATTTTGAACGTTTGCCCACTGACAAAGAAATGATCAGGCTATAATTTTAATGGTAGGTGTATTTTTTTTTGTAGTGCACATATTAGATACAGGCAGGCCTGAGTTGCCCCATAAGCAATCCTTCGGCATTTCACTCACGTAACATGAGGGGTGTATGGTTAACTGGCACAATTTTTATTATTTTATCAAGCTTGCGTATGTAAGTTAGTCATGCAAACAGAGTTGAATCATGCCTGAACTAGGATCATAACTACAAAAGTGGTACTAGTAATGCAGTTTTAAAACCGTTAACAACGACATTTGGTTAGTGCATGTGTACCTGATGGGTGTTTAACAGTTGGCTTATACGGAACAACCTGTTACAGTAAAGTCACTGGTATTTATACTGGTTGGGCTTAATGCTGTAAAAGTGGAACTTGCTTGTAACGTGACATATTTGCTGCAAAAGCATAGTGTGAAGACTGTCTGCTTGAGAAACTCTAGTAAGCGTGCTGTGAATTTTAGGCAACAAGCTTTGAAGTTTCAATAGATTATCGTCGTTTATGATGGACATGCTAGACTGTGTTTGCATACAGATTAATATGTCACGCTTAGATAGGTAGGCAACATGCATAGATTAGCTACCGCTGGTGAGTGCTAGGTGTCACCCCCTCACTCCCCCCATTACTCGTTCAGTCCAGGTTTGTAAACTAAATTTGTGTGACAGAGAGACTTGCTTTCAAAGTGTCCTCACATGTATCTCGGTAGTCTCTGCTTTCTTTGGGCTCAGCATGTTCCCACCGCAGGTCAGCTAGCCGTGTGTAGTGTGACTCTGTCGGGGTCGCTTGGTGGGCGTTGTGCGGCAGACCATGGGTAGTGTGGGGCTCCCGGCAGAGTACCTCTGGCTCTCGGTGTGTCAGGGTAATGGCAAGTTGCGGTTCAGGATCCTGTGGTCTGTTCTGTGTGGCTTGTGTTTGCCTGTTAAGCCTCCCTTTCCGCTGCCTTTCGTGGTCTTGTCCCTCATCCTTGTCCATATCTCAGCTTCATGGGCTGTGTGGCTCGTTTGGGCGCGTGGGTGCATGCGGGTGGATGGCTGCAGTAGTGGTCTGTGCTGCCGTTGCCTTAAATCCGTCCTGTTTGCTGCCACTGCGGGTAAGTAGGTTGTTTCTGGTTTCGGCGCCCGCACATGTGGCCTCCGCCATCTTGGCTGCGCTGCTTGGCTGTGCTGCGCTGTTTCCATTGCGGGTCGGGGCACCCTTGGGTGCTTTGTGGTGGTTGGGGCTCGAGAGTGAGAATCGGGATCACTCCTCGGTCCATACGGGGGGGAACGGAGCCGGTTCCTCGCGGGTCTGGCTCTTGGCAGAGATACAATGGGCGGGATAGTGGAGCAGCTGCCGTCTGCCCCGCTCACCGCCGGAGTAGGCCTCGTTGTGCCAGTGAGGATTTGCAGATCCTTTCCATGTCATTAAGGTTTCGAGGCTGATGTTTGGCAACTCGAACCTTCAGCTCCCTCCACAGATTTTCTAAGGGATTAAGGTCTGGAGACTGGCTAGGCCACTCCAGGACCTTAATGTGCTTCTTCTTGAGCCACTCCTTTGTTGCCTTGGCTGTGTGGTTTGGGTCACTGTCATGCTGGAATACCCATCCACGACCCATTTTCAATGCCCTGGTACATGGCCCCGTCCCTCGTACCTTTTGATGCGGTGCAGTTGTCCTGTCCCCTTAGCAGATAGAAATTCCAAAAGCATAATGTTTCCACCTCCATGTTTTGAAGCAGCGGGCGCTGCAGGATTTCAGTCTTTCACGGCGTAGAGTGTTACCAATTGTTTTTTTGGTGACTATGGTCCCAGCTGACTATGGTCATTAACAAGATCCTTCCGTGTAGTTCTGGCCTTACCGTTCTCATGATCATTGAAACTCCACGAGGTGAGATCTTGCATGGAGCACCAGACCGAGGGAGACTGACCGTTATTTTGTGTTTCTTCCGAATAATTGCACCAACTGTTGTCACCTTCTCACCAAGCTGCTTGGCGGTGGTCTTGTAGCCCATTCCAGCCTTCTGTATGTCTACAATCTTGTCCCTGACATCCTTCGACAGCTCTTTGGTCTTGGCCATGGTGGAGAGTTTGTAATCTGATTGATGGGTTTGTAATCTGTGGGTATTTTCTACAGGTAACAAGCTGAGATTAGGAGCACTCCCTTTAAAAGAGTGCTCCTCATCTCAGCTCGTTACCTGTGTAAAAAACACCTGGGAGCCAGAAATCGTGCTGATTGATAAGGGATCAAATACTTATTTCACTTATTAACATGCAAATCAATTTATAACATTTAAATTAAAGACTGATCATTTCTTTGTCAGTGGACAAACATTCAAAATTAGCAGGGGATCAAATACTTTTTTTTCCTAACTGTATCTGCCCCCCTTCAGTCAGTTTTCTTGAGTTGTGCTATAAACCTTTGTAAACCGATGTTGCCCTGCCTATGATTTAGCCCATGTTACTGTATACAAGTTGCAGCTTGCAAGGTGGATGTTGCCGACTTGATGTATACTGAGGATTCAGAATATGGTGAGCCATCTGTCAGTGGATTGCTTTCCGCTAAGCTCAGATCCATTTCTGTCTAGATTGCTGTTAGAAGAAATTAGAACATTCTTCTTGTTGCCTGGGGGCAGGTGTTGCGAAGCAGTCACTGTGCTGCATGTCAGATAAGGACTATGGGTTCATCCTCTAAATGTTTGGAGCAGACGATGTGACACTTGGCTGTCAGAGCACTCAAAGTTCTCTTACTGATATATGTTTGGGAAATGCTGCAACAATAATGTAGTAGCGGACATATTGTGGAAGAGCCTTAATAAGGGCTTTCCTTGCTATCCGAATCCTGTTGGCGGCGAGCCCTCGGGGGGTGAAGATAAATTACTTTGCGTCATGAGATCTCAGATCTGTATTTGGCCTTTTTTAGGGCTGAAGATAAGTATAATTTTTACTTTATAGGTATTGGTTTTATTGGGGGTTAGGGGGTAGATGGATATGACACTATTTTGGGGGGTGGACAATAGCATGTCTACCCCCTCTTATTTAAAGGGACAGTCCAGGCACCCAGACCACTTCTGCCCATTGGAGAGGTCTGGGTGCCAACTCCCACTACCCTTAACCCTGCAAGTGTAATTATTGCAGTTTTCATAAACCTTGCAGGGTTAACTCCTCCTCTAGTGGCTGTCTACTAGACAGCCATTAGAGGGAGCCACTTGAGGGCACTTCCGTGATTATAGCATTATGTGATACAGCGTCGCTGGACGTCCTGACGCTATGTGAGGACCTCCAGCGTTGCTGAAATCCCTATAGGAAAGCATTGAAAGCATTTTTCAATGCTTTCCTTTGGGGAGGTCTAAGGCTGCGCACGCTCATTAGGTCTCCCCCGCCGGCAGCCGTGCATACGCAATAGGTCTCCCCCGACGGATGACGTCGGTGGGGGAGGAGCATGGGCGGACCCTGACCCAGCGCCGAGGGACATCGGCGCTGGAAACAGGTAAGTCACTGAAGGGGTTTTAACCCTTTCAGCAACTTGGGATGGGGGGTAGGAGGGGACATGCAGTGCCAGGAAAACAGGTTTGTTTTGTTTTCCTGGCACTGGAGAGTCCCTTTAATTAATTAGAGCCCCCACCTGCTGCCCGTGGATGGCACTAGGTTGTTCTTCCTCCCAGTTATCATAAGTAGAGTCCCCACCCACTGGTGGGGGCTAAGGGAAGGTCACTATGTCCTCCCTTGATTATTATAACTGGGGATCCCACCCGCTGCTGGATGGTGAGGGCCAGCTAGAGGACATTGGATCCTCCCCCAATTATTAGTATAGCTTCAACCTTCTGCCACTGGTTAGGGCAGGGTGGTTTGTCATCTGTCCACCCCCAATTACTTATTTAAAAGTTCCTCACGCAATGCCCACTGGTGGGGGCATGGGAGATACATAGCACCCTCTGTTATTTCATAGGTCCCATCCTCCGTTGCTAGTTTTAACCAGTTAGTAGACATGCCCCCACCTGACGCAAGGCAAGTGAGGTTAAAGGGAGGTGTTCATAAAACTGTTTGTAAATTGTAGCTTTGACAGCTGTTGCCATTTAATGTTTGCAGATGACGTAAATACCTATTGCAATCTCTGTCACTTGAGCAGGGGCCTCGCTACCTTTATGCCAAACTGGCCATGTATAATTTAATTATATGTCTTGTCCAACAATGTACAGCACGGCAGTATGTTAATGTGTTAAAAATAAGCATTTTCTTCAGATATATTTTCTATATCTCTTTATTGCTGTTAGTGTTTATGTAGTTCTTTTACAAGCAGTGACTCTTATCACCTGTGAGAAGTTGATCTTCCAATAATTAAACGAAGCGAGTTACTGTGAGAGATGCCGTGATGTGGGTGTTTCAAGTTTTTAGAGAAAACAAGATGTTTAAGACCAAAAACTGTCACACAAGAAACCTCACATAAGTCTGTCTTCTCTGTTGTAGCACGGTGTTGGGCAGCCATCTACCCGATCTGGAGGCGATGTGCAGAAATATTATTAAACAGAAACTTCCCTTCCAAAGAATTGAAGTGACCCGGGAAGACCTTCTGGACCTCTTCAAGGTAAACCGCTGACACAGGGCGACTTTAATCCAAGCCAGGATGCCCTCTATCTGTAATCTGTGGAAACCTCTCTGCCATGTCTCTGAAATCTCCACAGCGGATATAAACAACCAAAATGGCTTAACCCTTAAAAGGCACTTTTGAGCTGTTTTTGTTCTGGACATAGTAGTCCTACGTTGGAACTGTGCAGTTTGACTAGAATCAGTGCTGATTTCCTGTATATAGGAGTAATATAGATTGTGTTACAGACTGCGAAGATACCTGTCCTATCTGTTAATACATTACTCTTCCTATAATGGTAGAATCTCTGGGGAAAAATATTTATAAACCATGAAGATCAGATCGGTCTGAGAACTCCTGTCGGGTTATGAAAGGTTGTTGTGTTTATATTATGTTGTAGTTAGCAGCCTTTGGTTGGTATAGGGGCTACACGTTTATTAGTCTTGCTAGGACTCTAATCACCGCAGGTCCAGAGCTGGCTCCTAATAACATTAAGCAGCCATGTGTATGCAGTTAATTATATCATGCAAGTTGCGTTTTATGTTTTGACAGTGGCTCTCTAACCCTGGATTTACTTCTTGAAAAATCTGATATTTTAACTACAATATTTCAATGAAGTGTGTTTGTTTCTTTTTCCATGATTTTTTTATTTCTTTATACAGTACAACAAATTTAAAATGCGGGTCATTGAGGAAAAGGTGGAAACCTCCACAACCATTTACAGGTATTGTGCAACCTATGAGATCTATAAAAACAAGCTGTATAATACTGGATGTTTTCTAGAGGGGCATTCGAAATACTAAAGTGTTTTCAAAATTCTGAAATAAATACTTAGTTACTGACCCATGCACACTCATACAAATGTCAAAGTGGGGCCCACGTGCATTTCTGAAAGGTGGTGTTGCAGCAAAAGCCACACAGTTCTAATAATAAAAGCAAGAAATATGAGCTTATACTGTATAAACACCTAACATTTAAATGAAAAATATTTGGATTTCATTGTACCTGCTGTGCCTTGAAAAAAACTTTTGGTGCAAATGTTACGTTCAAATACAGGTTCATTAAAAATGTAAAACATCACTTAATAGCAATCATAATGTGCCATTATCCACTATTTTACAAGTTTAGATTTCAAAAGGATATTATGTCTCTTATTTGAAGTAAATCCACTTGGAATGGTAAATATTTAGTCTGTTTTTTTTTTTTTTTTTGACCACTTGTACTGCCTCTGTCCCTGAAATAAGTTCTAAACGTGGAGTAATGAGCAGGACATGTTATTGGTTTCCATGGTGATTGAGCAACGATCAGAACTCTATCCCAGAACATCTCTTTATATAGAACCCTGGCTGTTTTAGGATGGTTGGCCGAGGAGCCAGGTCACAATAGAAAATTTTGCAGGTTCCATATCAGCAGAACATATCTCCTAATATCCTTTGAAACTGCTCTCTGTGTGTTTAGTGATGTGTACCTTCCCAAACAGAATCCAGCAAATACCATAGACAGCCAGGCATTGCTTCACACCACGGGAAACAAATAGATCCGATCCCAGATATAATCCAAAATCCAACAAATCAGACCAGCCTTGTATACTGCAAACAGGGGCGAGCCTGTGTATCTGATTAAACATTTGATAATACATTGTGTCTAGTGAATAGATCCTGTGAGCAACTGATGGGTTTATAGACAAATGGATTAGCTATTTATCATGGTATCAGAATATCCTTATGAGGGGGCTGGAGAATGGTTGTGTTTTTATGTTTCATTTTCTATTAACCTGCACAGTTTCTCCATGTCGGTTACAGAAAATGGGTATGGCCCCTTTAACTAACTATGTAAAACATGTCACCACATTCTCGCAGTCAGAGTTTAGCTGTTTTTAACCATTTCATTGCTAGGCTGGTGTTCTGCATTACTTCCACAGGTGCCAAGGTTGACCATGGGTTATATTTGCATTATGGCCAGAAAAAACCCCCAAATAACTCCTGCTTAATTGAGCATTGCCCGGTAACGCCAATACACGCTGCTCTGCCTTGATTTAGAATCCCAAATGGCTCAGTCCCCGCGTTGTACTCCTTAGTGTAATGAAAATGATGGCGGTTAAGTAAATGAGCAGGCTGCTGGTAATGTGGAAATAAAAATAAAGCCGTTTGCGCCATTAAAGGGTGTAAAATGCTCTGCTCCTTACTGCCAGGTTCCAGTTTTCTCTTCCTTTTCAGAATGATGGAATTTTATTCATATAAAATTCAGGAGCAGTAAGAGCAAGGGTAGTCTGCCTGTGACTTCCCACCTGGATAACGACAGCAGCTAGGATTATGGGTAATGAGATCTACCTGCCTGTTGGCTGCCATGTGCTGTGATTTTCCTTTAACAGATTAGCGCATGCTCTGAAGAATGGCTACAATGTATCAGCCTTTTGCACAGGGCTCATTTTTCGTTACATTGCTTTTCCAGATGCGGCTCCTTGATTGACCTGTGTCGGGGGCCACACGTCCGGCACACTGGACAAGTCAAAGCATTAAAACTCATCAAGGTCGGTCACATTCCTGTATGTCTCAATGTGCTAAGGATTGTGTAAAGGATTCATTTTACTGATTTGTACAAGGATCATTTTTTTCGGAGACTCATCACTTTACACTTGGCTGTTTGTTTGTTAGCGTGTGAAGAGTTAATGTAGCGTGTCACGTTGTATGATAGCTTATGTAAATGATAGGACATTGTTTTCCTTTTACATGTCCGTGGTTTCCTTCCAGCATGTGGCAGGTTATATCTGGAGGAAGAGGGTCCTTGACCTGTTATTACCCCCCTTTAATGTCACTGTCTCACTTCGATGTTCATTGGCCCTGTTTCTCCCATTCTTCTTTTTTTTAATGTGTTTTAAGGGCCCTTCCGATTCTGCTATCTTTCCCAGCAAGGGAGGTCTCATTGCTGGTGTCTGTGTGCCTGCAGGTAGCTGGGCTTATAATACAGAGAAGCAGAGTTCTAGTGAGGCTCATACTGTAGCAGCGCAAACTGGGTGTGACATTGTGCGGATGGCACAGAGTGGAAGCTATGTTTAAATAGGAGTGCAGCTCTATGTAGCAGGAACTATGGTTCTAATGCATGTAGAGCCCATTCCGACTTCTGTTCTGCTTGTAAAAATTTTTGCCAGTGGGAAAGTGAATATTTTCAGCCCTGATCAATGCAAATTGATTGAGTTATAAAAGACACACACCATGTTACTGGTGTTCGCTTTGAGTTGCCGTTTACCCCCTGCCTTGGTTATATAAAATCGTATTCCTGTCTTCTAACAGAACTCGTCAGCATTTTGGAAAGGAGACCCTTCACAGGAAACGCTGCAGAGGGTTTCTGGAACATCCTTCCCAGACAGTAAACAGTTGAAAGAATGGGAAAAAATCCAGGAAGAGGCTAGAAACCGGGACCATCGGAAAATTGGATTGGTAAAAAAAACAGAATGTGTTAAAATATTTCAGTGACATTCCTTGTGTTAAAGAGAAACATAAATCAAATTTTTTTATCATTTTTGTTATGTTGTCATTTACAGCATATTAATAAAGACTATCTTATGAAGTTCTACAAGTCGTAGCCTTTAATATAAAATATATTAGGGTTTTATTCCCTCCTGCAGCCTCTCTGTTGTTAGTGCCTTCCTCTAAACTGTGGTTTTTAGGTTGATGCCAACGATCCAAACAGAGACCAACATGTCTCTGTAGAATACTTGGGAACACAGCAGGGCACACTGGGGCAGGGGGTAATTACCTAGAATCCCAATATCTTTTACACTAAAGGGACATGGATATCAAACTAAAAACATTTATTTCCCATTAAAAGGATATGCAAAGCACCAGAGCAATATTCTATGAATGGAGCCGTTTTGGTGTATAGATCATATCCCTGCAGTATAACGGCTAAGTGCTCTGCCATTTAGGAATTAAAACAATATTCTTTAGAAAGTGCCAGCAATTCCTGTAGTGCTGTACAGTAGGTAGATTCACAAACAATTTGTTACAAGTTGGACTTACAACAGAAGGTGCAGAGAGCCCTGCTCAAATGAGCTGCACATCCCGTGACTGTGACTCGCACAGCTTCGATGAAACAAATTGTTTAATTTTACTGTAGAAGTTCATTTTTCTGTTAATTTAATTTTAATAACACACGGGAGGCTACTGCATGCTCTTACAGGTGGCTAACAGAGCAAGAGATAAGAAGATAGTAAAAATTCTAAATTAAACACAGTGCAATAAGGGAAGCTAAAGGAAGTGAGTAGGGAGGCTGTGTGAGTCTCGGGGTGGGAGGTGATTTAACTCCAAAATGTTAGAGAAATGAGCAGCGAGACTGCAGGTGCATGATCTATACACCAAAACTGCTTCATTGATATGTTAGTTGTGGGGACTATAGTGTCCCTTTAATTTTTCTCTCATGTTAAGCTAAAGTTGTTTTGGTGCTTAGTGTCCCTTTAATTACTCTTAGTACCGAATTGCCTTCCTATGGCATGAAGCTTTTTAACCCCTTCAGGACCGAGGACGGTTCAGGACCAGGACCGTTATCTGCATTTTTCCATTGCCGACCGATGACGGTCTTGAACCATCCTAACGGTCCTAGCTACTTACCTGATCGCCGTCGTTCCCCCAGCGGCGATCAGCATTGCTCCCGGTGTGGGGAGACTGCATGCAGCCCAGACAGTCTCCCCACACCGGAATAGGACCCCTGTGGCCATGTGATCGTTTAACACAGCGACCATGTGTCTGTCTGCAGGGGGACTACCTGTGCTGACAGGCAGTCTCCCTGCTAGTGTAAAATAAAATAAAAAAAATAAAGTTAATGTTAATAAAAAATAAAAAGAATTATACATGTGTATGTATGTATATGTGTGTGTGTGTGTGTGTGTGTGTGTGTGTATATATATGTGTTATATTGATATAATATATGTCTATATAGCATATATATATATGTCATACTAAGTGTATTTTTATATTAATATGTACATATATTAATATAAAAATACACTTATAATTAAATTACACACGTGTATATATATAATATATATAATAACTATATATATTGTGTATATATATATATTATTATAAAATATAAATAAGTAATTTAAATTAAATTACATTTTTTTAAATAATAAAAATTTAAAAAAATATATATATCTATACTAAATTTTATTCTAACTGTATTTTAAAATTAATTTATATATATTTATATCAAAATACACTTAGAATGAATTTGTATATATATCTATGTATATATAAATAAAAATAATACGAAATATACATATGTCAATATACAAGATTACATAAATAATTATATAAATATACACGTAGATTTCAAATATATAAATATGCATATATATTTAAGTTCTACGTGCGTATTTATGTAATATTTTTACATAATTAAGTAATTTTATTGATTGCAATTTGAGGGACCTGCCTGCCTACCCAGGCCGAAAGTCCAGAGAATTTAATTTGCTAGCACTGTATTTTACCCTGTAACGTTCTACGACACCCTAAAACCTGTACATGGGGGGTACTGTTTTACTCGGGAGACTTCGCTGAACACAAATATTAGTGATTCAAAACAGTAAAATATATCACAGCGATGATATTGTCAGTGAAAGTTACTTTTTTTGCATTTTTCACACACAAACAGCATTTTTACTGATGATATAATTGTTGTGATACGTTTTCCAGTTTTTAAACACTAATATTTGTGTTCAGCGATGTCTCCCGAGTAAAACAGTACCCCCCATGTACAGGTTTTATAACATTTTTGAAAGTTACAGGGTCAAATATTTTTACAATGAAAATGGCCAGGTTGGTTACGTTGCCTTTGAGAGCGTATGGTAGCCCAGGAATGAGAATTACCCCCATGATGGCATACCATTTGCAAAAGAAGACAACCCAAGGTATTGCAAATGGGGTATGTCCAGTCTTTTTTAGTAACCACTTAGTCACAAACACTGTCCAAAATTAGCGTTCAATTTAGTTTTTTTTACTTTTTTCACACACAAACAAATATGAATGCTTACTTTGGCCAGTGTTTTCGACTAAGTGGCTACTAAAAAAGACTGGACATACCCCATATTGAATACCCTGGGTTGTCTACTTTAAAAAAAATATGTACATGTGGGGTGTTATTCAGAGATTTATGACAGATAATAGTGTTACAATGTCACTATTGATAAATTTTAAAAATGTATGTTTTGAAACCGCAATATCCTACTTGTACCTATAGCCCCATAACATGCAAAAAAAAGCAAAAAAGCACGTAAACACTAGGTATTTTTAAACTCAGGACAAAATTTTGAATCTATTTAGCAGTTTTTTTCATTCGCTTTTGTAGATGAGTAAAAGATTTTTCAAGTAAAAGTCAAAAAACATGTATTTTTTCAATTTTTCATCATATTTTTTTATTTTTTTTAAATTAAAATACATGAGATTATATAAATAATGGTATGTAAAGAAAGCCCCTTTTGTCCTGAAAAAAACAATATATAATTTGTATGGGAACAGTAAATGAGAGAGCGGAAAATTACAGCCAAACACAAACACCACAAAAGTGTAAAAATATGCCTGGTCACAAATGTACAACATCGCAAAAACAGTCCAATCCTTAAGAGGTTAAACTACTATAATAGGCGTGAAAATCTTGGATTTATCCCAGTAGTTTCAATTAAATATTCTTTTTATTTATTTATTTATTTATTTTTTTGTGTAGTGTTTCTCTTTATTGAAACCCTAACTTCACAATCTCAGGATTGACTTCACTGACAAATATCTGGTCTGGTTCTGCAGCCCGAGGTTTGAACAGACGGCACAGTTGGTTCTTTGATCCAAGTCAGCAATTCTGTACTGCAGGGACTGCGCTGGGAGAGGGCTTGTATATCTGTCAGTGAGATTTACATGGCGGACTCAGCGGTGGCTTGTGTTTCTCTTTTCTTTAGGACCAAAGTTTATTTTTCTTCCATGACCTCAGCCCTGGAAGCTGTTTCTTTCTGCCCAGAGGAGCTCATATCTACAACGTGCTAATCGACTTCATAAAGGTATGGTCCGTGTATTGCATGTCAATCAACCTTAATAACATTCTATGTAGTATCCTGAATATATGTCATGGCAGGCGTAGTATCCTGAATATACGTCTTGGCAGGCGTAGTATCCTGAATATACGTCGTGGCAGGCGTAGTATCCTGAATATACGTCGTGGCAGGCGTAGTATCCTGAATATACGTCGTGGCAGGCGTAGTATCCTGAATATACGTCGTGGCAGGCGTAGTATCCTGAATATACGTCGTGGCTGGCGTAGTATCCTGAATATACGTCGTGGCTGGCGTAGTATCCTGAATATACGTCGTGGCTGGCGTAGTATCCTGAATATACGTCGTGGCTGGCGTAGTATCCTGAATATACGTCGTGGCTGGGGTAGTATCCTGAATATACGTCGTGGCTGGGGTAGTATCCTGAATATACGTCGTGGCTGGGGTAGGATACTGGATGTGCACTGACTGCACTGACGGCAGGCGTAGGATATTGGAACCTAATCCCATACTATGTTACCCGATCAATCTCTAATCGCATACTATGTTATCCGATCAAACTAATCCCATACTATGTTACCTGATCAATCTAATCCCATACTATGTTACCTGATCAACCTAATCCTATACAGGTGTTCCTCACTTTGACATACCTGTTTTATGATGGCTCGCACTTACGACCAGCTCTCTAGTTTGGGGATTCAAGGGATTCCCTACGTTAGAGAGCTGGTCTATGTTCGGGGAATTTTCCCCGAACATAGATTCACGGGATTCCCTGTGCCAGTGAACTGTGGCCACTTCATTTTGCAATCGGGTCGTCAGATCCGGTCGGTAAGTGAGGAGTGCCTGCACTGTGTTACCCGATCAAGCTAATCCTATACTATGTCATCCAATCAAACTAATCTTATATTATGTTATCTGATCAAACTAGTCCTATACTATGTCATCCAATCAAACTAACCATGCTATGCTACACGATGAAGCTCCCCTTGTTGTAATCCTTTCTGAATCTCATGTAGGTGAATGCATTAGTTTTCTGTATTTAAATAATATTCTGTATTATTGACTGTACATGACTGTATTCACAGAGATCATTATGTGCCTGCGAGACGCAGACTCCATTTCCTGTGACACCAGTGACAACACACGCCAGTGAATATCTTGAGCGCTGTCCTACCCTGTAGCCATACGTAAACACATACAGGGACATCATGCATACATACTCATCATAGTTTGGCAGAAGAATCAGCCCCATATGCTACTGTCCACCTCAAAATATCCCAGTGGGTCAGTCTAGGCCTGGAGAGCTTTGAGCCAAGTACAAATCCAGACAATGCTGGGTTAGCAAAGACCCTGTTTAAACCAGACTGCTACCTCATCCCTGCATTACTTTACTAATAGACATCCCATTCCACTTCCTGCTCTCTCCGTCCACAGAATAATAGTGAGAAGCTGCAGCCGCTGTACAAGGGAGACTCATGGCTTTGTCATCCCAACTCTTAACTATTTTGCGCCAATAAAAACGGAATTCTTTTTTAGAGATCTGCCATCCGTATTGATATATCAAAACATGCACACTTTGTCTACACTATGCTTAATAGTAAATCTAAGATGATAAAGTACTGGATACAATTCCTCTTGATATAATACCAAATCAGTGCTGTAAATATCAGTATAAGTCAGAGATTTTGGATTCCCTACGCTGAGACTGAAATCATTCGGAAACATTGAGTTTGTGTTGGTTATTCGTAACAAATGTGTTAATGTTTTATGATGTAAGCAGGAAATTATGTAGACGTTGTTGAAGATGGTGAATCTACACGATTAATATATTGACTCAAACTTTCCCTACTGAGTGGACTGCTGGCGCGGTCTGCGCCCTATCTGTCTGTAAGATTGTCTGCTGCAAGCTCATGTTAAATATATGTTGAAAATAATTAACTTGGTTTTCTAAATTAGGATACCGATACTGTTAGATTAAATGGTTGTCAGAGCCATTTCCTGGGTGGTGGTGGAGACGAGATCTTCAGCTGGTTGGGGCAACCTGTTCTATCACCCCATGGCTGTGCTTGAAGCCATAGTGGATACAGTTTTGATGTTAGAATATATAATTTTATTAGAGTTATGGGTTAGACACCAGTCTCTACATCCTCCAACCCTGCAGGGCGAGTACAGGAAGCGGGGCTTCACAGAAGTAATCACCCCAAACATGTACAACAACAAGCTGTGGGAGAAGTCTGGCCACTGGGAGCACTACGGCAAGAATATGTTCTCCTTCACCATTGAGGACGAAATGTTTTCCTTAAAACCAATGAATTGTCCTGGTCACTGGTGAGTTTGGGCCTCAGAATCTGTATAATAAACAGAGGGATGCACCCTGTAGTGTCTGCTTGCACATTGGTACTTGTGAAGAAAATTTGTGCACTCAGAATCCAAAGGAGTCATATATTTGATATGTGTGTTAGATCCCCCATATTATTCGACACAAACACAAGATTCCTTCTTATTGTGACGCTTGTATTATTCTGATCAATCTGTTTCTGAATTTCTTAGTCTTATGTTTGACCATCGGCCCCGTTCATGGAGGGAGCTTCCTTTGAGGCTGGCAGATTTTGGGGTGCTGCACAGGAATGAGTTATCTGGCGCACTGTCAGGATTGACGCGAGTCCGGCGTTTCCAGCAAGATGATGCGCACATTTTCTGCTCGATGGACCAGGTGTGTGGGAATGGACTGTTGAGAGATGACAAGTCATCAGGAGTTTCAGGACAGTTTCATCAAACATTCATCTCTTTTATTTTTCCCCTGTAATTAACAGCTGGAAAGTGAAATCAGTGGCTGTCTGGACTTTGTGCGTGCTGTGTACTCTGTTTTTGGCTTTACTTTTAAATTCTACCTCTCAACCCGCCCAGAGCAGTTTTTAGGAGATCTGGAGGTCTGGAATAAAGCCGAAGAGGTAAGATCTTACCATTGGCAATCAGTCTTGAGATATATATATATATATATATATATATATATATTTGCCAAAAAAAGTATGTGAACCCTTTGGAATGATATGGATTTCTGCACAAATTGGTGATAAAATGTGATCTGATCGTCATCTAAGTCACAACAATAGACAATCACAGTCTGCTTAAACTAATAACACACAAATAATGAAATATTGCCATGTTTTTATTGAACACACCATGTAAACATTCACCCTTGGATTTAATAACTGGTTGAACCTCCTTTGGCAGCAATAACTTCAACCAAACGTTTCCTGTAGTTGCAGATCAGACGTGCACAACGGTCAGGAGTAATTCTTGACCATTCCTCTTTGCAGAACTGTTTCAGTTCAGTAATATTCTTGGGATGTCTGGTGTGAATCGCTTTCTTGAGGTCATGCCACAGCATCTCAATCGGGTTGAGGTCAGGACTCTGACTGGGCCACTTCAGAAGGCGTATTTTCTTCTGTTTAAGCCATTCTGTTGTTGATTTACTTCTATGCTTTGGGTCATTGTCCTGTTGCAACACCCATCTTCTGTTGAGCTTCAGCTGGTAGACAGATGGCCTTAAGTTCTCCTGCAAAATGTCTTGATAAACTTGGGAATTCATTTTTCCTTTGATGATAGCAATCCGTCCAGGCCCTGACGCAGCAAAGCAGCCCCAAACCATGATGACCCCACCACCATACTTCACAGTTGGGATGAGGTTTTGATGTTGGTGTGCTGTGCCTTTTTTTCGCCACACATAGTGTTGTGTGTTTCTTCCAGACAACTCAACTTTGGTTTCATCTGTCCACAGAATATTTTGCCAGTACTGCTGTGGAACATCCAGGTGCTCTTGTGCAAATTGTAAACGTGCAGCAATGTTTTGTTTGGACAGCAGTGGCTTCCTCTGTGGTATCCTCCCATGAAATCCATTCTTGTTTAGTGTTTTACGTATTGTAGATTCGCTAACAGGGATGTTAGCATTTGCCAGTGACTTTTGTAAGTCTTTAGCTGACACTCTAGGATTCTTCTTCACCTCATTGAGCAGTCTGCGCTGTGCTCTTGCAGTCATCTTTACAGGACGGCCACTCCTAGGGAGAGTAGCAGCAGTGCTGAACTTTCTCCATTTATAGACAATTTGTCTTACTGTGCACTGATGAACAGCAAGTCAACAATTCTTAATCGTAGGTCTTCTGAGAGCTCTTTTGTCCGAGGCATCATTCACATCAGGCAATGCTTCTTGTGAAAAGCAAACCCAGAACTGGTGTGTGTTTTTTATAGGGCAGGGCAGCTGTAACAAACACCTCCAATCTCATCTCATTGATTGGACTCCAGTTGGCTGAGATCTCACTCCAATTAGCTCTTGGAGATGTCATTAGCCTAGGGGTTCACATACTTTTTCCACCTGCACTGTGAATGTTTACATGGTGTGTTCAATAAAAACATGGCAACATTTCATTCTTTGTGTGTTATTAGTTTAAGCAGACTGTGATTGTCTATTGTTGTGACTTAGATGATGATCAGATCACATTTTATGACCAATTTGTGCAGAAATCCATATCATTCCAAAGGGTTCACATACTTTTTCTTGCAAGTGTGTGTGTGTGTGTATGTATATGTATGTATATATATATATATATATATATATATATATATATATATATATATATATATATATATATATATATATATATATATATATATATATATATATATATATATATACACACCGTACAGAGAACGCCAGATAAATCTTGCAAGTGTATGTGTGTATATGTATGTATGTATATATATATATATATATATACATACATACATACATACACATACACATACACATACACACACACACACTTGCAAGATTTATCTGGCGTTCTCTGTACGGTCTAAAAACTTGCAATGTGAGAATATTCTCACATTGCAAGTTTTTAGACTGTACAGAGAACGCCAGATAAATCAAAAAGATAGTGACAGGGGGGGTTTTCACAGTGACTCTATCTCTGCTACCAAGCAGTGAAAGCAAGTACTTACATTCACTCCAGCAGGTAGGTTTACCAAGAACGCAAGCAAATTAGTCAAATGTCTTCATAGTATGACAACACCGAAACACATTATACAGCATATAACTCTGTTTCCATACCAAGTTCTAATGTCACTTAAACATGTATGCACGCTATAAACAGTGATGTGTAGAAAGCCCATAGAGGAAGCACAGGAAGGATTCAGTCAAGTCACGTTTGCCTAAAGTCCTGACTACAGTTTATCCAGAGGGTGCCCTCTGTGGACACATGTGGAATTGCATAAAGTGCAATTCCTGTTTAACAGAGGCTACACAGAAGTATGCAGTGTTAGCAGCCATTGCCAGATAGATATATATTTATTTATTTAAGGCTGGGCTTGTAGTTGTGGAAAGGGGCTTGGGTCCCCTTTATAAGGGCCTCCAATCCTCTCTCACTCACCGTTATTGGTCTGGGGAGTTGAGTGTGAGTACTTCCGGTCACTTACAAGTCGCCATTTTGCTGTTCTTACTTGTGTCCCTGTGGTCCTGGTTCCTGGCTTCCTGTCCGTCTGGTTCTACTTTCCTGACTGCTTACCGAACATTTAAAGCCCACTTCCTCCTCCAGCTTGCTCCGAGACTGACCTGGAAGTGACAGTTGAACAGTAACCACCTCTTATCATTTGCTCTAGATTACCCTCTCGCTCAACAACCTAAGCCTAACCCCCCTCAACTCAGGAGGAACCTTAATTCTATTGACCTCCAGCAGCTGTCAGCTGTTATTGATTCACAACTATTATTCATCCCCTCCCTCTCTTGTCTCTCACTGGCCATCTCCACATATAACACTACCTTCACTTCTGCCTTGAACGCTGCAGCACCGCTCCAAACATGCACCTCGAGGAGGCCACGCACCCAACCGTGGCATACTAAATCAACATTCTACCTGCAAAGATGCTCCTGTTGTGCTGAACGCTCCTGGAGTAAGTCTCGCACCCAGTCAGACTTTCTCCATTATAGATTCATATTGTGTTCATACAGCGCAGCCCTTGCCTCGGCAAACAATCATACTTTTCCTCTTTCATTAGTTCATGCTACCACAATCCCAGGCGTCTCTTTGACAGCTTTAACTCTCTTCTTCTCCCTGCTGTGGCCACCTCTCAAACTAACCTTACAGCCGATAGCTTTGCATGCTACTTTACCGACAAGATTGAACAGCTAAGGAAATATTCTCCCCACCCTGCCTTTATCTTTCTCAACCACACATAGATCATGCCTTTCCTACCCTTCAGACTTTCTCTCCGGCTGCTGAACAAGAGGTGGCTGCTCTTCTCCTTTCCTCTCGCCCCCACCACTTGCCCGCTTGATCCTGTCCCATCTCACCTTGTCTTGTGCCTTCATTAACACACATCTTCATCTCTCTTCTGGCATTGTCCCTGCTGACCTTAAACATGCTACTGTAGTACCTATCCTGAAAAAAACATCTCTTGACCCGTCCTCCCCATCTAACTATCATCCCATATCCCTGTTCCCTTTTTCCTGAAAGCTTCTGGAAAGACTTGTCTTTACCCGTTTGTCTCACTTCCTCAATTCCAACTCTCTCCTTAACCCTCTTCAAGCTGGCTTCCGCACTCTCCACTCTACTGAGACTGCTCTTATCAAAGTTACTAACGACCTAATCCCAGCTAAATCCAAAGGCCACTGCTCCATACTAATTCTTCTTGACCTCTCTGCTGCCTTTGACACCGTTGATCATGCTCTCCTTCTTCAAACTCTTCAGTCACTCGGTCTGTTTGACTCTGTCATCTCTGGGTTTTCAATTTGTCTCTCCCAATGCTCATTCAGTGGCTCCTTTTCCAAGGATACCTCCTCCCTTCGTGCTGTCTGAGTTGGAGTCCCCCAAGGCTCTGTCCTTGGTCTCCTTCTATTTTCTCTTTCTACTGTCCCTCTTGGTAAACTTATTGCCTCATTTGGATTCCACTATCACCTGAATCCTGATGACACCCAGTTATATCTCTCCTCCGCGGACCTCTCCCCTGCCGTCCTGCAACATGTCACTTTTTGACTCTGGCCTCACCTTTCAGTCTAACATCCAGCATGTTACCACATCCTGCAGATTCTATTTTAAAAACATAGCCCATATCCGCCCCTTTCTTAAGCAAGATGCTACTAAGGAGCTTGTCCATGCTCTAGTAATTTCCTGCATGGATTATTGTAACCCTCTCCTAATTGGTCTTCCCAAAAATCGTATTGCCCCACTACAGTCTGTAATGAATGCTGCCGCCAGACTGATTTTCCTCTCCTGTCATTCCTCTCACACCTCACCCCTCTGTCAGTCCTTACATTAGCTTCTTGTATCCTATAGGAGTCAATTCAAAGTACTAACCCATACCTATAAAGCATCGAACAATTCTATCCCCTCCTACATCTCCTCACAGATCCATAGGTATGCCCCTTCTTGGTCTCTCTGCTCTGCCCGTGACCTTCTGCTGTCCGCTGCTCGCACCCGTATAGCCAACTCAGGCTTGCAGGACTTCTCGCGGGTGAATCCCTTCCTATGGAATAGCCTGCCTACCGCCATCAGACTCTCCCCTAGTCTTGCATCTTTTAAGAAGTGCCTTAAAACCCATCTCTTTAGGAAAGCTTATGGCCTTCCAGAGTAACCGCTATCCCTCATACCTGTCTCTTGCTCTCTCCAAAAGGGCAGCACTCTACTCTCTCCTCCAGCTCTGCTTCACTCCAACCATAGACTAGTGGACCAACAACCATCCTCATACTTGGAGGTATAAGTCCATCGGTCCAACGCATAGATATTTGCCTAACACATTTGCATAGAGATGGCCTCACTTGTCACTCTCATACTATCTTCTGCTTTAACCGGTCCCTTACAGTGCAACAAAACTGGACAAAGTTATCAAGGATAGGGACATTGTCTTTCTAGGCAAGTCCTAGGTTTGCAATCATTTTACAATGATTATATGATTTGTAATACCTGGCGTTTTACTGATACTTACGACCTAGAGGATTCACCACCATTAATATAACTTCCACATATTACCAGAACACTTTTAATATCCACAAATCCATAGATCATTACATCCTTTCACTCCCCCACTCTAAAACAAAAAAAAAGCCAGATGGTGTCCAGTTAAGGGTTAAATATTTCAACACCTTTCGCAAACAACCACACCAACCGGTACTAGAACTACACGGTTCCATTCTCACTACTGCTGCGTTTATGCTCCATGTCCGTATGTTATTGACAAGACTTGGCCTCAATGCTACTCATTACTCAGGACACTCATTTCGCATAGGGGCGACATCATCTGCTTCCTCCAATCACATTCTAGCAAATATAATAACGATCACGGGATGCTGGAAATAATCAGCTTACACACTATACATACCAGAACCAGTTAAATAGATTCATGAGGCTTTTCGTGACTTATCCCAGTAATTTTGATGTATTGTAGAACAAATATAATGTTGTATGATACACTTTATTACAGGCCTACTGCATTGTCGGTTCCTGTACACTACAACCAACTGGTGTTATTAACTATAATATTTATTACAATTTATATGTTATCTAACTCTTACGGCAATATTGCCCCAACCATAAATAAATATATATATATAGATATATATATATACACACCTGTGATATTTGTGTGTATTTAATTTTTGGTTTCTCTACAGGAACTCGAGAAAAGTCTGAATAGCTTTGGTCTCCCGTGGGAGTTAAATCCAGGCGATGGAGCATTTTATGGGCCAAAGGTAAGCGTTTGATTAACATTAATAAATCCTGATTTCAGTGTGCATTAGGATAGAACTTCATAGCCGTGAGCTCAGTGATCACCCGTCAGTCAACCTATAGTCACACACTGCTCGTGGCTTACTGCGTTAGTGTTTGACAATTCCACTCATGTGAATGATGTTGACATGATATGTGAGCTGTCACTAATTTGGTGTTTTTGTGTGTAATACTGTACTGTGTGGCCAACCCTGGTTTCAACAAAACTATCTCTTCAAAATCCCACTTAATGGTTAAAAGGACACCGGTACTGGGATAGGTATTAATACCATTTTAATTAATTAATTAATACCATCTCATTGAACTAAAACCATGACATCTAATTGAATTGGTTAAAGTGCCTGAGTCCCCTGACGCTCTCCCTCCATTCAGTGTTAAACCCTTTTCTAGCAGTTTAACACTGAATGAGGGTCCCTGGCTTTCCATAGCTCCACCCCCACTGGAGGTGTTGCTAGGACAGAGATTACACACTTCTTTCTAGCTATACCGATTCATACCTGCAGTGGGTGCTGTGATAGACTGAAAGCGGTCAGCTGACATTCTCAGCCAATCACATCTACCCATTGCTGTTCAAACTAATGCTTCCTCATTAGCCCAAGCAGCACAGGGGCAGGGGGTGCTGGGGACTTTGGTTAAACATTAAAACATCAACAAGGGTTTAACTCTGAATGGAGGACGGCACCAGGGGACCCCAGAAACTATAAGCACTTAAATTAGATGAATTGGTTACAATGCCTACAATGGAAGGAACACTGCAAGCACTTTAACAGTCTATGCTACATACGTGTAGAAGGATGACCCCTGCCCCTTTCTTATTATAACTAAAATCACCTCACTCGTCAAATCTGCTCATGTCGTTTGTCTGTGAATTTACTGAATTATTATTATTTATTTTTTTTGCTTTGATTGGCTGGGCTAATGTAAAGTGCACCACTCCTCCTCTGCAATTCTCTTGTCGGTTCTCCATAGTTCTGTTTTGTTTTTTTAGATTCCAAAAGGGAACAAAGCCGTGCCTATCATGGTGTTTAACATGCTGCTAGCTAAATGAGAATAATATTGCTGTCTGCATGAATGCTTTATTTGTGTCTTTACAATCCATGGTCGTGCACCGCGTTCCTGGATTATTTACTTTATTTTACTTGTAACGCAAGACGGGTATGAGTTATGTGTATTTCTTATCACTTACTCAATCAGTCTGAAACATGTCTTTTTAAACCACTCTCTGACCAGAGGCTGATGGCCTCTAACCTCATTACTGGATGTGATAATTCCTAAATCTACGTACTTCACCTCCCACTTGAACATTGCAGATTTCTAAAGAAAAACCACAGCCCCGTCCCACACAAACCCATGCTCAACCTCTATAGGAAGCCACTGGGATTGTATTGACACAGCCGCACGTCAGCCCCCCTATTGTCCTGTAGCAATCCTCCAATTTGGTGAATATAGTTTAAAGCACAATTTTTTGTAGGTTGCAAGCAATGCGAATGTGTCTAGGTTCAGCCTGGCAACTCTCACTGGTTATGGTTTCTATATTGCATATTGATTAACATTTAATTGACTCTCTGCTTAGTATAAGTCAAATATAGATCTAATGCGCTATAATATAAATGCTCAATTTGAGCAGCTTTAACCCTTAAAGGACCACTCTAGGCACCCAGACCACTTCAGCTTAATGAAGTGGTCTGGGTGCCAGGTCCTTCTAGGGTTAACCCATTTTTTCATAATTATGGCAGTTTCAGAGAAACTGCTATAATTATGAATGGGTTAAGCCTTCCCCCTAATCCTCTAGTGGCTGTCTCATTGACAGCCACTAGAGGCGCTTGCGTGCTTCTCACTGTGAAAATCACAGTGAGAGCACGCCAGCGTCCATAGGAAAGCATTGTAAATGCTTTCTTATGAGACCGGCTGAATGCGCGCGCAGCTCTTGCCGCGCGTGCGCATTCAGCCGGCGGGGCGTAACGGAGGCGGAGAGGAGGAGGAGAGCTCTCCGCCCAGCGCTGGAAAAAGGTAAGTTTTTACCCCTTTCCCCCTTCCAGAGCCGGGCGGGAGGGGGTCCCTGAGGGCACTATAGTGCCAGGAAAACAAGTATGTTTTCCTGGCACTATAGTGGTCCTTTAAGTGACTGCTTAAACCTGGGAACGCTCACAGTATCTTGTGGAAGTGTTTAACACCGAGGCTGAAGGGTTTCTTTTGTGAATACCTTAATTATAATTTCCACATTTTCGCCCATGCATTTCATTCCTGGACAACACCGTAAATGAACCCAATGGCTGGCCAGATAATTAATTTTAAGAGCTGACCCTTGTTTAGTATTGTATTGTTTAATAGAGTAATATCTGCTTGTTACACACCATTATATGCTCCATTTCTGATCAGACTATTATTTTCCTTTAGATTGACATTCAGATACAGGATGCGATGGGTCGCTACCATCAGTGTGCAACGATCCAGCTCGACTTCCAGCTGCCAATTCGATTCAATCTCCACTACATGGGGTGTGTAGCCGCTTTCTGTGCACACCAAGTTTGAAGTCATTTATTCTGTTACCAGACAGACATAATCACTTTCTTCGTGTTTTCATTCCAATATTTTTGGCTTACTTCCCATGTTGCTGTTGCCAAGTCCCTGCGGCGTTTCCCACATATTGTTTCTGTGTGTTGGATTCTGCAGACGGAGTGGTGAAGTCTTGTGTTTTTCTTGCAGTAAATGGCGGTGTATTCCGTGTTGGGTGGGGTTGCTGGGAAAGAGATTAACAAATAACAGCCAAACGATTGGTTTTATTCTAGAAATTGTATTTGAACAGAACGAGAAGGATTGCTGCACCACTGCGGATTCCGGATCATAAACTGATAATCCTCATTCTGGCCCTCTCCATAACCAAGGGTCTCTGGGAGAGAATACAGGCCACATCCATTCAGAATATCTGTGCATTTTCATAGTCGGCTCATATCATAGATTTGAAAATAAAATAAGGTTTATTATGGGAAATTTAATTTGTGTGTCTACACCTAAAAATGTCAGTAAAAAACATATTAAGGTATTCTTGTTTTTGAGGGGATAGCCTATAAGTCACCTAAATTGAGTTTACTTATTTTACCGCAAACCGATTCCTTTAATGTTAGAAATTATTATGAATCTGAAACCATTTCTCTTTTTTTTTCATACGCAGAAAAGTTGAAGGCACAGTGGAAAGGCCAGTCATGATCCACCGAGCTGTTTTGGGGTCGGTGGAACGGATGTTGGCGATATTGGTAGAAAACTATGGGGGGAAGTGGTAAGCATTTGTTCACCAATGATAAGGATTCTAGCACCAGGAAGTATCTGGTGGGGGAGATACTGCGTAAGATGAGTTGGGTGTTTCTATTCTCAGCCATAAATACGTCACGCTGTTGTTTAATACTAAAAACATTTTTTCTTTTGCAGGCCTTTATGGCTTTCACCATTCCAGGTTATGGTTATACCTGTGGGAGCGAGTACGGAGAGTTACGCCCATCAGGTGAGACAATCTCTAAATCGCTCTCATTTCAAATTTTGGTTTATGAGGCACATCCACTCACTTCTCTACCCATCATGGAGTTGCAAAAAAACAACGTTTCTTTTAAGATATCAATCTTCTTGCCTGTACACTGGGTAGATTGCACGTGTATACCTACCCCAGAGCGAGTTCACTTTAAACATGATGCATTCTCATCTCAAGCAAAAGTTTGGATGTCAAAAAATGTTGTAAAAGAATGTACTCTGAGTTCAAAATGGTTTTGTTTTTTTCCACGGCTGCCAGATTGATATTTCCATTTTGAAATCCTTACAGAAAGTAACTTAACTAAAATAACACGTTGGCAAATCCAGCAAGTGAGAGCCTTTAGGAAATGAGTAAAATGTCCTTAATTATACGATTACTGTGCTTGGCAAACCAATACATTTGGGGAATTGCTGACATTTCGAGCAATCCATGTGTTTATTATTCAGCATTTCTCAGCGAGCAGTGACTTCTAATGGGTTTGTACAGTTTGTTTCCTCATACACTGTAAAATGACCAATCCAGTACGGATTTATTATTTATTACTCAATATTTCTAAATTCTACATTACAACATCTGCTTTCCTGAATGCTAGGTGGTTTATTAACTAATCTGTGCAAAGTTTAGGCAAAAACAAACAGATTTAGAACATTCCCAGCTGATCTATAGGTACATCTTTACTCTCTTAGGTTGAATTTAGCTAATGGGTTTTGGTGATATTTTCACTATTTCTCAAGTGTCTGTGTAATATTTAGATCTCAATCCATGTGTTTGTGTATGCATATTTTAAAATCTCATTCCAAAGGAATGTTGGTCAACAAGCTAACTCCAGCTCGAATAATGGTGTATATGTAATTGTCTCGAATATGACACTTTTAGATGTCAACTGCTCTATATTGCATATAGTTATGTGAATATACTTTATAGAATTATGCTGTTTATAAAACATTCCCATATGCAGAACCTTAAATACAAGTCATCAACGAATAGCAATGAACAATTCAGTTGAGCGTGTAGATCAGGCTAAGGGCCCTACTAAAGGAAGTGGGCTATGATGCTTCCCAATGAGAGGTAGATTTTGTGCCTGGGTGTATGATTCTACTTCGTTTATGTACCTTTTTGTCTTCCTGTAATACAATGTTGGGTGCAGACATGTCAAGGACAAAACATAAACTACCTAAGCCGATACTTTGCAATAAAGCAAGGATTGGCAATACACATAGCTTCTGTACAATAGGGTTTACATGTTGAATGAGATTCCACCGAGGACCTGGGGTAGATTAACTACAGGATGGAACTTAAGAATAGGATGCTATTCACCATGTCTCTTCTGCTGGTTCAAATCTTTGTATCTTTTGTCTTCTCTCAATATCTGACAGGTGCAGAGGACAATTCATGAACGTGGCTTCATGGTGGATGTGGATGCCAACCAAGGGACCACTCTGAACAAAAAGATCCGCAAGGCCCAGCTGGCTCAGTATAACTTCATTCTCGGTATTTTGACTGGTTATCTAGAGCTTCCCTGTCTGTATGATCCTCTCCTTTATTCTTCTGTTTCTCCTCTGTATAAATTCTTACCTTTCTCCTAACTGTGTGGCCTGAAATGGACTTTCTATACCCATTGGTTCTTGGAGATAGTGTCAGAAAAAGGAAACCTCCGATTACAATCATTCTTCGCTCAGATGGCAGAAAGGAGAAATATACACACTCTCCTAAACGCATTGTGACTCATAAAGCAATTATAGCAGATTTTTTATTTTTTGTCTTTAAATTGTAGTTTCTATGGTACCACTAATTTGTGTTTGTTTTGTCTCTGTTGTGGTTTCTATTACGCCAAATGGTTTCATACTGCGAGGAAGGAAGGACAGATCAGATGAAAAGATAGAGAGATATATATTTTATTTTTATCTATACATTTTTTTCAACCAGAATAAGACAAGGCTTTGTGGGAGAAGCATTCAGGGGTCCCCGATCTCCAAGTTGGGTTAGACCAGTATCATTGGCCGGTCCTTCTATGATGTATTGTGTTGTTACTGGGAGAAAGCATTAACTCCAGAAGGATCAAGATTTAAGCAAATTTCTTTCTCTCTTGATATGACTGGGGTGACCCTAATCCCTAATGGGTTAAAAATGAATGGCAATTAACAGTCCATCCACTCTGCAAGGGGGGGGGGTAGGGGAAAAGTTAGATACCAAGATGGCAGGACATAAAACTTTGGATCCAAAGTTGGGAACATTACAGCAACACTGCTATCTCAGGAGTACAAATCTGTATTCCTAACGCCATAGTACAATAAACCCTATTTAGATTTACCCTCCCTGTGCAAAGTGAAAGTTAGAAATAAACCTACTTTTACCTATTTTCCAGGGCCAAGCCTCCCTCTTTTCTGCTGCCTGCTCAGCTTCCTGCAAAGTAATTGTGGATACATCACTTCCACGTTTATTTCCCTTAGCACCATTATTTTTCCAGCATGATCTTTCTGGTGTAAAATGTGCAATATTCTTTACATTTTGCACATTTCCCAGCCCGCAGAGCAACAACTGGCAGCTCACCAAGGCTACAATTCAAAATGTTTTTGTATATTGAAGAACCAGCCATGTCTGCTGTAAACCCAGAAAATGTTTAATGTGCCCTGATTTCCAGAGAAATTAAGCAAATTGTCATGTGCATATTAAATGAGGTCTGTGCGTTTCTCCTAATTGTAGACTTGTATAAACACCCCAGTGTGACGTGTTGCGGTTACTGGCAGACTGACTATCCCTGTGACCTGCATCAGATAGCGAGATGTTGCACCGATTCTCAAATAGCGTATAATTATGGTTTAGGTTTAGAGTATCAAAGTGTAAAATCACACGGTTTTGCTTCCTGCAGTGTAATTTAAGCATGGATACATGCCACATTTCTGCTGTTTGAATTTCAATCCTTGTCTTTTTTTTTTTTTTATTAATACAAATGCTACTTTTCATAATGTATATTGGGGGACTCGAGGACCAATGTTTGTTTTATTTGTGCCCACCATTTACTGCTCATGGGCTGGGTACTTACAGACTCCAAACATTCTGGGTTTAATTAACTAAATAAAAAAATTCTAGTACATATAAAATTAAATTGCAAAAATAGTAAATTTTAAAATGTTCTCAAACTATTCTAATTTAGGATAAATTTTGCAATTCACTGTCCAGTTTACTACATTCTTGATGTTTTTGAGCGAACCTCGATAGTTTACTTGACCATAAGTAATGATGTCAGAGCCATAGTTTAAAGGGGCTTTGCTGCTGTGCCTCCTGGTTAGTCTGGGTAGAGGAGCACAGTGTCTTGAGATCCAGGCAGTGAGGATTTTAAATGGGGGAGAGATCTGGTTGCTGCAGGTAATGCGGTACGGATCTTTGCCTGCATGTGTTTTTACATTAGTTTATTCTCTCCTGCGTTAAAGGAACACTATATACAAACATGTATTCCGGACACTATATTGTTTAACTGTTTAGGTAACCGCCCCCTTAGATCACACGGAAAAGGTGTTTCTATTCCCCTTTTCTCACACGCCAAGTCGGGTTCACTGTGGCTGTCCCCGCCTTCATGGCTGAGATAACCAATCTGAGATCAGCATTTCCTTATAGAGATGTGTTGAATCAATGCATCTCTATTGGGAACGTTAAGCCGCTCCACGTGGATCTGCGTTAGGAAGCACCTCTAGCAGCCGTCTGAGTGACTGCCATTGAGGTGTTCCTAGGCACTAATGTAAAAACTGCCTTTTCTCTGAAAATACTGCATTTACAGTGCCCAGCCTGCGGAGACAGGCTATAGAACCACTACATTAAAGGATTACTATAGGGTGTATTCCTGACCCTATAGTGAAAATCCACCATTTAGGTGGCTTTCCCCCTTCCTCCTTATCGCCATTATAAAAGTTTAAAACTCCCCTTATTTCCAGCTCTCCACAGGTCTGCCGGCCCTGGCCCCGCCCCCTTGGTGACATCCTCAAAATTGCCGATTTTTGGGGAAAGCATTGGATTGGCTAAAACCGCTAAGGGGGTGGGGCCAAACACCGTTTTGGCCAATCAGCACCTCCTCATAGAGATGCATTGAATCAATACATCTTTATGAGGAAAATTCTGCGTCTCCATACAGAGCGTGGAGACGCTGAACGGCAGGGCTGCTTACTGTGCAGTACTGAGCCAGGAAGCACTTCAATTGGCCAAAAGGCAGTGTTTGCATGAAAATGCCTGAAGGGAGCTATTATATTCACCAGAACAACTACATTAAGCTAGTTGTTCTGGTGACTATAGTGTCACTTTAAGCTGCAGTGGTTCTGGTGACTATAGTGTCCCTTTAAGGTAGTAGTGCTGTATAAAGGTCAGAGATTAAAGAGATTGTTTTAGCTCTGTTTAGATCCTGTAACCTGCAGCACAAAATAAGTATTCTTTAATTAAGTAATTAATAAACGTAACCCAGTATATAGATATGGGCAACCGTTCCACTGAATCTGATCTTATCTGACTGATTTTGGTGTAAAGGCAAATCTTTACTAGTTTGGGTTTCCTTATTCAGGAACAACGTAAATTTGTGTCTCCACCAGACCGCCTTATTGGATTGCTCCCAAACCCAGTCTTATTATCACTCTATTTGAAATGTTGTGATCTCGCATAAACACATGGACGAGTCTGCGATTTAAACTAGTTTGATTAGTGCTCTGGTTGAATAATTGCCTGTGTCTATCGGCAGCAGTTGTATGATTCATTTGCACGTATTTAGAGGAAAACAAAAAGCCTTTGCACTGAGCTGCCATTTTGAATTTCTATCAGTCTGTGGTCAGGATAGTGGAATGCCGAGTGACAAACCATTCAGGGGTCTTATCAGAGGCTGATTGCTCTCTTATCTTTTAGGATTGCCAGTTATTTACCAGAGAAGTGTTTGCTGCTGACGTTGTCTTTTTTTTTTATTCCAGTGGTTGGGGAAAAGGAGAAGGAAAACATGAGTGTAAACGTGCGCACAAGAGACAGCAAGCAGCATGGAGAGCACACCGTAGCAGCACTTACTGAGAGATTAGCTGAGCTGCGAGATACCCGCGTCAGGAACGCAGAGGAGATGTTTTGATTTGTAAGATCGGGATTTGTGGATCTGTAGCTCTATGAATTGTATCTGTAGAACCAGCTGGTCCATTTATTTATTTAACAAGACTCATGGACGGTGTTCCCGGTCAGCAGCATCAGTGGCCGGAATTGTCTCAGTAGATCCAGCCGCTAATTACTTTCACATCAGTCAGTTTGACTTCTACATTACAAACATGTCTGTTCTCACGTATTTCTGCACATCGCCACGTCGGGTGTTATTCCTTGCTCCAAAGAAATGCAGCCATGTTCCCTCCACTTCATGTTCTTGTTTTTGTGTGTGTTGGCTTTTTTTTTTCTGTTTGTTCATTTTTTTTCATTTGAGGTGGTTTCACGGAATTATGGCAAAGAATGGCGCCATTAAACACAACGGAACTTGTTTAGTGGAATCACAGATAGCAGGGAATATATTCTTAGATTCTAATAGTTCACTGTGAGTTATCTAATCCTGAAATCCGAGCAATACTTAAACTCTTTCCTTCTTCTGACTACCTGGTACTTCATCTGCTCATTCAGCCCAACTCTGGATTTGTTCCCCAACCCAATAACCCAATAACCCACACCCTTACAAATAGATACTTATGGAAATACTCTAGTGTTTCACATATAGAAATGTTTTCTTTAAAATAGAAACACGGACGTGTAAAAGGTTTCTCAAATGTTGCCAAAACCTTAGACGTTTGGAGATCTGGACTTTCACTTTTTTTATTTTTTTTTATGTCCAATTTTTCTCCAATTCCTGCTATGCCTCCAATTTCTGCTCAGAACAGTTTTATACTCTCTCCCAAAAAACAATAAAATATCTTAAAAATTAAATGTTGGTGAGATTATTTTTTTTAAATGATGGATTTAAAAGTGGTTTCCTCGTCTGCAAGCGACTTGTTGGCAGTTAGACCTGTACATGTTGTAGTTATTTTAATTCTTTTAGTTTGCAGTAGGTATGGTGTCCGGGAGTTGGAGCATTGTGTCTGCAATGAGACGTCTTGAGTCAAAAGTCACTTTCACTTGCATAGATCAGCATTGTGAGAAATTCATTTAAATGACATCCCTTGTTTCACTGTGTAATGATCGGGATCGGTCAGGGTATCTCGTGTGCACTCTGTTACAATAGGTGAACACTGACAATTATCACATTATATGTAAATCCTACATATAGAACCAGAGGATAGGAGATTTAGTATTTTATAAAATACTTCCATTAATCCATAACAGAATGGTTCTTGATGGCAGCAGAAGACGCTATAGACATTTAAGGCCTGATTCTTCTTCAGAGTAAAACCGCCGATACTTTCTTACTCCAAGTATTCTCCTACGGTTCTGTGTTTAGAATATGTATGCAACTGCTTTCTCACAGCTCTAAAATTTCTAATATTTGTTTGGCCTAGAAACATAAGTTATTGTCATAATTTATCTGTTATTAATGACTATAAACCATGATAAAATGAAGATTAACATTACTCATCGTCAATAAAATATTCTTGCTGGTTACTCATCATGTGACATGAGATTACGTTTTGAGCTTTTCTTAATTTCCATTTTGGCGCATGTAACACATCTATTAAACAGGGGCCTAATTAGCGTGTTTTCTCACCTTATGATTTTTAGGTATCGTATCGTGTATGTTACTGATGGCTGCCCTTGGCTGTGTCAGACCCACCCCCTGCAGCTGGCAAAGTACACTGTGAGGTTTGGAATGGTTACTGATAATACAGAGGGCTTTGTTAGCTTTACTGGCAGCTAATTATGTGTAATCGGAATGCAGGTTTCTTGGTATTGTAACCTGCGGTGTATCTGCGTGTTGGAACACGCTGTCCTGCGTCTGCTGCCTGTGCAGGTTACTGGCACAGCGCTGTGTTTACCTGGTGTATGTTACTTACTGTCTAATTGTAATAAGCTCAGCAATTGCTAGATATATGGCTGCTGCCACCAATATAAAGTGACAGTCTTTCTCTGTGTGACAGTGTGTTTTAGCTGTATGATCTTCACCAGAAACACACAAATTCAGGATGGAGTCTCCGGGCATTGGAGGGTTAATACTTATAATCTACATCGTACTCTGGACTTATCTCAGTGCTATATTACACACTTTTCCCTCTCTTCCAGCTACTAACAAACTGTCTGCTATTGTTTCTAGATCGCAAACACAGGCCATAACGCTGTACAATGGGTCAACACAAAGGTGTGACTGTGTAGGTTACTGGGATTCAGATGACGTGCTGTGGTATCAGAACAAAATTGTTAATGAGCAAAGTATCCATAAGGAATGAGATATCTGCTGTGTAACATGACAAATGTACATAAATTATAACCTGCATTATGTGGTTCTCGGAAGTGATTTATGGAGAAACAACCTGCAGTAGCGTACGTTGTTTAAGGTGAGAAGAGGACAAATTGCTTTAGTCAGAGTATTTACACAGTGAGATCAGCTTTCCGATGATATCAATGTTTATAGATTTTACAAAGGGCTGAAGATTAGGAAAATGCCTCGTACATCACAATAGGGTTTTGTAGAAGAACAGGGAACCCTTAGAAAGGGCCACTAAGTGGGTGCTGGACATAGGTACACCGGCCTGCCACAGTAACTGAAAGAGGAGTGCTTGCTGATTCCAAAAGAAGTGGTGTTTGGGGTACAGTTGATGAGATTGAGGTTTTTAACTTACATTGTAGATGGTACAGAAAGCCAGTGAAAGGACGGTCAGTGCGGCCAGGTGATGGCAGGCGTAATTACAATGGATTACAAAATGAGAACCTAGGGATGTGTCAGACAGGTGGCGAACATAGGTTTCAGTTTTCAGAACTGTAGCAGATGTAGAAGGTGTTATGAGCCGGTTTGAAGTGGAAGGTGCGTTATGAGCCGGCTTGATGTGGAAGGTGCGTTATGAGCCGGCTTGATGTGGAAGGTGCGTTATGAGCCGGTTTCTATTTTTGCATAAGACATCGATAGTTTTGATATTTGCCTGGGTTGGTCCTTAAGGAGTTACAGGGTTAATTCAAGGGTGAAGATTAAAACACATTTAACCGAGGGGGAGGGGTGTCAGGATTACAGAATGATCCAGCAGAGGACTGATAGGTAACGTATACCGGACCTTAGAATGGCCGGACTAACGTACCAAAGAATAGTCAGGAATAGCCAAGGTCAAGGGAAACAGAAAGAGACACAACGATAAGGAAAAGCCAGTGGTCAGGGATGCCAGAAAACAGGGAAGTCAAAAACAATGCCAAAGTCAAAATACCAGAATAACCAGAATCGATAACGAGCTCTCAGACAACCACAAGGGAAACCACGACAGAGCACTGAGCAGGATGAGAACTGGGCCTAAATACCCTTCCTCTAGATCTGATAGGCTGTAACTGGCCTTTGACCCCAAAGGCAGTTACCAGGTTCCCATTTGCATAATTGCTGCTCAGCATTAACCCCTCTGTGGATTTGGTTGCTGCTCGGCACAACCTTTCCTGTGTGGACAGTAAATTTCATTAACAACATTTTTATAAGCGGATGAATACGTGACAAGGGGTTTGGTGGCCGACCGAACAGAACGCAACATGGCGGAGCTCCTCAACAGAAACTTATACTTACACTGATTTAAGGGTCTAGGTGAGAAATTCTCATCCCCCTTTTAAATGGGATCACTCTGGCCCTAACTTGGACGGAGTCGTATTCGGACAATTTTAATGTGTACTTACCTGCTGCCTCCTAACAGGAGTGCGGCAGAGGAAGTTGACGATTTTTCGTCATCATGCAGCCTTAAATGTTTTTCCAACCCTATTTCTCCCTCTGTGAACCAGTGATGTTGTCGCGGTCCCTACAGATTCGCAGCTACTACCTAAGCCAACCGCTTATTATCTGAAGGCATTTAACTTGTGTGCCAGATTTTGGGCGATTTGAACAGCGCAATCAGCCACCTTGATGGCATGAACACCTGATCAGCTAACCACACATTAACCTACTAGTGAAGCCATTTTGGTGTATAGATCATGCCTCTGATGTCTCACTGCTCAATTCTCTGCCATTTAGGAGTAAGATCACTTTTTTGTTTCTGTTTATGCAGCCCTAGCCACACCTCCCCAAGATGTGACTGACGCAGACTGCATGAATACAATCAGATGTTAACTTGCTTTAGAAGTTTTTATCTCTTGCGCTTTAAATTTCACTTTAATCACACACAGGAGGTTCATGCAGGGTCTTGGGGACTATTAACAGAGCAGGAAAATGTAGATTAAACAGACTGTGCATTAAAGAAACCTAGAATATCTAGTTTTCTTCGAGGAAGTGTTTAGGAAGGCTGTGTAAATCACATGCAGGGAGGTGTGACATGGGCTGCATAAACAGTGATTTTACTCCAAAACAGCAGAGAATTAAGCAGTGAAACTGCAGGGGCAAGATCTAAATCCCAAAACTGCCTCCCCTCGCGATGCTGTAGGGGTTAAAAACTTTTCAGTCACTTACATGAATCCAGCGTCAGTGTCCCTTGGTGCTGGGCCGGACTCTTCCTACGCTCCTCCCCCGTCAGCTGGCGGGGGAGACCTAACACGCATTAGGATTTCCTCATTGGAAAGCACAGAATAATACTCTCCTATGAGAAAAATTCTGACGCTGGAGGTCCTCCTGCACAGCGGGAAGATGTCCAGCGTCCGATAACGGACCTTTTTATTTCAAACAGTGGGGGCTGAATCTAGAACATTAACACATGCACGGACCTTTTTATTTCAAACAGTGGGGGCTGAATCTAGAACATTAACACATGCATTTTTAAAAATAATATACTCCTTTTAAGGCCAGAGTTCTATAGATCACTGAGAGGAGTTCACTGCTTAGCGAATATGCCCCCTGGCAGCTTCTTCACTGATAAAACAGGAGACATTGCTTCTTGTGGTTTTTCTATAGCCGATATAATGTGCTTTCACCCCCAGCCTGTGAAATGTATTCTATGTCAAAACAAGTGATTAACAAGGTCATCCCATATCTGCAAGTCTGTAATATTTTGTTGTTGATGAATAAACATTAAATCGTAGTTTAAGCAGATTTGGAAATAAGCAAATTGCCTCAAACCTCAACTCCTTTAAAGAGTCCTACATGTTCTGCCCCCATCCTCATTTCCTATGGTCCCGTGACTGCTACAAGGCAGCCAACGCGTTTCACCCTCATCTCCACTTGTTACCAATAACAAACCGACTCACCCCACTGCCTTTTATATTGCATAACTTATAGTATATGTGTTTATTCCTTGTTTACGTTTAATCTTTTATTATTTTTGTTATTTATTTTTTATTTTTTGCTGTGCATGTGAATAACAAAGCCGACATATTCGACATTGGAAAGTTTAGAAGGAATAGACCTGTTGTATCATGTTAAGCTATGACAGAGAAATCAGCACTTTTTTTTTTATTTTTTTTAAATAAAATAAACTAGAATTGCACAGTGCATGTGTTGAGTTGAATGTAAGGATATTAAGTAGGCAGGAGATATGCACTGAGAGTAACACTATAGAGTAGACAGGAAATAACTGTAGAGGATAACAAAGCTACGATTAATGTAAGACCATGATAAACTAGAGGTATACTAATGCTGAGCAGTACACATTAGATAAAATTGGCCAAGATGTGGCTTTGGCAGGGCACTCCAATTAAGATTACTTTAAACAATGCAAAAATGAACTTTTATAACCAAGGAAAATAAAATAAAGTAGTTGTATCAAGGTTCTGAGATATAACCCTATAATGCTTTCTTGTGGTAAAAAAAAGAAAAAAAAAAAGCTCTTGGTTGTTTGGTAGCTAATACAGCAAGGATTCAGCGCCTATTAAGCCATACTATTAGTGGGACGGACAGTCGGCCAACCCCCTGTCTTGGGAGAGGCCTTGGGTACTTGCAGTGACCACCTCTGAGGGTTGCACAGCGGCACCAAGATAAGATATCCTTCCCGTCCCCGGTCTGTATACGTTTTATCTTTTCCTCACAGTAACTAATCAATAGAATTGCATATAAAAATTATAATTTTACCCTCTTACCCACCCACGTGGATGAGGAACATGCGGGGAGTCTAGTAAGTTTCCCCCCACATTGTAGATTCTTGCTCATATTGTATCGTATCCTCCATGAAACTAGGCAGTTATAGATATTACAAGTCATGTGTTTTTTGGTTTTAGATCATAACATTAATGTAAGATTTCACACATTTTGAAAAATGTTACTGTAGTTAAATTTTTCAAATTAACAAAATTCACTTGATTCTATCCTCTATTATTATTACAGGGGCACACTAAGCACCATAATCACTGTAGCTCATGTACTACAGTTATCTTAAATGTGAGTTATATTGCTATGGAGCTCTGTGATGCACTCACACACACTGCATATTAGTGTTTTTCCCTGTGAAGCTCTGCGATGCACTCACACACGGCACATTTCTGAGTTTATCTTATTTTGTCTTTTTGCTGTGAGCTCTGTGATACATTTATACACACTGCATGTTCCTGTGAGTTTTATATTTTTGTTTGATGAGGAGCTCTGCACATTTCCCACAGTATATCTCTTGATGTTATTAGTGTGGAGCTCGGTGATACACCAACTCTCTGATTGTATACTTCTCACTTGTCAGAGTAGTTTTTGGGTTTAATTCTATGCCAAGCTGTCCTGGCTCAGGCAGAGCATAACACACACATTAATCCGTGCCATATGTGTGTGTTGCTCATTGGAATGAATGTCTGTGCGTGCATGAGTGTACATAGAGTATTGTGAGGCCGTGGCATCACCCTGGATATGAAAGTGCTGTGCAGTACTTTCTCTGGTTAGACTTCCTCATTGCTCGCCCCATTAGTGACGTAGAGCTTTATATAATAAACACCCTGGTAATATATGTTAGAATAACATGTATGAAATGATGACTGTGACACGATGTTATGTGCTCTTGCGCCATTTCTTTAAATAATGACACATAGTTGAGGCTACTATCACAGAGGCACAATGGCTGGCTGAGAATGATAGCACTTGCAGTCCTTGGCATGTGCTAGGTTTATATCCACAAGCTGGGTCAGGTTAAATACGTGGAGCAATCTGCTGGAACATTCCGTCGGTTTCCATGGTGACTGCTCCACTTGTAGAACTCTGCTCTGGAATCTCCTTTTATCCTGAATCCCATTGTGTTACTGTTTACACTTTTATACTGGCTGTGTTTTCACACTGTGTTGTTTGTGCTCCGTCAATGCTGCATTGTGATAGTCTCATACATTGATTCTCCCAGTATATGATCCATCCAGGTAATTTTATTATAAGATGATTTGCCTTATCTTTATTTGCACAACATTGCAATTCTTTTTAACTTCTCATAGAAATAGATATCATCTTCAGAATCTCTGCTTTGTTTTCAACCTAGACCCCACCTGGCCTTACCTAAACTTTCAATTTTTGGGGGTTTTCCATAGATTCTTGCTGTTTTATGACCTCCCCCATCCAAGACGAAGTCTATCAATAAAGATGCTGGTCTTATACAGTTAAGAGATCTTGTACAAAATATTAGTCTTCTCTCTTCCATGGCCGTTTTCATGGAGCGGTTATACTACATGCCCATGCAAAAACTCAAGACCCATTATCCAGAAAACCCCAAGTCCTGCAACCAGCTCATTGGATCAACTTAATTTTAGAGTCTGGCAGTTTAGGCTGGGGGATGGCAACATGGCTGGCTATTCCACTGTGGTATTTCTGTGGTTAGCACCCATGTGTGCGTGGTGGGAGAGTGGTTATGGATCTGTGTCTAGTGGGTAGTCGCTTAGAGTTGCGTTACCTAGTGTCTAGTGCTGAAGAACCTATTTGTGGATTGGCTATGTAGGAAGTTGGTGCCTTCTTCATTTAAAGCACAGCTAGTTTGTTTGGGTCTAAGGGGGTTGGAGCTTGATTGTGTGTGAGTGGTCTGGCTAGGCTTGTCTGCTATTTTGCTACAGGTGTGGTTACTTTGAACAGTACAGAGATTTTCTGATAGCAGGGAAGCTCCTTTGAATATAATGCTCCTGGGGCCATGGGTGGGGAGGAGGGGGGATGCATCAGAGCATAGAGTTGTGTTCTCTGTAAGCCTCACTCCTATTGACAATGTGCTAGAGATTAACTGAGCCAACAAGAGGCAGGCAGAAATAGACACTTGAGAAGAGCATAAAACCAATTGAGTAGCATAAAGAGTCCCAACAGATAAAGAAAATACCAATGCGGTTGGCTTGTAGTCAAGTCGTGGTGCCTCTTTTCCCTCTGGGTGCGGAGACATCTGTGCCCCCCGTGTTCCATTGCTGAGGGTGAGGAGCTGCGGCCGCGGGTTGGTTGGTTAGTCCTAGTGCCGCCAGCACAGCTGGGCCTTCCTTGGGATCTGAGGCCTTGTAGTACCTTCTCTCCTCGGTTATCCAGAGGGTCTTCGGCGTTGCCCACTTGTAGGTAATTCCTGCTTCCTGAAGTTGTGTGGCGAGTGGCCATAAGAGTGTGTCTCTACTTAAGTCCTGGAAGAAGGATATTTGACATGTCTCAGTCATATGGGGTCTTCCCTCAGAATGCAGCCAGCAATCCAAGCTTGTCAGACGTTGTGCAGCAGTGGGGGCCAGCGGTGATTTCTGTATACTCCGTCAAATAGGAACTGTTTGGCTGGCAGGCCTGTTGCCACTAGGCGCCTAATGAAATGAGGCAGTTCTTCCAGTGGTAGCGTCTTGAAGACTTATTTCAGTAGCCTGTGTGCGGGCTGCCACAGCCTGTACTTCGGTGGTTAATACAGCTAGGTCATCCTCCCACATCTGCTTCAAATGTCCCTTTTAGAGGCCAGGCTGTGGTCTCCTGCAGTGTGTGAAAGCCCTGGAGGGTGAGAAGTAGAGGGGGGACTGCCTAGGTCATCCCTTTCTGCTGAGGATGCCGGTGAGACCGCGTGGGGTGTTGGGGCGGGGGGGGGCAGCAGCATGTGGCTGATGTCCCGCTGTGATTTCGGGTTCTGTAGAGGCTGCTTTTGTGACCTGTGCCCCATCTCACCTGACTCGCTTGGTCAGGAATACTCCGGTGTGTTCCACAGTCCGGGTTCCAGCAGCAGTCTACCGACGCAGCAGGCCTTGGGGCCTCGGCTTTGGGTTTTCGTGCCCGGAGTTAAAAAGGGGCATCTGCAAGTACGGCAGGTCGTGCTGCAGCTGATCGATGCTTTTGGGGCCGTTAATTGTGTGGGATGCTCTCTTTTTTTAGGAAGATTGTGTGGCAAAGTTCCGGTGCAGTGACAAGCTCGGCCCCCAGTGGATCTATATTTTGTGGTCAATGCCTTCTATCAAGCTTGGCCACTCAGGGAGGCATAAGCCTTCCCCCTCTTTCCATGATTCTATGAACTGTTCACTCTCAAATGACTCAGTGAACCTCTTCTCACACCTCTTTGGAAGACGTAACTTTGCTTCCACACTCTGTTGAAAATTACTCTTTCCACTTACTCTTTTCACAATTTCTCCAACATGATTCAGAAGACAACTTTAACCCTCTAGTATATAAAAGAATTATAAGGAACAAAGTATATTATAGGTGCTACTATCACCTAGTGTGAACCACTCCAACACACCAAATATCAATAAAGTGCAAAATGTAAAATGTTGGTGAGAGCACTCAAAACATGCATGTAGGATATATTACCAAAACTTGGTTTAGTTGGAATATCTACAAAACATAAAGCACAAACATAGTATAATACTGTTAAAATATATGCAAGTTATATTCTGTGACTGGTTAAACTCACATATTACTGAGTCACTTAAAAGCTGACTCAGACTTAGGGCTTGTAACGAGATGAGAAATCTCAATTTGGACGTCCTGTATCAAACTTGATAGATCCGCGCTGGAAATGTTCTCCAAAATCACTCCAGAATGCAGAATCAAAATCCAAACTGATTTATTGTTAAAATACTACATAAAATAAAAATAGTAATGAATACAGGTAAAATGTCCTTTATATATACCACGACGCGTTTCGGCACTCACAGCCTTTCTCAAGTGGTCTGTTTCTCATCTCCGATCTCTTCTTTTTATATTTTCAAATTCCAGCGCCCTTTCTCTGGCGTCCCGTATGACTTCCGTTTTCGTCATTATTCGGCGACTTCCGGTTACGTTACGTGATGACGTTACATCTTCATTCTTTGCCCAAAACGGCTACGTCATGACGTCTTCCCGGCGCCGAAACCGGAAGTACTCTCGGCGCCATTTTAGAGAGTCTCTAATCATAGAGGTTGCCAGTCTCTTAGCAATCGCAACTTTTAACATTCACATACATTTAATATATTCGTCTATAAAGGAGGAGAGCCCAAATACACAAATATAATCAATAAAATTCATAAAATCACCATAAAAAAAGGGGAGGTACTGTACACCTATTAAAGGGGAAGGAAGGATAGGTCATTAGAAGAAACTTATATAACAAGATAGAAACATTCCTTATATATAATTAATAAAAAATACTACATGAAAAAATCAAAAATAAAAAAGTAGCAAAATAAAACTATATACATGAATTAATCTCAAAATCAATATTAAGACCATAAGGGGACAATGATTCCATATTGAAAATCCACTTCATCTCATTTTTACTAAGGAGGCTTTCTATATCATTATATATTGGAGAGGAGGTGATATAGAAAGCCTCCTTAGTAAAAATGAGATGAAGTGGATTTTCAATATGGAATCATTGTCCCCTTATGGTCTTAATATTGATTTTGAGATTAATTCATGTATATAGTTTTATTTTGCTACTTTTTTATTTTTGATTTTTTCATGTAGTATTTTTTATTAATTATATATAAGGAATGTTTCTATCTTGTTATATAAGTTTCTTCTAATGACCTATCCTTCCTTCCCCTTTAATAGGTGTACAGTACCTCCCCTTTTTTTATGGTGATTTTATGAATTTTATTGATTATATTTGTGTATTTGGGCTCTCCTCCTTTATAGACGAATATATTAAATGTATGTGAATGTTAAAAGTTGCGATTGCTAAGAGACTGGCAACCTCTATGATTAGAGACTCTCTAAAATGGCGCCGAGAGTACTTCCGGTTTCGGCGCCGGGAAGACGTCATGACGTAGCCGTTTTGGGCAAAGAATGAAGATGTAACGTCATCACGTAACGTAACCGGAAGTCGCCGAATAATGACGAAAACGGAAGTCATACGGGACGCCAGAGAAAGGGCGCTGGAATTTGAAAATATAAAAAGAAGAGATCGGAGATGAGAAACAGACCACTTGAGAAAGGCTGTGAGTGCCGAAACGCGTCGTGGTACATATAAAGGACATTTTACCTGTATTCATTACTATTTTATTTTATGTAGTATTTTAACAATAAATCAGTTTGGATTTTGATTCTGCATTCTGGAGTGATTTTGGAGAACATTTCCAGCGCGGATCTATCAAGTTTGATACAGGACGTCCAAATTGAGATTTCTCATCTCGTTACAAGCCCTAAGTCTGAGTCAGCTTTTAAAGTGACTCAGTAATATGTGAGTTTAACCAGTCACAGAATATAACTTGCATATATTTTAACAGTATTATACTATGTTTCTGTGCTTTATGTTTTGTAGATATTCCAACTAAACCAAGTTTTGGTAATATATCCTACATGCATGTTTTGAGTGCTCTCACCAACATTTTACATTTTGCACTTTAACCCTCTAGTGTTGCAGGGTCATCTTCAGATTGCAGGGGCTCCAGAATTGTCTCAGGGATATCCATTATACCTCAACACTTACTTTTGGACTCCCGGGCACCAAGCATCAGAAAATCTTACCTTTCCATGGAAAATCTGGAGAATGAAATAGAACCTGAAATCCTAAAGGCCCTTGACTTTCCTTTTTTTCCTTTTATCATCAGCATCATTGAACTCTAACAATCCGTGATTGCAGGAGCCCATTTGACTGTTGACGGATTCTGTGTTGGTAGAAATCCTTCTATGTGTCACCTTCTCCAGAACACTAGACAGGCCAGACCACCCTCAGCGAGATACCCTCACCTCTGGAATGTTTCTTTGGGTCTTTCCTTTGTGGATACTTTACCTGACAATAAGAATGTCTTTATGTCAATTGTTATGTTTCATTTCCTTTCTCTTTTAGAGTATTTGATACAAACAGCTCCAGGTTTTTCTCCTGAAAGTGTTCCTTTTCTGTTACTCGTCTTACTAAATCCAATTCTTCCTTTTCTGTTGATGTTTTCCCCAGAGACCTGGTTTTATCCAGACTTCCCATTCCATTACTGCTCCTTTACATCATTCTTCCTCAGGGGCATCTTTCCCCACAAACCAGTCTGAGCTCCTTCTGTGGCAATGCTAGGTTTGTTCTCTCCTTTCTCTCTTACAGCTCACTCAGACAGGTATACGGTGATCTCTGCGTCTGTCGCTGCAGGTGGAGAACATGTACTTTTATTTGTATTTTCATCCACGCTCTCACGCTGACTTTGCATTTCTTCATGAGCAATACAATGGCAAACGTGAAACGTCTTGTACTATAATGTGAAATTCTTCTAGTCTTGAATTTTTATTAAAGACAGGAGGCGAACATTTTTTCTCCCACCTTATTGATTCTGGGTTTTATTATTCAGTATTGATGATCCCATCTGATTTATGTATGTGTATTGTCTATCTTATTCTGGTGGCGTGTATATTGCTATTAATTTTGTGTTGCTATTTTTTCTTGGTTACAGTTGTTGATTACGCTATTATTTATGATGTTTCTTTCACAGAGATTTCTTTCTTCCATTATGAAGACTCCTGGTTCGACGTCTTGGTTGAATGTCCTGTTGACATTGTTTTTCTTCTTGTTGCAGCTCAGGACTGTTGTGCATTGCCCAATAATAGGATTTAGGAAAGAATTTCTTTAGATCTTCTGTACCTCTACTTGCCTCCGATTTGGATGTTATTTCTGTTATTTTTTTATAACGGTTTCTCTGATGTTGGAATGTTGAGTAAAGAAAAATAAAGCAAATATTTGCTTCCTATCTTTAATACAATTTAGACCACTTGGTCACCAAGGTTAGAATAATTCTGTCTTTTGCAGAACGTTGAAGGGGGATGGGGGCTGCTATCTGTATGACAGTGGGTGGGTTTGGGGGGGCTTTCTGCTTTCTCACAATCATTTTGTAATCATCAGCACAGGTGGCATAGTCCAAAACCAACACATTGTGATCACAAGACTAGAATATTGAAAGCACAGGGGGTGTGACTGCAGCCTGGTGAGTCACTGGTTGGGGTGTGGAATCAGCTGCTTAAATCCTGGGGATTCCACTGAGTGTACAGACTGCTAGGAGACTTACTGGGACATCACTGCTCTCCTGATCTCACTGAGCCTCCATCATGGACCTCTTCCAGGTGTGGACCCTGACTCTCCAGCTGTCGGTCTTGCTGTGCCCAGGGCTTGCAGGTAACTCTTGTTATTAACATGTTTATGAAAATCAGTTTTGTAAGATCTTTTTATAGTAATGTTCATCTTCTTGGTACCAAGTTTGTTACATATTTCAGAAACGCAAACTTTAGGTAGGTAGCGCAGTTTGTAAATGTTTGATCATATAAACAAAGCTGTTTATTTACTGCCCATAGGCTACATGGGGAGAAACATGTACAGTAACGCACTGCACTGACACTGTAACACTTCCCATGGCACATTCCTACCCGTCATTTGCTAAACAGAGATCAAAAATAATTTCTGCTGAAAAGCATGTAATTTTCAGTCCGATCTGCATGATAAACACAGCCGTCTTGTGTTTCTATGCGCAGTAAAGGAAGCTGGTAAGATAGAATTCGGTTTTTTATTTGATTCTGGGGACAGGATATTTTTCCTGTAGCAGAGGGAAAGGGTTATTTACAGTAAGAACATTAAAGATGTGGATCTATCTCCTTCAAGATGTTTTTTTCTTCTTTAGACTCTCTACAGATATTTTCTTCCCGCCCCCAAAAAATAAGTAATGTTGTATTTTCTTGATTGCATGAATTAAAAAATCGGATTTTATCCATTATTTTCATTGTACCAAATAGGGTGACATGTTGATATTCTCTACGCTCCTTTCTATAACGGCAATATCCATGCCTGGTTGGATTTCGGACCATTCTTTATTATTGGTTATTATTTATATAGCGCCAGCTTATTCCGCAGCGCTTTACATTAAAAGAGGAATTTACCAAATGAGACAATAACAAAATGTAACAGGAACAATAGGTAGTTGAGGATCCTGCTCAAATGAGCTTACAGTCTAGAGGAGGTGGGGTATAAAAACACAATAGGAAGGGTATTGAGAGAGACCGCAAATAGACAAGGTGGGAAAGTAGCAGAACTGGAGATGAGAGTGGAGTGTGGTCCTCTAGGAGAGAGCGAGAGGAAGGTTTGAGAGATAGAAGTTACTCTTGGAGGCCATAAGCAATCCTGTAACGATAAACATGTCTAATCTATCGCAGACTGCTCTTAATCTTTCCGTGTCTCTCTTGACCTTCAGATTATGGCAATAACCCACTATATAACTGGTAGCGGCCATTGTTGTATTGGTTAGTTTCACACTGAATGGGTTGTGTTCTCCCTAAATATCATCAAGGACTGCGATTTCTACGTTCTGAATTATTTACACACTGTACCAATCCTCTCATTTCTCCTTTACTGGATCTCTCCCAGTCTTTGTATTGTGTTCCGCTTAGCATGGCCAGAATATTTCATTACATCGTATGATTTAACTTCGATGAATTTTGTGCCGGTTTCAAGGGATGGATGCAGTTAAATATTCTGGTTTTGTTGTGTAGGTTTTTAGCTGTTTTGTTTTTTGTTTTTTTATCCTTGGAAACTATTTTTCTTTTTTCAAATTCTGTGGAATTCCAGACTCCACATCCTCTATGCTTAGTTTCCTAATAATGGATTTCTCCTTAAACCCACACTTTCCAAAACGCTATAAAAGCAGCGAGAGGCCTTCCCCGGAATATTGACCTATTTTTACTCCAGTTTCCACATGTCCCTCGGTCTGTATTCAGCAGACTGGTATTTTCTGTTTACAGAGGTAATGACGAGGCTGAATGATTGTTCTCTGAGCAGGTGTGCCTAGAATCCCTGAGCTGGACACATCTGGAAAACATAAACGAAATACGCTGAGAATATTAAGTCAAGAGACAGACAGTATTCTAATTCTGAGTAATCCATTCAGGATAGGAAACCCCCTCCGTAGTTCGTCACTTTGCGTGCATTGTGCCAAATCATATCAGAAAGGAATTATATTCCACTCTGATTACATGTCAGGGTTTATATCCTTGTGCAGCGCTACAGTACATGTTGGAGCTTCAAACACATCAAATTACTATAACTAATATATTTCTAGCCATGCTATTCTCCTGGAATTAAAGCAGAGGAGATTTTTTTTTTCCCACATTGTTCAGTGGCCACAGTTGCCAGCTAACTCCCACAATTCTCAGCCAGGTATTGAGAATTGCTTCCCTGGCACTAGAAGGATTCCAGTACAGACCGACTGAGTGAGATATTTATTACAGTTTAACACTGCAACGATGTGGGGAAAATAGAGGCTTTGTATTATAGCTTTTTGTATTTTTACAAATCTCTTGAATTTTGATAAAACTGTTTCTACCCTCCCTCCCACCATGTAAAGAACAACCAAACATTACACCCCATCCCAGCTCCCATGATGCTTTGAAATCCTGACACCTGGGTTGTGTGGTCTACGTTTGGCCATACTCTCACAATATAGAAATATATATATATATATATATATATATATTAAGCAGAGTACTCCTACCATGATCACTACTACAGCAGGCTGCATTGTTTATGTTGGTTGGAATAACCTTTTATGTGTTTAAAAATTAGTTGAATATATATATAAAAAAAGACTTTCTTCTGATATCCATGGGATAACGGCTTATTTAGTACCAAGGTTTTATCAGCACACATGAAATAAAGTGTTAATGTTCCTTTAATTAGAATTTTTTTAATTCTTTTTTTTTTTTTTTTTACTTCAGCGTGTCTCCCACTTTGATTCTTCTAAGGGGTATAAGGTACCTCTCCACCTGTTTAATACCAGATGTTACTGGCATTTAGTTAGACAGTTGCTATAGGAATACGTGCTGTATTAAACCTCAATCTTAGAGGAATAAATTGGGAGGGAGGTGGCTGGGATTACCTGTTACTGTGTGTAGGGTAGACATCACATTATTTTTACTGAAAGGTGACGGGTTCAAAGTAAATCTCTCCGAAGCAGTCTGTCAGGAATTTGAAATCTGTTTGCAATCTCCGAGGATATCCTGAAGTTGTTTTTATTGCAGATCGGAAAAAGCAAAACACGTGCCAGACATCTTCCGTCTGCTGTTTCAGTGAAAAAGTGACACTTTTATAATCCCAGCAAAATTGTGATAATCAACAAATCCTAATAATCCGTCTGTGTTTGCTTAAAAAGTTTGATCATTTTTTTATGATGAGACTGGCAATGCTACTCTGTATGTTCTGAGCATCTTTGGCTAATAACATCATAGCATGCTTTATCACACGCAAGTCATTCTGGGACATATGGAATTTGCATAGGATGCCAGACTGTGCCAGGACAACTAATTGGCAACTTTTAATTTGCTACATTGTGCTGTCGCATACAAAATTATAGTCCTTCAGTAAACAATTGCTGTTTGATGAATAAATTGTACATATCAACTATGATGGTGGCTGGAGGCTGCACCCATTTAGTGCTATCTGATTGGACCTGACTTTTTGGGGGGTCAATTTTTTTCCCATTGCTGTTAAATTCGCTGCAACGGTTACATTTTTCCACTTCTTCCTTTGCCAACTGTTTGAGTTATTCATGCATTATAAAATGTTATCAGAACAGTAATTCCATCCAGGTCGATGTTTATTTAAACGTTACATAATCATGTTTGTAGAGTGGTACGGAGACTGGCTTCTTCGTAGCCAGTCTGTCCAGTACCTGGTAGGGGAGGGGGCGAGAGTGTGCTGCACTCTGATCCTTACACACAGTCACATCGAACAAGCTCAAACGCGCAACCAATTTGTTGTGATATGTGTATTTGGTAAGGTCCTTTACATTCAAAACTTTGTGATGCATTGAAAGCTTGTTAATAAGTTTATACTATTGTCACCCTGTATTTTCCTTCCATCACTTGTAAGTCCTCCTTGGCACGTGGACGTGTAATAAAAGTGGTACGGTGGCAATTACCCATCTCCCTGACTATGCTGAAAGTCCAGAGCTAGATGGTGTGCTCTGCTAAAAGTGAGGGTAACTGTCTGACATTGTGTATAATGTTTTTAAAATGGTGTGCTCCGCTAAAGGTGTATACATGTTTTAAAGATGGTGTGCTCTGCTAAAGGTGTATATATGTTTTAAAGATGGTGTGCTCTGCTAAAGGTGTATATATGTTTTAAAGATGTGTGCTCTGCTAAAAGTGAGGGTAACTGTCTGACATGGTGTATATATGTTTTAAAGATGGTGTGCTCCGCTAAAGGTGTATATATGTTTTAAAGATGTGTGCTCTGCTAAAAGTGAGGGTAACTGTCTGACATGGTGTATATATGTTTTAAAGATGGTGTGCTCTGGTGTATATATGTTTTAAAGATGTGTGCTCTGCTAAAAGTGAGGGTAACTGTCTGACGTGTATATATGTTTTAAAGATGTGTGCTCTGCTAAAAGTGAGGGTAACTGTCTGACGTGTATATATGTTTTAAAGATGTGTGCTCTGCTAAAAGTGAGGGTAACTGTCTGACACGATGTATATATGTTTTAAAGATGGTGTGCTCCGCTAAAAGTGAGGGTAACTGTCTGACATGGTGTATATATGTTTTAAAGATTGTGTGCTCCGCTAAAAGTGAGGGTAACTGTCTGACAAGGTGTATATATGTTTTAAAGATGCACTGCTCTGCTAAAAGTGAGGGTAACTGTCTGACATTGTGTATATATGTTTTAAAGATGTGTGCTCTGCTAAAAGTGAGGGTAACTGTCTGACATGATGTATATATGTTTTAAAGATTGTGTGCTCCGCTAAAGGTGTATATATGTTTTAAAGATGTGTGCTCTGCTAAAAGTGAGGGTAACTGTGTGATATTGTATGTTTTATACCATACATACTGGCTCTATGTTTTATATTCCTTTTTGTTGTTATATCGTGCAGGAAACTTTGCATATTTTAGTATTATATTTGCACTATATTTTGTCGATGATGTTTTTCGTTTTAAGTTGTTGCTGGTCTCGGGTGTTGTAACACATTGTTAACGTATGCAGCTGTTTTTGTAAATATTGTTTCTCACACAGCTTGATCATGTGTTTTTGAATTTTTTAGATTTGGAATTGGATAAAATGCTGACACACCGTAGCTGGAAAAGATTTGTAGAACTTCCAGATTCTATATGTAGGGAGAATGCAATTGTGGCATTTGTCACACATTATTCATTTCATCTGGGCATTATGTGAAATTCAGCGCTGGTCCTAAATAGGGCACTCGGTTTAATCGCTGCCGCAGGTGACCCAAGGAAATGGCTTTATTCTGCCTTCGCCCCCTGTAGTTGAGGCTTTACCTCCAAATAAGGTTGTTGTTTTTTATATTCATATTCTGCAAAATGTTGGAGACATTAATTCATTGCTTCAGGGTGAAAGTCTGGGAATGTGTGAATCTTACCAGCCATAAAAAACAAAACCTATAACCCCGGACTACCGCAATATCTGTCTTTGCCCCAGGCTGGGGGGCTTTAAGCTGTAAGTAGGAGGGGACGGGGGTGTGTTACAGTTGTTAGTCTTGACCTTAAATGTTCTCTAGTGCGTTAAACTCTCTGCCTGGAACATGGATCTTACAATGTAGAATGTAATGTCTGCGTAAAAGAAGCCCCCATGTATAAAACGACCCCTATTTTTTGAGCCCAAAATTAAGAAATAAATATTTTAAACATCAAATAGACAACAACTTTGATATTTTAGAGGTGACGTCTGACAGGGCCGGTGCAAGCATTTTTGCCGCCCTAGGCAAAAACAATTTTTGCTGCTCCATTTGCTCCACCCACCCATGCCAACTGACCCACGCAGACTGACGCATGCAGACTGACCCACGCACAAACACTGACCCATGCAGACACACACTGACCCATACAGACACACACACATCCTTCACAAATACACATTATGATGTCCCATTGACCCATTTACCTTTCTTTATATTTGACTGCTTTTCATTTGTTCCTGGCAGCTTCCCCGCACCTGGCCGCCTTCTCTCCGTCTGAGCCCTGCTATGCTCCCGCCCACTTGTCCCCACATACAGGGCAAAGGACGGGAGTGAGAAATTGATGCGCCCTCGCACTGTTACGGCAATGGGATTGCTTGTGGGGGGCCTGGCTGAGCAGGCTGAGTGGATGCCACTGGACCAGTATTACACCGGGCGCTAGTCAGCAGACATTTAAGGGCTCCCTAGCGCCTGGTAACATGGCCGGCGGCATGATTTGTATTATTTCTCCAACATAGAGGGGCAGTCAAACAAGCAGCAAGACTACAGCTCCCACAATACAGCAGGTGGTGTGAGGGCATGCTGGGAGATTACAGCTTCCACAATAGAGCAGGCGGTGTGAGGGCGTGCTGGGAGACTACAGCTCCCACAATACAGCAGGCGGTGTGGGGGCGTGCTGGGAGACTACAGCTCCCAAAATACAGCAGGCAGTGTGAGGGCGTGCTGGGAGACTACAGCTCCCACAATACAGCAGGTGGTGTGAGGGCATGCTGGGAGACTACAGCTCCCTCAACACAGAAGGTGGTGTGAGGGCGTGCTGGGAGACTACAGCTCCCACAATACAGCAGGGGGTGTGAGTGCGTGCTGGGAGACTACAGCTCCCACAATACAGCAGGCGGTGTGAGGGAGTGCTGGGAGACTACAGCTCCCACAATACAGCAGGGGGTGTGAAGGCGTGCTGGGAGACTACAGCTCCCACAATACAGCAGGGGGTGTGAGTGCGTGCTGGGAGACTACAGCTCCCACAATACAGCAGGGTCTTTGAGGGCGTGCTGGGAGACTACAGCTCCCACAATACAGCAGGGGGTGTGAGGGCGTGCTGGGAGACTACAGCTCCCACAGTACAGCAGGCGGTGTGAGGGCGTGCTGGGAGACTACAGCTCCCACAATACAGCAGGCGGTGTGAGGGCGTGCTGGGAGACTGCAGCTCCCACAATACAGCAGGTGGTGTGAGGGCATGCTGGGATATCACAGTAGTATTCCCTCTGCTCCCTGATCCCCATTTCCTCCCCCATAAATATAAATCAGAAAGCAAGACCAACCTCCCATATGGCTGCTCCTTTCATGGTGTGGAATGTCTCTGGAGCTCTGGTGGTGGTAAGTGGTGATGTCTGCTGCAGCTTCCACGTATATAGGGACCTGTTCCTCCTTGCCACAGCATTCAGAAGTGGATCGGCGAGACCGGGTATGGTGCCGTGGCACACTGAAACGCAGCAGGCACCATCTTGGCTTAGGCCATGCGCACAAGTGTTATTTTTATTTAACCCCTGCAGTGACATTCCGTGTATAAGATGACCCCCAATTTTAGAAAAATAAATTTTTGAAAAAAAACACTCTTGTACATGGAAAAATACAGTAAATATATATGCTGTTTTTCAGTTAGACTTTAGTAATAATTGGTGCTATTTTTTCTTCACAATCAAAAAATTAGAATGTGAAAATATTGTACTGCGATAAAAAAAAAAAGGATGGACAGTAACTGAGCTGATCGTTTGCAGGACGAGTACTTGACATAATGTTTTTTATTTATAGAGTGTACAGTATTTATATGAAGTCTAAAATAAATAGTTTATTCTCCCCTCCCCCAGCTCCCTCCCTCAATGTTGGTGAAAGGACACTATAGTTACCAAAACAGCTTTAGCTTAATGAAGCCGTTTTAGCATATAGTTAATGCTCCTAAAGTCTCACTGCTCAATTATCAGCCATTTAGGAGTTAAATCGCTTTTGTTTTTGTTTGTGCAGCCCTAGCCACACCTCCCCTGGCTGTGACTGACAGAGCCTGCATGTAAAAAATGGTTTCACTTTTAATTAGATGCTACTTTTAAAAGTTTGTATCTCCTGCTCTGTAACTTTAATTACATACAGGAGACTGCTGCAGGGTCTGCCAAGCCGATAACCGTGCAGGAGATACGAAATTCTAAATTAAGTGTAAACATTAGATAACTTGTTACAGGAAGGGTTTAGGAAGGCTGTGTAAGTCACATGCAGGGAGGTGTGACTAGGGTTCATAAACAAAGTGAATTAACTGCTAAATGGCAGAGAATTGAGCAGTGAGTCTGCAGGGGCAAGATCTACACACCTAAAAAAGTTTGTTTAAGCTAAAGTTATTTTGGTACCAATTATGTCCCTTTAAATTTCTGTTGGCTGCACAGACAAATCATAATAAAGAATGGGTTTCTCTATCCCTGGTTAGGGGTAAATACATTCACATATTCTTCATATGAAGGGCTTGGAATGGGGGGGGAATTAACCTGACCTTCACAATATTGTGATGAGTGATTTATTACCTGCACTAAATGCAGAGTCCTGTAAAATAGTGTGATTCACTTGCAGGAATTTCATAACACTGACCACAATGCCTCTTGTCATCACTTGCGGTTATTACACAACGCTGCAGATTTCGGAATATTATTTGTGGTTAATGAGTTGATGGATAGAGTAACATATTTATTGATGTTGCCATAGTAAAATGGCACAGGGATACCTTGGAGCAGGTTAGGATTGTCAAAGTGATCAAACGATAATAGAGTACTAGGCAGCAAGTGAGTTAAACTGGGCTTGGCCACTTCCAGAGCTTTCACCGGCACACATTGGCATTGATTATAGTCTGTTACTCTGTTAATATGCCGTGCTAAAACATTCATTGTGCGCAGTGTACGCCGTGATGGCTGCGTGGAATCAATGCTGACATCTCTACGTGGCTCACTTTAAAACCCATGTTATTAAATCCTATCCCCATGCACCGGGATTTCAACCAAAATTATCACCTGGTGCAATCAGTTAAGGATATTATTGTTAACAGAATATAAAGTTTGCCGGTATTTCTCTGTGATCTTGAGTCTCTGGCTCTGTGTACGTCTGACCTTTGATTAAATTGCCGTGATCGCTGCAGGTAGACACAAATATTGGGATAATGGCACAGAGCTTCAAAGCAGAACCGAATGGTTTTATTTTAACCCCTCACGTCCCACCCATTTACTGAAACTTTAAACCCCAAGGCCATGGCTTTGATAAAACAAACAGAAACTCTCAGCAAAGTCTGTAAAGCTCAGACCTAAATCCACGTTCTTCTACAAACAGTATATCGTCATGTTCTCACTGTGCGAGAATTTTTACTTTCTAGGCTGAATTGTTTATAATTGCAACAAAAACAACGAATATGAGAACTTTGAGAACAAAAGCTTAGAGAAACTCTGTTGCTTGCCCTTTAGTAAATCCCAGCTCAGGTCTCAAAATCGTTAATGCCATTACAGAGAGAACCTATTCTGAAACATATCAGACTGATCCCACCCATACGGGCAATCCAGAACTGAAATGCCAGCAAGTTCTCTCTGCATGAGACATACAGCAACCCCAGACAATGGTTTCGAGGATTTACCGAAGGGCAAGCTTCTGTGTTTGCTCACTGTGCCTAGAGGGGTATCAGCTACACCTCACCGACGAGGCCCAAAGAAGGCTGAAATGACTGCTTGGGGTCGCTGTATTTCTCACGCAGAGATAACTTTTTGGATCTGGACTGCCCGTATGGGTGGGATCAGTCTGTTTCAGAATGTGTTCTCTCTGTAACGGCACAAGTGAGCAAACATTATTTTGAGACCTGAGCGGGGATTTACTGAAGGACAAGCTACTGAGTCTCTCTAAGCTTTTGTCCGTTGTTTAATAATTATTGACTAACATTACAAACAAATAGTTCTCACCAAATTACAGCAATCAGTTCATTAAACATAACAAATGGTTTTGTCCTAATTGACTGTTGCTAATTATCCCTGGGACAATTTGTTGTCTCAGTATAATCCTATGTGGTTGTCATGTCGGTCTGGCTATGTTTTTAATTAACTAATGTTGCGCAGGGGGGCTGAGCCTAGCTTTCAAGCAGAGCAGACGTGTCGCGCCTGAACTCCTGTGATTCTGCCTGATTTTAAGGTGATAACCCCGATTGAGTGACCCCTGTGTTATTCGGAGGGCACTAGCTATATTGGTGACTCTCCAGCGATCACACGGATACCTGTAAAGTGAAGGTACCTTCCCGCAGGGACCAGATACTCTCTACTGGGGATGGAGCTGGGGAGAGGCGACCAATCTCCTCACTCACTGACCCAACTGGATCCTCCTGCACCCCTATCCCCCTTGGACTGGTGGGGGATATCCCGGTCCCCACTGGACGCACGAGGCTGCCTAAGCTATCTCAACCTTTAGCCATTGGTAGCAAACTCGCGTACATCTTCCGAATGGAACAAACAAGATGGCAACTGCCCCTTCATCAACCTCAGAAGGCCTGACCGTGCAACAAAGGCCCCAATGTATCTCCATTGACTCTACCTTGTGGGGTCTGGACGATTCTGGCACAGAATTCAAGAGCGCACTCAGGCATCCATACTTAAACAGGAGGTAGATATGAAGGGCAGCATGCAACCAGAGTGGAACTCCTCTGGGCAAAGCTCTCACACAATAACTTGGCAATCCTGCTGCCCGCCTGCCTGAGCTGAGAGCCCCTCGAAGCACTGCCTGAAAGCATCATCCACAGAAGTGGAGGATCGCCCGCCGGAAACGGCAGCCACTATCCAGACCCTCTGTTTTCCCTGGAAGGGGAAAGGACTTGGCATTTAAGGATACCCAAGTCTGTGGACCAGAGATGTTGCCTCTCCAAAGAATCTGGGGCTGGGGGGGGAAATCTGCTTTGCTGTCCCTTCGCTGATCGTGCCTTGAACTCCCTCATGTACACACTGCTCCTGCCGCTGGCTGGGATCGACTGATCCCTCTATTGAGCCCACAGCCTGACACCCACTCTGATACTGGCAGTAGCTGCACCATGTGCTCAATTAGTTAATCTTAATTGTTTAATGTCTAACCACCTGCTAATATACTTATTTTTGTGCGTATGATTTCTGGAGGTGTGCCTCGGTATCCCGTGGTCTTACATGTTACCCAGTACTTATATGTCTATGTACATCTTGTGAGATAAATCTTATATTGACCTGCTTTCTAACATAGGCAGCCCGTCATGCTATAATTTCCTAACTAGTCAGTTAAAAAAAAAAAAAAAAAAAAGAGCAAAATAATAATATTGCGGCGGAGGCGTAACTAAACTTATGGCGGGGAACCAGGATGTGGGTTTTCATATGATGAAGGGGGGGGAGGGGGAAGGATTGTGCTGGTATAAAAGGATTTAATTAAATTTAAAATAAACAAAATAAATACAGATAAAAGTAAAATCTTCACATATAACAAAAACCGCTTCAGTCCTTCCTCTATCCAAATGTCTATTTATTATTATTATTATTATTGCCATTTATATAGCGCCAACAGATTCCGTAGTGCTTTACAATATTATGAAAGGGGATTTAACAATAAATAGGACAATTACAAATAAACTTACAGGAACAATAGGTTGAAGAGTACCCTGCTCAATCGAGCTTACATTCTATAGGAGGTGGGGTGTAAGACACATTAGGACATTAGGGGAGGGCAAGAGACAGGTAAGTGAGGTAGGGGTTAGTCTTGGAGGCCATAGGCTTTCCTAAAGAGATGGGTTTTAAGGCACTTCTTAAAAGATGCAAGACTAGGGGAGAGTCGGATGGCGGTAGGCAGGCTATTCCATAGGAAGGGAGCTGCCCGCGAGAAGTCCTGCAAGCGCGAGTTGGCCGTACGGGTGCGGACAACGGACAGGAGGTGGTCACGGGCAGAGCGGAGAGACCGAGAAGGGACATACCTGTGGATCAGTGAGGAGATATAGGAGGGGCTAGAGTTGTTCAGTGCTTTATAGGTGTGAGTTAGTGCCTTGAATTGACTCCTATAGCACACAGGAAGCCAATGTAAGGACTGGCAGAGGGGTGAGGTGTGGGAGAAACCGACTAGAGAGGAAAATCAGTCTAGCAGCAGCATTCATTACAGACTGTAGTGGTGCAGTACGGCTTTTGGGAAGACCAAGCAGGAGAGGGTTACAATAATCCATGCGGGAAATTATTAGAGCATGGACAAGCTCCTTGGTAGTATCTGGTGCAAGAAAGGGGCGGATGCGGGCTATGTTTTTGAGATGGAATCTACAGGATTTGGCAACATGCTGGATGTGAGACTCAAAGGTGAGACCAGAGTCAAGTATGACGCCAAGACAGCGCGCTTGCAAGGATGCGCTGATGTTGGTACCACAAACTTGAAGGGAGAGCGAAAGAGGAGGATCAGTATTAGGAGGAGGAAAGACAAGGAGCTCAGTTTTTGAGAGATTGAGTTTCAGAAAGCGGGAGGACATCCAGTCAGAGATGGAAGAAAGGCAAGCAGTGACACGTTGCAGGACAGCAGGGGAGAGGTCCGGGGAAGAGAGATATAGCTGGGTGTCATCAGCGTACAGGTGGTAGTGGAAACCAAATGAGGTGATAAGTTTGCCAAGAGAGGCAGTATAAAGAGAAAATAGAAGGGGACCAAGGACGGAGCCTTGGGGGACTCCAACCGAGACAGGGCGAGGGGAGGAGGTATCATTAGAAAAAGAGACACTGAATGAGCGTTGGGAGAGATAAGAGGAAAACCACGAGAGGACAGAGTCACAGAGACCAAGCGATTGCAGAGTTTGAAGAAGGAGAGCATGATCAACGGTGTCAAAGGCCGCCGAGAGGTCAAGAAGAATTAGTATGGAGTAGTGGCCTTTGGATTTAGCTGCGATTAGGTCGTTAGTAACTTTGATAAGGGCAGTCTCTGTAGAGTGGAGAGGGCGGAAGCCAGATTGAAGGGGGTCAAGAAGAGAGTTGGAATTGAGGAAATTAGACACACGGGTAAAGACGAGTCTTTCCAGAAGCTTTGAGGAAAAAGGGAGCAGGGATATGGGACGGTAGTTAGAGGGGGTGGACGGGTCAAGGGATGGTTTTTTTAGTATAGGTACTACAGTGGCATGCTTAAGGTCAGCAGGGACGATGCCAGAAGAGAGCGAGCAGTTGAAGATGTGTGTTAGAGAAGGCACGAGACAAGCGGAGAGAGATCTGATAAGGTGAGACGGGACAGGATCGAGCGGGCAAGTGGTGGGGCGAGAGGAGCAAAGAAGAGCAGCCACCTCTTGGTCAGTGGCTGGGGAGAATGTCTGAAGGGTAGGAAAGGCATGATCAATGTGTGATTGAGAAACAGAAAGGCAAGGAGGGGAGAATTCTTTCCTTAGCTGTTCAATTTTGTCAGTGAAGTAACATGCAAAGTTGTCAGCAGTAAGGTTGGTTTGGGGGGTGGCCACAGCAGGGCGAAGAAGAGAATTAAAGGTGTCAAAGAGACGCCTGGGGTTGTGGGAACATGAACTAATGAGAGAGGAGAAATAGGACTGTTTGGCAAGGGCAAGGGCTGCACTGTATGAACACAGTATGAATCTATAATGGAGAAAGTCTGACTGGGTGCGAGACTTCCTCCAGGAGCGTTCAGCACACCGGGAGCATCTTTGCAGGTAGCGCGTTGATTTAGTATGCCATGGTTGGGGGCGGGTCCTCCTTGAGGTGCTTGTTTGGAGTGGTGCTGCAGTGTTCAAGGCAGATGTAAGAGTAGAGTTATATATGGAGATTGCCAGTGAAGGACAGGATAGGGAAGGGATGGATAGCAGTTGTGAATCAATGTCAGCTGACAACTGTTGGAGATCAAGAGAATTAAGGTCCCTCCTGAGTTGAGGCTGGTTAGGCGGAGGTTGTTGGGTGAGGGGGTAAGTGAGAGCAAACGATAAGAGGTGGTGATCAGAGAGAGGATAAGGAGTGTTGCAGATATTAGATACTGTACATGCATAAGTGAAGATTAGGTCAAGGGTATTGCCAGCTACATGGGTGGGAGAATTTGCCCACTGTGATAGCCCGAGGGAGGAAGTAATTGAAAGTAGTTTATTGGCTGCAGAGGTCAAAGGTGGGTTTATAGGAATATTGAAGTCCCCGAGAATTAGGGATGGGATGTTAGAAGAGAGGAAATAGGGTAGCCAGCCAGCAAAATGGTCAAGGAAGAGAAGAGGGGAACCAGGGGGACGGTAAATAACAGCAATGTTAGCAGCGAAAGGTTTGAAAAGGCGAATAGAGTGTATTTCAAATGATGGGAAAGAGAGGGAAGGGGGGGTGGGAAGAGGTTTAAAAGAGCAGTGAGGGGAGAGGAGATGTCTAAGATGCGTTTCACCGATGTGGCTTTTTCAATTTGTATCAATTAAACTTCCCAGTTCCTGTTTAAAGGGGCTTATTGGCTCCTCCTTCAAACTACCTATAGGTGTTCTGTTTTTCCGCTGTTTCGGATTCATTGGACTTCCAACATCCTTCCTCCTTAGTCGATTGAAAACTCAGATGTGACGATTTTTCGTTCGCAACTACATTTCCCATAGTTCATCTGTTGGGATGTTGCGAAATGTCATATCCGGTTGGCAAGTATGTTTTAAAATGTTTTAACTTCTCAATATTTGAAAACCCACATCCTGGTTCCTGCAGGGAAGTGCCCCCCTGAAAATTTACACCAATTTGACATTTGGGAGCCAGTTTTCAAACAGAACCAGTATGTGGGTTTTTAGATGATGAGAAGTTTTATCTAATTAACACAGGTTGGGCCACACTTGGTTCCCAGAACTCGTATAGCTATAGACCTAAATTAAGACCATTTAGGTTAAACATTAGGCTGTATGTAGCTAGGAGAACTTTTAACTCTTATTTAAGATGTGTGCTTTAATAGACTTTCCATTTAAGACTGGGTTGATTTATCAGTATGTAGTCTGTTATCACTTGCATGAAGAAGTCCTTATGGAGCCACCTGTATTTAGAGTCAGAGAAACATTTCTTCCCATAACCGTATCACCACATTCTCTGTTCTTTTCAGCTCATGATCTTCCAGTTGCAGACCAAAGGGACATGTATCAGAGAGAAATAATCCCGGACATCTATCAGAGAGAAATTATCCCGGACATCTATCAGACAGAGATAATTCCGGAACTGCCAGCTGAGGACGACTGGAAGATTTATCAGAGGGAAATAATCCCTCAGATGCCAGTTATTCAGCAGATACAAGGTAATTACTCCTAACTAATACAATAAATACAAAGAGGATGTGTGATCGCTTGGATGTTAAGTTGTAATATAATGTATGAGCTGGTACAGTGTAGGGTGAGTTCTTTCTAAACATCACACACAAATTACAGGCAAAAAAACAAACAAACTGCAACTGAGCAACAAGGAGACTACAGTCCGCATGAACAGACAAATGTCCACTTACCCCTCTATCAAATGAGGGTATTCCAATATATATGCTCAAAAGAAAGAAAATAATATAGTAACACTGTGGAAAAACAATAATAGAGTAAGAATAGGCACACTCACATAATATGGAGCCTTAGTTGGACAGGCTCAGCTCACTCAGGTGATGTGCTGGGGTGATACTAAACCTATTCACTCCATTGTAGTGTAAAATTCTGAGATAATAAGGTAATACAGCTTCGAGTGTAACATGTCAAATAAAAAAAGGATATTGCAAAGGTAAAATTAGTAGCTCACCTTTTATAGAGCATGCCATCAAGTGATGGCTTGGCTTCCCCGGGAAGCCTTTATTGAAAGATTTAAATCAGTCAGTGCAAAGTTTTAACCAAACAGTTGAAAGCAACCAGAATGTTTAATATTCCATTGCATGGGGATTGTTTCACCTCCATGGGTATGGGGGTCGAGGAGTAAATCCCACCCAGAAAATCTGGTGTAGCTTCTTGTAGTGATTCTGTGCAGTCTTGGTGCTTAAAATGGTTTATATCTTATTTACAAGTAAGACTGAGATGTCTAGTTTTCTAAGAGAGTTTACATGTGGTTTTACTGTATTTCGATACAAAGCCATCTTTAAGGTTTTCTAGATCTGTAAAATGCGATTCTTCAGCTTTTAAAATGTTCTAGTTCTAGCACACTGGGTGTGAAGCCAACTGTGGAACAGATGGCTCACGTTTCCCTGAGTTCCGAGCCTGGCTCACTTAGATAAAAAATGTAACTGTGGGGGGCGTGGCTGGGCTGCCGATGGAGTAGGACGCAGGCAGTGAGAGCTCCCGGGCCCCAACCCTGCCATAGCCCGTTTTAAAAGCGTTACCACTCCCGCCCGAATGGGTAAACCGAGGAAGGGGACTGCCCCGGGCCCGCAACTTACCGCCATGTCGCAGCAACCGGGACCGATGGACGAGTACCTGTCCACCCCACAATGTATAGCAGGCACACGAGGCCCAGACAAAATGGCGCCCGGATCGCCGGGAACACAGAGCAGATCGAGCTCCACGCAGGACTCCCCGCGGAGAGACGCCCTCACTCAGATGTCAGCTGAACTCGCGGCAATCTCGGCAAACATGTTTTCCAGGCAAGACAAGAAGGAGCTGGTGGCAGAACTACGCGCGGCTATCCGGGAGGAGGTGGCTGCGGTCCGGCGCGACCTCTCCGCCCTAGAACACCGGGTGGGAGACCTAGAGGTCCAACAGCTGCAGTCAGAACAATCCCAACGGGCCACAGACCTGGCTACCACGAGGCAGGGCAACCTCCTCCTGGAGCTCAGACGCCAGGTGGAGGACCTTGAGAACCGCGGACGGCGCAATAATATCCGCGTCAGAGGCCTGCCAGAGTCGGAAGGAGAGACCCCAAGAGAGGTCCTGGAGGGCCTGTTCACACAACTACTGGGGGAAGAAGCTCCACCGGATTTCGGATTAGAGCGTGCACACCGGGCGCTTCGACCACCAAGGAGGGATGGCCTCCCCAGGGACTTGGTGTGCTGTTTTCAATCATTCCAACTGAAAGAAAGTATCATGAGAGCGGCCAGGGCACTGCGCACCATCACCTACATGGACTCGCAAGTATCCCTATACCAGGACCTGTCTCCCCTCACCCTCGATGCCAGGCGAGCGCTGAAGCCCATCACAGGCCTCCTACAGCAGAAGCGGATCCCTTACAAATGGGGATTCCCGTTCAGTCTGCAGGCAAGAATTGCGAATCGCTGGCTGGCAATCCGCTGGCCTAATGATGTCCCTAGATTTCTACGAGCAGCGGGCCTCCCTGAGACCCCCGTCCCTAACTGGATCCTTGATCACCCGCCGGCCAGGCCCACGGGCCCTACAGTTCCAGCGGATCACCTGTCGGATGGTGCCCTGCGGAGCTCCTCGACGCACCGGAGCGGGCCCAACACCGCGGAAGAGTAGGAAGTCTGTAAGCACCCGAGAGCGCGCCCCTGGAGGGGTTCTTGCGCGGACCGGGGGCCCCGAGACCCCCACGTCCTACCCCGCGGGTAAGGTGCACACCTGCCCGTAGATACACGTGGATTAACTGAGGACTTGAAACTGAGCATCTGGGGTATGTACCGTTCCTCCCCCCGGGCCTGGGACTCCCCTATGTGTACTATAAGATCTGCACCCCCCGGGAACTCAGCACTTGGGTGGGAGACGGGAAAGGGGGGGCAGCAAAGTGGAAGCATAGAAGGGAACTGGCCACCACCACTTCACACGGCCTCAGTTGGGGCAGAGCGGGTTCAGGTAGAGCACCCAACCTACTGGAGCTATTAACAGCATGTCAGGACCTGGTGTGGGGGCGGGGCCTGCGGGGAGGTGGAGCGGGTCTCACTGGAGCTGGGGAGCCATGGCGGTACCCGGAGGGAGGAGGCTGGAGGCACACCCGTCACACCCCCCCGGGCCCGAGGGCCAAAAGGTCTATGCCCAGACCCCTGCAGGGCCGAGAGGGGTAGAGAGGGGGGACGACCGGGCACCTGGGGACGCACGAAGGAACTCGTGCATAGACCGAAACAGGGCACAGGAACCAATAAGCACTACTTACAAGTGGCACCACTAAAGTCAAAGAAGGGCCAGAAGGCTCGTGGGTCCTCGGAGAGGGGGGAGACGGATAATCTGGCAGGGCGGGAGGGGGTAGGACGGAGAATCTGGACGAGGGGGGGTTGAGGGGGCAGGACGGTCCATATGCTCTCCCTGGGGCACTAGGGGTAGAACACTGACGGGGGACAGCTGAGACTGGACGGAAACCGCACACACATCACAACTGGCGGGTTGGGAGCACCGGGAGACGGACTCGGACCAGACACACACACTAGGTTGTTCCGCGCCGCAGGCGACCTTGCTCACACCCCACGCAACTGACCCGTGGTGTACAAACTAGTCGGAGTTCGGTAGGACTACAGTCGAGTAGCTGCCGAGCAACTCTATCCGACCGAGGTTCATTGTTGCTCACAAACCGTTTTTTTATTTTTTATTTATTTATTTATTTGTATTTTTTTATTTATTTAATTTTTATTTTTTTTCTTCCTTCTCTTTCCCCCCCTCCCCTCTGCCACCTGCCCATTCCTCTCTCTCTCTGCGTCTCTCCCCCACCCTCCCCTTATCCCCCCGAGCCCACGTACAGTCAATTACACAATGCCTTCCCAGACAGGGCCGGCCGGGGGCTGTTCACCCCGAGGGGCCGGGGGGAGTCTCGCCCCCGCACAACTCAAAGTGTGGTCTAATAACGTGAGGGGCCTAAACACCCCGGAGAAGCGGTCTCAACTTTTGAGGCAGTTATGGGCGGAAAAGGTGTCTGTGGCGCTCTTGCAGGAGACGCACTTTAGGGGTCAGGATTCTCCGAAGATTGAGAATAGACGCTTTCCACAGGGGTACTACGCCAATCACCCAGAGGCTAAGAAAACGGGAGTGGCGATTCTGTTCTCCCGCATAGTCCCGTTCCATCTCATAGACACCATGACGGACCCGGGTGGGAGGTACATCTTTTTGAAGGGCACCATCGCACACCACACCTACACTTTCGCAAGCATTTATAGCCCTAACCGCGGACAGCATAAATTCTTTACCAAAACACTAGCCAAACTAGAAAAATTCAGGGCCGGCCTGCTGATATTGGCAGGGGATCTTAACGCTCCCCTGGACCCCCGGATGGACACCACCAGGGGGACCAGCACTGTCCCAGAGCACAGCCTACGCGCAATGCGACGAGCACTGACTGGCATGGGGCTGGTCGACTGTTGGAGGGTAGCACACCCGGACGATAGAGACTTCTCCTATTACTCGTCAGTATATAGGCAATATAGTAGGATAGACTACATCTTCATGCCCCAGGAGAGCCTGGCGCTTCTCCGAGACGCTTCCATAGGGATTATCAACCAGTCCGACCATGCCCCAAACACGGTGATAATGAACTCACCTTTATTTAAACCGACCGAACGCCAATGGAAGCTCAACGAAACCATGTTAACAGAGCTCGAGATACGCACCAAGGCACTACAGACGCTTACACAGTACTTTGACACTAATGACACACCCGACATGCCCCCTCTGATGCTATGGGAAGCCCACAAATGCGTCATTAGGGGTCACTTTATATCTATCAGCTCGCAACGCAAGAAAGACAGGGCTCGCCGAATTCTAGACCTTACGGCACGGATTGCAGACCTAGAGAATACACATAAGCATAGCCTAGATGACGACACATACTTACGACTCACAGAGACACGTAGGGCACTCAAAGCACACTTATCCCAGGGATTACTACATACGTTGCGGAAATCAGCCAGGCACTTCTATGAGCACTCGAATAAGTGCGGCCGACTTCTGGCGCAGGTGCTCCGAGAGAAGCGTAGAGCCCAACATATTCACCAGATACGCACCGGACATGGACAGCACACCAGACTACCAGAGGGCATCATGGCAGCATTTAGGGCCTACTATAGGGACCTATACAACCAAGCTAGGCCAGCTCAGGGGACAGAAGCCCAAAACCATCGTAGGAAGGTCACAGACTACCTAACGCGACACGTGACTCGCAAACTCACTCCGGAGCTCGCTGAGGAAATTGATGCTCCCCTAACCTTAGAGGAACTAGCCGCAGCCATGAAACGCTCCAAAACCCACAGGGCCCCGGGGCCGGACGGCCTCCCCCTCACATATTTAAGAACTTTCCGAGACGCCCTACTACCCCGACTTCTAGCAGGCCTGAACTCCTTACAGGACGGGGGGCGGTTCCCCAAGGACTCCCTGGCGGCGATAGTAACGGTTATCCCCAAAGACGGGAAAGATCCATCAAACTGCTCGAGCTATAGACCAATTTCCTTGCTAAATGCGGATCTGAAGCTATTTACCAAAGCTCTCTCCCTGAGGGTGTCACGGATCCTGCCGGATCTCATTCACCCAGATCAGGTGGGCTTTATTCCGGGCAGAGAGGCCAGGGACGACACGATACGAGCCCTGAACATCATACATTGCGCACGAACCTCGGGAAGGGACACAGTCCTCCTCTCTACAGACGCCGAAAAGGCGTTCGACAGGGTGGACTGGGTCTATTTGGACGAGACCCTAAGACACATGGGGTTTGGACCAAATGTACGAGCCTGGGTGTCGGCGTTATACTCCTATCCAACGGCACGGATCCGCATTAACGGAGCCCTAACGCAGACCTTCCCGATTGGCAATGGGACCCGGCAGGGTTGTCCCCTGTCCCCCCTCCTGTTTGCCCTCTCTCTTGAACCATTTCTGGAGGCGGTCAGACAGGACGGGGGCATAACGGGGGTGAAGGTGGGGTCTGAAGAGCACAGAGTGGCGGCCTATGCGGACGACATGCTCTTTTTCATGGAACAACCCAGGATATCCATGCCCAACCTCTTACAGGCGTTCCACACCTATCACCAAGTATCCAACCTAAAACTCAACGTTGAAAAGTCCGAAGCCATGCCGATAATGCAGGGAGAGGAGCGGGCCCGGCAGCTGGGCTCCCAGTTCGCCTTCTCCTGGTGCACAACCAAACTAAGGTACCTTGGTACCTGGCTGCCAGCGGACCTGACGCAGATATACAAGCTAAACTTTCTCCCTCTCCTCTCCGCAATCCAACAAGACCTTCAGCGGTGGACGCAGCGGTACGTATCCTGGTTTGGCCGTATTGGTGCGGTCAAAATGAACATACTCCCCAGGCTGTTATATCTCTTTGCGGCACTACCCACCAGGATCCCCCAGACGTTCTTCAACTCGGTGACAACAGCTATCCGTAGGTTTGTGTGGAACAACAGGCAGCCGCGCATCCGTAGGGCGATCCTGGAGAGACCGAAGGCGGCCGGGGGGACGGGGCTACCGTCAGTGATCTCATACTATAGGGCCACACACCTCCATAGGGTAGTAGACTGGCATGCGCGGCCAAGTACCAAACGATGGGTATCAATGGAACTGCAACAGACTCGGGGCACTGTCCCGTCGCAGCTCTGGCTGGGTGGGTATACCTACACAGACCTGCACACAAAAAACCCGGTGATAGACGCAACTCTCAAGGTGTGGTGCGGACTAAGATATGCCTACCAACTCACCACCTCCCCAAACCCGCTTACGCCTATTACTCACAACCCGAGGGTTGCAGGTGGCCTTCACCCGGTAGCTTTACGCAATTTCCAGGGAACAGATTGGCTCTATGTACGCCAGTGGAGTCCGGGGGGAACGCTGCAATCGCTGGGGGACTTATTGCCAGACGGGCAACCTACTGCTCTCGACAAATTCCACTATCACCAGGTTAGGTCCTACTATACCAAAATCCAGGGGAGAACTCAACTCCACCGTACACTTACGGAATTTGAACGCCTGTGCACAGACAGACGACATTTAACCCATGGGGTGTCACACTTATATACCCTGCTCCAGCAGTCAGGGGATAGTTGCCCACTAGGCTTCACGAGCAGATGGGAGGAGGAGACGGGTGCACAGCTGACGGACCAAGAATGGGACAAAATATTCCTCCTCACACATAAATGCTCAATTAGCTCGAAATTCCAGGAAACCAGCTACAAACTGTTAACACGATGGTACAGAACACCAGACACACTGAGGCACATACAGGGGACGGACACAGGCGATTGTTGGAGATGCGGATTAGAAAGGGGCACCAACCTACACATCTGGTGGTCATGCCCTAGTATCAAACCATACTGGCAAATGATCAAGGCAAAGATCAAGGAGATCACAGGGGACGACATCCCCCTACAGCCGCTGCCAATGCTTCTACACCATACACCCACCCCAACGCAGGCATACAAAAAGTCACTGACAATACACCTATTGAACGCAGCAAAGGCCCTCATTCCCCTGCACTGGAAAAGTCCATCAGTTCCCACACTTAGACAATGGATAGACAAGGTGGAGACCATCTACGACATGGAGATCCTGACGGCCTCTATGCGAGAGCGCGCAGATAAGTGCGCCCTGACGTGGTATCCTTGGAGGCAGTATACCTCGAGAGACGGGGCATGAGTTGCGGGGCTGCGGAACCGACCTGAGGGGGGAGGTGTGTGGGGAGTGTGCTCTTTTCTTTTTTTTTTTTCTCTCTCTTCTCTTCTTCTTCTTTCTCTCTTTCCCTCCCTTTGTGTGTACTATCTCTCAACTTATACCCAGCACGGAGACCCTGAAGCAGACTGGCTTAGTCTGGAACATGCCCCGACGGACGCACTACCCCACAGTTCATGGACGACATACAGGACACGGACAGGCCATACTGACACAGCCGAAAAGGGGGGTCACCCTCCTAGACATAACGGCTTGGGTGGAGGCGACAGGTATAAGGCAGACCTCACAATCCTAGTGAGTAATTAGTTTGACTCCCCTTCTCTGAGGGGGAAGATTTAGAGCACAACACGCCGAAACATGACTGACCACCTATAAGAGTTGACACTTAAACATTCTACATGCACCTCGGGGTGCACATGGGGACGCAGGGTTAAACAAAGCACAGCAATCACTTGTCGGGTTGACCGAAGGTCGACCGACCTTCATATTACCCAAGCCGCAGGCATGGATTCGTATGTAGACAACCTCCAGATTTCGATTGTAGAAAATATGAGCATGGTTCTGTTACTTGTTTAGATATGTCTTGTACCATTTACCGACAGACCCTAAGCCGCGGGCATGGGTTCGTATGTAGACAACCTCCAGACTTTGAGAGTAGAAAATATGAGCATTGTTTCTGTTACTTGTTTTTTATATGTCGTGTACCATTTACCGTTTTACTTACCGTATGCCTACGGAATATTTGAAAAAAATTACCTTCAATAAAAATGATTGACACAAAAAAATGTAACTGTGAAAACGGGCACCTACTTGAACAAACTACCCAACACCGATGGTGGGAAGGAGGAATGGGGAGGAAAAACAAAGGCTGATAAGGTATCGACAAGCCGAGATATCGTTGAACTCCTGCGTTGATCCCAGAGCCGCATGGGACAAGATGGCGCTGGGAGAGGATTAGTCCGCATACTCATTGGAGGATATCCCATTCGACTCGGGAGAAGGGACACCCCTCAACCCACTAACGAGATCTACTGGTAGGCAATTTACCTCTGCCGAACATTCCACGGTTGTCCAGCTGAAAGACATGCTTGCTGAGCCCACAGCCAATATCGTGGCAGACATGGCCTACTTTAAAACTGCCATTGAAAGCGCAACCTCTCGGATCACTCTTCTGGAAGCCTCCTTGAGCACCCAAGGCACCAGGCTAACCTCAGTGGAAAACAAAATCGCTGACATCCAAAAGTTACAAATGACCACCAACGTGGACGCAATAGAGGACCAAAACGGCGCTGTAACCTTGAACTCTGTGGAGTCGATAGGTCTCTCTGACTTACCACATTATGTCCGAAGACTGCTCAACATGCTGTTGCCACCTAAGCAGGCCATAGAGGTCAAGATGGATGGCATGTTCCGTCTGCCAAAACCACCCACCGCACCAACAGCTGCTTACGCAGACCTTATCATCAGATTTCAATCGCTTTCTGACAAGGCCCTTCTGCTCACAGCTGCCCGGGTAAAGACCCCAGTACATTTTGAGGGATCATCTCTGATGCTGTTCCCTGATCTACCCGCAGCACCATCGAATGGTGCAGGTCACTACGACCAATACTACAGGTCCTTCAATGAAGGAAATCTTGTACCGATGGGGGATACCAAAGCAGCTCCTATTCACCCACATGGGCATCACCTACCGAGCAGGGAGCTACGAGGAACTGGAATCCCATCTAAACAACCTGGGCCTCAGAGAGTGGCCGGCCCAGGACTGCCACACCCGGACCCCTCAAATATTGAAGAGTTCACTCCCTGCGGAGCTCTGCGCCAGCACAATCGAGAGTAACCGGTAGGCTATGCGCTGGCAAGTAACCTTCCCTACACCTTGGTGACCGCCAGGTTCCATCCATCTCCACCACTGGAGATCACTATGGCTAATGAGCTTCAGCTCCAGTTTTGACTTTTTCTCTGTTCCTATGACGTTTATTTTTCAGTTGTTTTTCTGTTATTTTTTTTTGCTATTTTTCCTCAAACTTTTCTGAGATAATGAATGCCCAGCCCTATTCAGCCATTATAAGTAACATGGTTTATCACTCTGCCACGCTTGCCCCTAGGAACCCACATGTCAGGGCATAATTTGTATTATGTGAACCCCCCACCCCTCTTTTGACCCCGGTAATAATGCAAAAACGGATGCTTACTAATGGTAATGGGAGGGAGATAATTTCCTACATGGACAGAATAGACCTAACGACCCAACATCACTTTGATAGGGCTCACGTAAGAATAGTAAGACTATTAATAGTAATACTAGTAACTAGTAAGAATCTAATATATACTTTTTAATGCTTTACTTATCTAGTTTTATATATTTTTTTTGTTTTGTTTTGTTTGTTTGAAACATATGCCCAACAGTAACTGCCAAATATGCCCAGCTAGCTCCTTAGACATATATGATGTCCCCCTTTCTGTTCAGTTATTAGACGCAGTACATTGTGAAGTTAGGACAGATTTTTCACATCCTGATTCTCAATAAAAAGCAGAAATCTGCTGCAGTTTCATAGTAATAATTCACATCCATTGCCTTTTATTACTAAATTTCCAAATCAAATGACCAGAAAGAGTGTCGAAGTCATAGTTAAACTGTGGTCAGAGTATCTGTTAGCTGTGAATTGTGAGGGTTTGTTTTATAAAGCTTTCTAGTAGCAGTAAGCATTTGCTAGTACATACATGTTTGTAGTAGGACTGAGGATAAATCACAAAGGTCCTATTGAAATCTCGCACAATGACCTGCTTCTGGTGGAGCTAGGGCCAGATATTCGTAATAAACAAACAAGAACTGTCCCCTTACATGTGTCCTGCAGTACTCCAAGGATTCCAGTAGGGGGAATTATTTTTATTGCATTAGTTTCTGCATTCATGTTTTAAGGATGAATTATTTTATGTTATGTTATTGTTTAACAGTTGAGCCTTTTCTCATCCGTGGGGAACCTGTCCAGACTCCACGAGGTAGGAGACCAGTTTCGCAATGTGGTGACAGGCCTTGCTCTGTTCAAACTTCATCAAACAACCTGGCTGATTTCCCTCCTGGACGTCCATACCGTGGTAACATTGGGAATATCTGTGATGCAAGCCGCAGTAAACGTGTGTATGGGAGCCATAACCTTCCTCAGACTGGATTCGCCCATCTCAGCCGGCAAGGATATGCAATCACTGATCTGGAAGAAGGCTACACCAAATGCTGTCAGCAGTCTGATAGGTTGACCTGCGCGGAAAGTGTGGTAAGTAGCACGTACAAAAAACACTCACTAATACAGGATGAAAATGGTAAAAGGTTTAAGGTGGATTGTGTAGATGGCATTTCATTGGTCATAACTCTCCCAGTGTCTTGGCAATGGAAACTTCACTAATTAATACTCCGATAATATGCTATGATATACGTTATGTATATGTATAAATTATATATATATACTCACACAGCAGGATATCGGGGCAGTACCACCAATACACTTTTAAGAGTGTAGTTGAGTGACAGGAGTGTAGTTGAGTGACAGGTCTATCCTGGGTCCATTTAATGCTCTTAGCCCAGTTGGGGAGAGATAGTGAGAAGCCACTTTCCTGTACACAAAAGATTCACAAACAGATGGGTGGCTTAAACGTCTATTCTTTTTTTATAAGCTCATTAAAAGCTAAGTTTTATTTGATTTAACAGTCTTGAGAATGTTATCTGGATTCCTTTTTACATTTTGCTTGACAAGCACCGGGCAAGTATATTCTAATTATATGGAGTGCTGGATTATTTTTCTTGATATATATATATATAGATCAGTGTGCGTATCAATGCCTAGCAATGTGTATAACAATGGGTATCTGTGTGTTTCTAGCAGTGCAGTGTGTAGTCGTGTACCTATGTGTGTGAATGCGTACATGTAGTTGAGAACGTGATCAGTGTGTGTATGTCCGGGAGTGTGTAACTGCCGTATCAGGAGGCTCTGCAATTTCTCATGGCAGCCATGGTGATACAATATATTATATAAACACTCTCGTAATATCTTGGACGCAGACCATTTTATACTCTTACTTTTTAAACCTTCCATTGTCTTTCTTGTATCTGCAACTTAGCCAGAGCTTCATAAAAGCTAAATGGACATGATGCTGGCTGCATGGAGTGTTTCATATTCTGCGTTATCTGGGCCGAGAATAATCAACTGGTTGTACTCAAACTCCTCCTTTGAACAGACCTTTTGAAGTTGTGTATAGTTATCTAGAGAGTAAAAGATGCCACATGTAGTGGGTCAGGATTTACCTCTAAGCACTACATCTCTAATGATTTATGTTTCCCCTGTCTAGTGGAAGAGTACCCTGGAAGCATTTTGTCAGGAAGAGTTCAGCGTAAAGACCAGACATTTTCATTGCTGTAAGAAACGTGGCTCAGAAAGAGAAATATGCTTCAGTTCCGATGCTCCTAACCCAAAGTACATCTTTCAGTCCATGCAAGTTCTGGTTCCAGAAATCGGAAGCGCTGACCTGCCTGCAGTGGGAAGTCCTAGAAGCTTAAAACCGTGCCCTCCTAACTCTCCAAAATGCCAGAAGCGCGGCAGTGATGGTCTGCCTGACCTGTCCTTCCCACCAGGAGAACCCAAATCAAGCACCATCCAGAATATCTGCAATCTGAGGAAGTTCCGACCCATTTACACCAAGAACCAGCTGCCACAAAGTTCGTTTGGCTCTTACAAACGCCAGGCACAATCCATCAATCACCTGGAACGTGAATTCAAGAAATGCTGCAAGGATGAAAATGTGACCTGTGCGCACACTGCGGTGAGTGTTTAACTGTTACTGGGTAACATTCTGCCTCTAATGTGAGAAACTAGATACTGTCACTTCACAGATCACAACATTCCACTACTTCACCGGAATTGCTATACGATAAGTCGTAACGTTAGCATTTCATAGTCTTTCCTGGGCGTCAATAACACTACATTCCACAACTCCCAGAGTACACCCGCACGCTACGAATTGTAGCAATAGGGAATAATTTGGGGTGGGATAACTGCATGCACAAGAGGAATAAGCGATATTCAAGTATTTTTACTTAATGTTTGTTGGTGACCTATCAATGCATAAACTAGAGGCATGACCACCTGACAAGTGGCTTGCTATTTGTGTGACCCGTGGAGAACTGGCTCGATTTAAAGTAGCAGTCGGCAGCATTCACCACTCATCCATAATGCTGGCAAAGCATCAGGGAAGATGGAGTCCACAATGTCTCGAATGCCGAAGTTTGCTTACCCCTTCAATACATTTTCTGTTTTACTTCCTGTATATAGATAGCAGTGATGCTGAGCAGATAGTGATGGGAAATGCAAAGCCAAAACGGGATATATCAGTTTAAATCTATAGATCTGTAATATCTCTCTCTGTTTAGAATGTCCGGCCCATTTATTTGTAGCCTTTACACATGGTGATAGAGCTGTCTGAATTCCCTGCACGGTACTAACCCTGAGTCTGGGTCTTGGATTTTATAACCCACAGTGGCAGAAAGTTCTGCAGAAGTTCTGCTCAGAGGAGCGGACTGTTAAAACCAGACAAAACGAATGCTGCATGAAGCAGGACCGAGCCGCTATGTACACCTGCTTTGCAAGCCAAGCCCCTTACCCCAAGTACGACCGGGAAGTGGAGAGCGTGGATCTCGGTAATGTGACTGTAGACAGCCTGCAAAAACTCTGCGGAGGCCACAAACTCCTTACTAAACAGTAAGTACAACCCCTTTAATCTTGCTTTTTCCTTAATTTCTCCAGTAATACTGAGCATGTATAGGACTACTTATGAAGCCCTGGGTTAATTTGAAAAGCTAATTGTGGCAAGTTATCCTTCTGAGTGGCCCGTGGCTGGTTAAAGGAACAATCCAAACACTATCATCACTACAATGACGACGATTCATTATAAGGAGTCAGTTTTTGAACAGTTTGACTTCTTACCTGTGGTCTGCCAAGTGACGTTCCACGCCTCCATCACCAATGCCAGAGAGCCAGAATTTTCTAAGCAGGACCTGCAGTGCAGGGCTAAGTTCATTGGCTGATAATGACAGTGTCAGACAACACGTTAATTCCCGCACTGTAGGGCATAACTCAGGAGAGCTCTCCATTATTGGTAGTGGAGGAGAGGATCAGTAACTGGCAGACTCCAGGCAGTGGTTATTGTTATTATTACTATTGGCATTTATATAGCAACAACAGATTCCGTATTTCTTGGCGTGTTCAATTATTTAAAGTGGTTGTGGTGTTTGGAGTCTGCATGTGCTGTGTTCCAGTTTGAAACTTTGTAGATACAGAGATGAAGCACATTGTGCCAATAGCGGGTTATACACCAGATCGGAATGAGGAGGGGTGTCTAGGAGTGCATAAGCAAAGTGTTTTAACCCTTAAATGGTAAGACTGCAGGGGCCTGGCCTATATACCAAAACCACTTCATTAAGTTATCTGTGAAAACAGATACTGTCATTCGACTGTTCTATGTTGTGGTTGGGTTTTTTTTTGTTTGTTTTTTAAATCTTACCGGGAGGAAAATCCGTTCTTACTTGTTCTTCTCTCATTCAGAAAGAAGATTCTGCAGCTAGCGCTGAGCCTGAAACAGACCTGCTGTAATTTGCCCCACGATGCCTTGCTGCAGTGCGCCAGTGAGCAGGTGAGTGAGTGGTCTGATAACACCCCAGGCTTTCCCCCCCCTTCTGTGAGCACAATTTAAACGCATGAACAACATATGCCTTTGTATCCTCAGTGCGTCCAGATAGGGCTCACTAGATGATTACCGCCTATGCCTTCCATAATGTAATTATTTTATAAAATTCATGCTGCATGTACGGTTTCACTTGATGCTGTATCGCCCTTCTGGGACATATCACTGCGCTATTGTTCTCATGTCGACATATACTGCGTATCACACATACAGTGTGACAATAATAAAGAATTTAAAAAATGTTTTAAATATTATTTTGCCATTAAATGAAAACAGTCATTTCTCTTACTATACACCACTAAACAAAACACTCAACATTTCCTACGACTTTTGTTATACATTATATTATACATTTATATTAAAAGATTCAGCAAGTGACATAATCCAGTTAAGACAAGGCGCACATTGAATATGAAAACTTTATTTCATTTCTCCTTTTCTCTGTATGCTCTCTATACTGACTGCCAGGTGTAAAGGGCGGAGCTTATAACAATGATTGACAGGGCGCTAAGATGGAGGCGGCTCTCTCTATACTGACTGCCAGGTGTAAAGGGCAGAGCTTATAACAATGATTGACAGGGAGCTAAGATGGAGGTGGCTCTCTCTATACTGACTGCCAGGTGTAAAGGGCGGCGCTTATAACAATGATTGACAGGGAGCTAAGATGGAGGTGGCTCTCTCTATACTGACTGCCAGGTGTAAAGGTCGGGGCTTATAACAATGATTGACAGGGAGCTAAGATGGAGACGCCCATTTGCTGATCAAGAGGTGTGGATTTCTATATTTATATAGCATTTCCAGGGGTGAATAAACATTAAAGGACCACTATAGGCACCCAGACCACTTCAGCTTAATGAAGTGGTCTGGGTGCCAGGTTTAACCCTTTTTTCTTTTTTTTATATAAACATAGCAGTTTCAGAGAAACTGCTATGTTTATGATAGGGTTAATCCAGCCTCTAGTGGCTGTCTCATTGACAGCCGATAGAGACGTTTGCGTGCTTCTCACTGTGATTTTCAGTGAGAAGACGCCAGCGTCCATAGGAAAGCATTGTGAATGTTTTCCTATGGACTGGGTGAATGCGCGTGCGGCTCTTGCCGCACATCCTCATTCAGCTGGAGAGGAGGAGGAGGAGAGCTCCCCGCCCGGTGCTGGAGAAAGTTTAACCCCTTCCTCCCCCTAGAGCCCGGCGGGAGGGGGACCCTGAGGGTGGGGGCACCCTCAGGGCACTGTAGTGCCAGGAAAACGAGTGTTTTCCTGGCACTATAGTGGTCCTTTAACGGTCAGTTCTCTGGAAGTGTTCTCTAGAGAATGACTAGTAAGGTTAAAAGGCACAATGGGTCCAGCTCAGTGGCGGATCCAGAGTCTGATCTCGGAAGGGGCACTTGTAGATTATTTAAAGAAATAATCCATGCACAATAACCACTACAGCTCTGTATAGTGGTTATGGTGCCAGGAATGCCGGGACCCCCTCCCAGAGTAAGTAGTCAAACCGTTTAAGAACAGTTTGACAATTTACCTGGGGTCTGCTGTGATATTGGCCTGTACCAGGGCATAGGAGCAGTGGTGTGGGGGGGGGTGTAGTGTGTGAATGTGTAGGGTGTATGGGGGGCTAAGTTTGTGTGTGTATGGGGGGGCAGTGTGTGAATTTGTATGGTGTGTGTGTGTGGGGGGCAGTGTAAGTGTGTGTGTGGGGGGCAGTGTGTGTATGAGGGGCTGCGTATGTGTGGTTAGGAGAACTCTTAAAGGGATACTATAAGTGCCAGGAATACAAAGCTGTATTCCTGGCACTATCGCGCCCCCCCTCACCAGTGAATAAAGGGTTTAAAACCCTTTATTTACTTACCTGCCGCTCCACCACCCCAGATGTCCCGTGAGGCGCAGGCGTTAATGCGTATGTGCGGAAAATGCTGCGTTTGCATTATACCTTCCCATAGGAAAGCATTGAATTAATGCTTTTCTATGGGGAAAAATCTGATGCTGGAGGTTCTCATGCAGAGTGTGAGGACGTCCAGTATCAGATACCAGTCCAAAGGTCTGTTTCAATGCAGGGAGCCCTCTAGTGGCTTCAATGAGCTGTAGTGGTCTGGGTGCCTATATTGTCCATTTAACTGTGCTGAGCTAAGACATAGATTGCCCATATTCCTGTAGGATAATTGGTTTATAAGAGTAAAATATAATTTTTTTATTTTTTTTCTTGTAGAAAGAGAAGTTTATAGAGACTATCTGCAGCTCCAGGAAAGCCGTGTGGAATGACGCTCAGAAATGTTGCAAGAAAAGCAATGAAGAAAAGGCAGAGTGTTTCAATTCCCACCTGCAGAATGTGTCGTTGGTCATATCTCAGCAGAAGAAACCGGAGAAATGAGACTTACGGAGATCATTACAGGAACCCTCCTCCTGAATCAACATATACCTAGAGGTTTGGGACACGGAGGGCAAAGTGTGCACCATGACTTTATTTAGTTCACTCTCACACGTTCTGCGGTTCAGAGACCAGACTCCAATTAAACCGTTTGCATGAAGTAGTTTATTGACTCGTGCAAGAAATGCATCATTCTTAATGACAATCCTGAAGATCCAATGGGCACTGCTTACCAGTAGAGATATCACTGTATGGATGCATTGACCAGGCACAGGAAGGGTAGAATGTGCCAGCATATCACATTCATGAAGAATTCAAACACAGATAATGTCTCTGAAATACCCGTGGGGGGGGGGGGGTTGATGACAATTCAATAAAACGGATTTCAGAATTGACCGAAGAAATTGACAATATCTCCAAGTCTGCTGTACTGTCAGCTCAGCCATTACATCCCAAAATTCACCGTTCCCTGGTCAATTCCCACTTTAGAGAATAGACACCAATAGGTTTTACATGATCTTCTGCCATCTAGTGGTTGAGTGTTGAATATGCTTTTTTATTACAGGGCAAAGGACAAGAGATCCCATTTATTTTGATGAGTTAATATATTTATAATAAGGTAGTCGCTTTCACCCAATCCACATTATTTCCCATTCATAGTACAAGCTTTTTGTAGCTGGACTTTCTTGGTTAATGCTCTTGTCTGATCTCCACAGAACTTAAACGTTTTTTCCTGCCATTATAACCATAGCTTGCTGTAGTGGTTATGGTGGTGGTAGTACCCTGGAGTCTTTTACTGCAATGGGGCAAACCATTATACAGGGGTTTACACTCTTACCTGAGACCCCGTCAGGTTCTAGCAGCCGTACAACATCCTGCTTTCACAGAGCTGCAGACGGTCTGTTTTGTTGGCCATTCATTGGCTGAGAACATCAGTTGATCGCTCTCCACCAATAGTTGACATTCTGTGCATAGAAATATGCACAGAACTGACATTAGCAAGCCCAGATCACTGCAGTGGTCATGGTGCTTGGAGCAGCCATTTAAACTGGTATGATTTACGCTGTTGAAATGAATTAAGGCCTGTCCTTCGGTGTAGTTACTGAACCATTAAAATATTTTATCTTTTGAGGAAATCCAGGCATCAAATAACCATAAAAATATTTTTTGTAACTATAAAAATTTACACTTTTTGGTATTTTTGTACATACATGAAATTCTGACAAAGTGAGAGATGTTTGAAAACCAATAAAATTCTATATACAGCCTAAGAATAATTTGTTGTGTTATTCGTTGCAATGCACAGGGCGTGGACTGACCTCACTGCTTCTAAAGGTGGGATGCTCTCGAGTAACTTGTAAACATTAGTAATCTATGTCTTCCTTCTCACCTCCCCATTGTACAGCACTCCAGAATATGGCGTAGCTATATAGTGGATCATAGCTCAGGTAGGGTTCTTGGGGGAAGGTGAGAGTCGTCCTTTCTATGTTGGTTAGTGTAAAAGGAATTGCTGTATTCGTGCATCAATCAACGGAGACTCAACGTGGCTTCCAGCGCATCCAGTGAGTTACGTGGTTTGTTTCTGTCTGCACAGCTCTGTAGATAATGGACTCACCCTGATTACAAGACAATACACAGTCAGAGACATTGAATGGAACAGAGGAGCTTCCAAATCAAACTAAAGGTGTAAACTGTGCAGAATGTAACCAGGTGAGAGATGCAGATCATAATCCATTCTCCTCACTGGGGTTACCGACAGCCACAGTGTGAAAAAAAAACACATAACACTTGTAAGATCTATTCATTGCTGTATATAATTGTATTATAACTTGTTGGTTTCAGCTTTTCAAAGAAAACAGGGAAGGAGCCAATTGGGATTTTTAAATTGCATCAACAGTTGAAGAGTTTATATCTGCAGTTATAATATACCATAACCTTATAGCTGTAGTTATAATACACTGTGTGCGGGGAGACCGGGGACCTCCTTACACCATAACCTTATAGCTGCAGTTATAATACACTGTGTGCGGGGAGACAGGGGACCTCCTTACACCATAACCTTATAGCTGCAGTTATAATACACTGTGTGCGGGGAGACAGGGGACCTCCTTACACCATAACCTTATAGCTGCAGTTATAATACACTGTGTGCAGGGAGACAGGGGACCTCCTTACACCATAACCTTATAGCTGCAGTTATAATACACTGTGCAGCACTGACCTTGGAAGCACCTGTAGTGGCTGTCTGAGTGACTGCCACTAGAGGCAGTGTTTACATTGAAATGCCTTCAGGGACATACTATACTCACCAGAAGAACTACATTAAGCTATAGTTGTTCTGGTGACTATAGTGTCCCTTTAAGGGAACAATATCAAGAACACGGACATGTTTTCCTGACACTATAGTGGTGATGTGGCTGTTTAGGTGACCGGCCCTGCTCTGATCACGCAGAAACTGATTTTACTCACCTTTCTCCCACGTCACTGCTGGCCCCGCCTGGCTGTGATAATCAATCCTGATGATCTGAATCAAGGAGAAAGCATGGGGAGGCTATTGCGCATATGAGGCAACACACCTATCTCCTCATAGAGATACAATTAATCAGTGCATCTCTATGGGGAATGTTGAGGGTCTCCATACAGAGAGTGGAGGTTCTAAATGTAGGTGCTGCACACCGTGCCGCACTGAGATAGGAAGTACCTTTACTGGGAGTTTGAGTGACTTCCAATAGAGGTGTTACTACTACATTGAGCTATAGTGGTTCTGGTGACTTACTATAGTGTCCTTTAAATGTAAAATTCACGTTGAATTCTCCGGTTGATAAATAACTTCGTTTGACTCCTTCACTCACAAAACAATCAACCAGCACCCAGACACTGTCCCACCTACATCCTATACACTCTCTTTCTCTCCTGTTTATTTTTTTACCCCTTCCACAGAGATTGTAATGTGTTTAAGGAAGGCCGTCTCCACCTCTTGTCTTATATATATTGGTGTTCTATAAATTCTAATAATAAGTGGCGCAATCTATCTGTATCACATTGGGTGGGTCTCACAATCATTGTCTCATCAGCACAGGTGGTAAAATCACAAATAAACACATTGTGATTACAGCACAGGGGGTGTGACTGCAGCCTGGTGAGTGGAATCAGCTGTTTAAATCCTGGGACAGACTGCTAGGACACTTACTGGGGCATCACTGCTCTCCTGATCTCACTGAGCCTCCATCATGGACCTCTTCCAGGTGTGGATCCTGACTCTCCAGCTCTCAGCCTTGCTGCTTCCAGGGCATGCAGGTAAGCCTTGTTATTCACATCCGGCCAGGGGGTGCTATATAGACCATATTACATGCAGCCATTGGGGGGCAGACTATTAATGGGAGCATGACACTGGCAGGGTGACTTATGGGCTTCACTTCCTATGAAAGCAGGTTTACTCAATATTGGAGAGCGTGGAGGGAGGGGGTGTAAGAAATAGATTGCAGTTTAATTATTGGTGACCCCCAAATATGTCATGATATAATGGGGTTTATCCTGGCCCTGATCATGATGGGGTTCATTGTTGATCGTGTTTGTTATTCACTCCAGAACCTGCTGGTTAACCAGCAGATAAAAGGATATTTCACACAACTACATTTTATATAAATCTTTGTTAATATTCTCATCTTATTCTAAAACATTAGGTAGGTAATGCAGAGTATAGACTGGGTCTGATGGGCTGCAGTTTGTAATATAATCTCCTTTTTGATCATATAAAAAAAAAAAAAAAGCTGTTTATTCACTGCCCATTGTTTTACATGCGGAGAAACCTGTAGAGTTACTGACATTGTAACACTTTCCACACCACGTTTCCACCCACTGTGTGTGCACCCCCCGATCTGATCTGATCAATTCTATGTAGATCATCATTTACCTTGAAACCTCCTGCAATTGTTTAAAGTATTGTAACCACTTAATCCTGGTATTGTTAGTCTAACAGGGAATGTCCATTCTGTGTTTAAACTAAGGTCCCATTGTGGGTGGAAGCAGATGGTTAGTTGGGAATCAGAAATTCCTGACAAATTTCACTTTTCCTATTAGTCTGTTATCACAGTCCTATACTAGTAAGAATCTCTCAATTAAAACAGTAACTCTGTGGGATAAAAAATATTTTAATATGTGCAAGTGGGTTTACTCTGGACCATTTTGTTAAAAAATTAGATTTTTATTTTTAAAGCTAGATAAAAATGTTTAAAAATGCTATTTATACTTTGCTTATCAGAGACCAACCATGATTTCTACTGAAAAGCATGTCATTCCCAGTCCAATCTGCTGAGTTGATAAAACCAGCCATCTTGTGTTTCTCTGTGCAGTAAAGGATGCTGGTAGATAGGTGGGGTTTTTTGTGTGTGTGTTTTATTCAAAATTATCCACTTGGCTTTGGGGAAAGGTTACTTTTCCAGTGGCAGCGGAGGAATTAAAGTGCTTGTTTTGTCAGATGTTTGGATAGTTTTGTGTAGGCAAAACAGAATATTCAAGGTTATACTATTTAAAGAAAAAATTTGGTACCATAACCACTTCATCAGAATGAAGTTGTTATGGTGCGAGAGTCCCCAGGCAATGGCTTACCCAAAGGGGGTTAAACCATTGACAAATATCTCTAGGCAGGGCTTGGGTTTGACTTATTCTTTCCCCCCCCCACATTTTACTATTTATTTATTTTAAGTAGTAAATCACTGAAACTGTGGGTAAAGGGAGGGCGGTGAACATTGGTCTGTCCACACTATTCTTTAATATTGAAAATGGCAGACTGGCCACCAAGGCCACAGGATGGACCCTGTGAGGTGACTCGTCGTGGGGAAACCAACCCTGAAAACGTAATTGAAAGGTTTGCGGCAGTCATCACAAAGTATTAACCAAATAAACAGAATGTTGGATATTACAATATAACCCAAGGCTTGCTGCCACCTTCACTTCCTGTGCTGTTTCTGTGTTTACACAGCAAGCTCGGTGCTTAATATCGTTTACATCTTAAATATAAAGAGAGAACATAATCTGTCTTAATTAACTGGGATCCTAAATAAATTAACCCCGTAAGGACACATGACATGTGTGACTTGTCACGATTCCCTTTTATTCCAGAAGTTTGGTCCTTAAGGGGTTAAAACACTTAAAATCTAACGTTTACTAGGTATGGTTTAAAAAAGTAAAGTAACCTTAGACCTCATGGATACAGGGGATAGGGAAAATATAAACAAGGGCTAACGAGATATATATATATATATACACCCCCCCCACACACACCTCTCTTCCACTGAGCTAGTTAAAGAAAAAGATACTTAGTCGTGAAGTAATGACTCCAAAAAAGTAACAATCTGAAAGTATCTAATGTGATATAGGAAAGGTTTAGATCACAGAGGGGGAGATCACCTAAATGTCTAGTTAAGTAAAACTGAACTTGTAGTGAATGCCTATCTCAAACTTCTAATGGCAAATTAAATAAAGAAAAGTGGTGCATATAGTATAGGATCTGTAGTATACGCTTATTGTGTTAAGGTTTAGCAAGAGTTTAGATCTTATTTTCAAGTAACTGTGCCAGCGACTGATGACGTGACAATTCTCGTGAATTCCAAGCTTAATGCCGAAATAGCCAATCAGGAGTCAAGATCTAAGTCCACTCTGCTTCCAGTTAGCTGCTTTTGGCCTTTAACATGAAATTCACGCTAATTCCCACTTTAGTAAATAACCCCATTAGACGTTGTGGTTTTACTATATTTAGTTACAAAGCGACGTTTGACGTTTTTTCAGATCTGTGAAATGTTTGTTCCCTACTCATCTTGACTAAATCAACAGGATGGAAATGGCTAGATTTTAGCAAGTTCAGGTTTCTAATAGGGAGCAGATATCTGGCGCGGTTATTCACACTCTCTGACTTTTTTTCAAGTTGGTGTGACGCCAGACTGGACACACAGATTTGACTCTGTCCTTAAATGTATTTTTTTTTTTTTTTTTTATTCATGAATAGGAATATTTCTATAAGGCACTAATGCCTCCACAATATGTGGTTGACCCCATGTAAAGTGAATTGACCAGGTGTCGGGCACTCTCTGTTGGAGCGGTGCCTGACATAACAGATCAGGATGCCGGGCTGCTGGCCTTGCTGCACGCATGGTCTGGGGACTCTATGTAAATCCTACTAAGGCAGACATCCAATGGTTAAACCTGTGCCCGTCTTGGTAAGATCTGCATGAGAGGGAGTTGGGGAGCCAGTAATTTCGGCAGCAGGTACCTGATATTAACGCATTGCCTGCCGCCATTATAGTGGGCCCGGAACTGAGCTGTAGGCTCAGGTTGCTATCGCTCAGAGGAATGGGAGTCCGCCACGTACCTCACAAAGTGATCATCAACGCTGCAGCAGAGAAAATGGTGCTCTGCCAACAGCCTCTGAGAGCCCTAATGGCGAGCCATTGGGCAGGCCTGTCTTTACAGACGGCTTCTTTGCTACCAGAAAAACAGGCATTGGCAACCGGGGGAGCTGTCAGACAGCCAATGACGGTGAAGCACACCACTGATTAAGGAGGACCTTAATCAGATTCATGAACAAATGCCCGAGAATCTTTTTTTAATAATAAAACGATTTCTTAATAAAAGGGGGGTGGTGGGGAACTGCAGTACTAATAATTAAAGGTGTAAGTTTACACACAACAAATAGAAAAGTGGAATTTTTTTTTTTTTAAATTAGTTTAATAAAAAAAAAAAAAAAAGATTCTTCTACTATTGCCACAAAAGCTGGGACCTGCCCTGTGGATATGCCTCCACTACCTTTTATTGCTAGAAGACCAGGAAGATTATTATTATTATTATTATTATTATTATAATACCAGGAAAGATACATTGAGATTTCTCTCGTTTAAGTATGTCCTGGGTCCACAAAACATTGCATTGTTACATTATGCTACAACAAAATACAAAAACAATATTAATACACAATAAATACAAAATGTAACGTAGAATAGGTAGTAAATGTATATTAAACCATGACAGGTGCATTCTGTTTTCAGGTATGTAGAGAGGGATCTCTTTAAAATCTTCCCTAAGCCTAAAGTCCTGTAAGTGTGCGAGAGGTCGTTCCATAATTGTGGTGCTCTGTAGGAGGAGGAGGATCAGGCTGCTTTCTTTTTGTATTAAACTGTAGACAGAGTATTTGTTAGCTGTTAATTGTGAGGGCTTGTTTTATGTAGTAGCAGTAAGCATTTGATAGCACATGTTTATAGTAGGGCTGAGGATAAAAGGTCCTATTGAAATCTCGCCCAATGGACCAAATATTTGTAATAAATAAGAGAACTGTACCATTACATGTGTCCTGCAGTACTCCAAGGCTGCTAGTAGGGGGATTTATTTTTATTACAGGGAGTTCTCCATTCTTGTTTTAAAAGGAACACTCCAGGCACCCAGACCACTTCTGCCCATTGGAGTGGTCTGGGTGCCAATTCCCACTACTCCTAACCCTGCAACTGTAATTATTGCAGTGTTTTTTTTTTATTTTTATAAACTGCAATAATTACATTGCAGGGTTAACTCCACCTCTAGTGGCTGTCTACTAGACAGCCACTAGAGGGCACTTTCTGGATCATAGCACAGGAAACCTGTGTGAGGACCTCCAGCGTCGCTCATTTCCCCATAGGAAAGCATTGAAATGCATTTTCAGTGCTTTCCTATGGGAAGCACTAATGCGCATGCACATTAGGTCTCCCCAGTAGGCGGGATCAGTCTCGCCCACCGGCCGACGCAATCACTAGGAGGAGCGGCGGAGGGAGAAGCAGCGACGTGGAACATCGTAAGTTACTGGTAAGTTACTGAAGGGGTTTTCACCCCTTCAGCAACCATGGATTAGGGAGTGGGAGGGAGAGGGGACCTGCAGTGCCAGGAAAATGGATTGTTTTCCTGGCACTGGAGTTTCCTTTAAGGATAAACTATTTTATTATGTTATTGTTTAACAGTTCCTGAACCTGTCCAGACTCCACGAGGTAGACCAGTTCCTCAATGTGGTGACCGACCTTGCTCTGTTGAACCTTCATCAAGCAACCTGGCTGATTTCCCTCCTGGACGGCCAAATCGTAGTAATATTGGGAATATCTGCGATGCAAGCCGCCAAAAACCTGTGTATGGGAGCCACAACCTTCCTCAGACTGGATTTGCCCATCTCAGCCGGCAAGGAGCTGCAATCAATGACCTGGAAGAAGGCTACGCCAAATGCTGTCAGCAGTCCAATAGACTGACCTGTGCGGAAGGTGTAGTAAGTAGTGTGTGTGTGTGTGTGTGTGTGTGTGTTCTTGAGTCTGCAACTTACCAGAGTTTCAGGAAAGAGAGTAAGTGGTTGTACGGACAGGGCTATTCATTACAGTGCCTTCTTTCAGCTAATTTAAAATTCTCAAAGTAACTAAACTATATTCTGTTATAGTGTGTGTGTGTGGTTGTTTTTTTTTTGTTTTTTTGTCTTATCTGGGACAAGAATAAGCTACTGGTTGTACTCTAACAAACTTTTTGGAGTTGTGTATAGTTATCTAGAGTAAAAGATGCCACATGTAGTGGGTCAGGATTTACCTCTAAGCACTACATCTCTGATTTACGTTTCCCCTGTCTAGTGGAAGAGTACCCTGGAAGCATTTTGTCAGGAAGAGTTCAGCGTAAAGACCAAACCTTATCATTGCTGTAAGAAACGTGGCTCCGAAAGAGAAATATGCTTCAGTTCCGATGCTCCTAACCCAAAGTACATCTTTCAGTCCATGCAAGTTCTGGTTCCAGGAATCGGAAGCGCCGACCTGCCTGCAGTAGGAAGTCCAAGAAGCTTAAAACCGTGCTTTCCTAACTCTCCAAAACGCCAGAAACGTGGCAGTGATGGTCTGCCTGACCTGTCCTTCCCACCAGGAGAACCCAAATCAAGCACCATACAGAATATCTGCAATCTGAGGAAGTTCCGACCCATTTACACCAAGAACCAGCTGCCACAAAGTTCGTTTGGCTCTTACAAACGCCAGGCACAATCCATCAGTCACCTGGAACGTGAATTCAAGAAATGCTGCAAGGATGAAAATGTGACCTGTGCGCACACTGCGGTGAGTGTTTAACTGTTACTGGGTAACATTCTGCCTCTAATATGAGAAACTAGATACTGTCACTTCGCAGAATATAACATTCCACTACTTCACCAGAATTGCTGTACGATAAGTCGGAACGTTAGCATTTCATAGTCATTCCTGGGCGTCAATAACGCTACATTCTACTACTCCCAGAGTAAACCTGCACTCTAAGAATTGTGGGAATAATTTGGGGGTGGGACAACTGCACAGATAGAAGGAATAAGAGATATTAGACAACTACCAAGTAATAAAAAAAAAATAAACTGGTGACCTGCCAAGCCCAATGGATAAACTAGAGGCATGCCTAAGTGATCCGTGGAGAACTGGATCACTTCAAAGCAGGGCTGGGCAACCTTTTGGTAATCCAGATGTTGTGGCCTACATCTCCCATAATGCTGGCAAAGCATCAGGGAAGATGGAGTCCACAACGTCTCGAGTGTCAAAGGTTGCCTATCCCTTCTATATGTTCTGTTTTACTTCCTGTATATAGATAGCAGTGATGCTGAGCAGATAGTGGTGGGAAATAGAAAGCCAAAACGGGTATCAGTTTAAATTTTATAGATCTGTTTAGAATCTCCAGCCCCTTTATTTCTAGCCTTTACACATGGTGATAGAGCTGTCTGAATTCCCTACACGGTACTAACCCTAAGTCTGGGTCTTTGATTTTATAACCCACAGTGGCAGAAAGTTCTGCAGAAGTTCTGCTCAGAGGAACGGACTGTTAAAACCAGACAAAACGAATGCTGCATGAAGCAGGACCGAGCCGCTATGCACACCTGCTTCGCAAGCCAAGCCCCTTACCCAGAGTACAACCGGGAAGTGGAGAGCGTGGATATTGGCAACGTGACTGTAGACAGCCTGCAAAAGCTCTGCGGAGGCCACAAACTCCTTACTAAACAGTAAGTACCACCCCTGCTTGGAGGCTGGCAACTGACTGCATGACATGTTCACAGGTGGATCCTGGGATCCGTTAGTTCATTTCACCTTCGCTAGTTCCTTTATTACTCCAGTAATACAGAGAATGTTTGACCCTATTTATGAAGCCTGGTGTTGGCTGGAAAAGCTAACCGTGACCCATGGTAATGTAGACTTGTGAGTGACGCGTGGCTGACTAACCCTTTCGCGGTCATCAAGGGCTCTGATCAATCCTTCTGCCTTGCACAAAGGCACTTTCGTTTGTCTGCTGTCTCACACTACACATGAGCCCTATTGCAAAATCTGTAGCTTTATCAGGATTCGGTCATGTTTGTATTCAGATTGCATTTTGTGACTCTGTAACAAATCTGCAATTTTCGAGTATACAAATTCACAAGATATTTTTGCCATTTTTAAAATGTTATATTACATTAACTGGGTATTATAACAGTTATATGGCTCATCATACATAGAGACTTTCCTTTTTAAAAAATCCTTATTGTGTATTTTACTCTGATTTGGTTAGTTAATGACTAGTAAGAACGAGGTTACTAGAATCACATATTGAAAAGTAAGGACGTGTACGGTTTAATTTGTTGCTGTATTTCATTCTATGCAGGGAGAGAAGCTGTGTCCAGAACGTTATAGGTTATGGTTTCTACGCAAACACCCCCTATACCCCTGTGCCACTGGTGTTGCTAATAGACATAGGCAGCACGGGCAAGCTATCACTTTCTCCTGTTTCTGTACCGCTTAGTTTACGCTTACAGTTATTTTAACTTTATCAATTAAGTTATATTTTAGCTCTCTTCTGAGATGATTAATTAGGGTTGCTGACAATATACAAGATCCTTAAAGTGAATGCTGTTAGACATTTTTTCATTTGCTTTTTGGAATTTTTGTATGTTTTTACTTTCTCATTAGTATATTGTATTAACAATTGACACATTATTGCTGCTGTCGGTATATTTGGCAGCATCACACTGTGCCGGCTGTGACATTAATATTAACCTATTCTGCACTTCAAGAACTGTACCATACAGAGACTGCGTATTGGACATTAACACATTGGACTCTTTTCTGTTTTAATGGTCTATCACATATGTGATTATACATTATTTTTGAGACCATACTGCATATTTTTGTAAATACATTTTCCTCCCTTTTCACTACTTAGTCCACCATCCCCCCCCCTTCTTTTATAAAGAAGACTTTTGTACAACAAGGGTGCCACCTAGTGTCCATCTATATTAATTTCTATCTTAATAGCATTTTAATATTCCGTAAAACTTGCAATTTTAAGCTAACCCTTTTTTAGGTATTAACTTTATTTAATCCATTCTATTCTTGTTTTAGAAGTTGTTTTTACTGTTCATCAGTTTTAGTATTCATTTTTACTAATTTTGTATTTTAAGAGTGTCAGAGGTATCTGTGAGTTGTTTTCCTAGTACACATAGATTTATATTATCTCTATATTACCCGCATTTCTTTTCAAAGTCTATATGGGGACTTTCTTTTACTAGTTGAGATCACCTCACTGAAAACACTTATTTTTCCCACTATCTCCACTATAAAGGGCTAGATTTATCTATCCATCCAATACATTCAGATAGCCTGCTAACGTTGTAGAGGAGTTAATGCAGTCTCTCATTGCTCTCCAAGGATGTTGGTGAAATCGTTTCATTGTTGTGCTGGTGGTTTAGACGAGGAGGGTAATGGTTTTTAGGTGGTGAGTTTGGTTTTGTCAAACCACTTAAACAATGTGACAAACAGGAAATGGTGCTCTAAGACTCCACAACAAGAAGCAGATTGAAACTCTGTAATGGTACCTCCTGCTGGCTGTGTGTAAGATACAGTACCATTCTGTGACACTGGAGAGAAATAGGTTCCTGTCAGTGGGTTAGATGACATACTGTTCTATTTTATTCCCAGGTGGAAATGTAATGGGTTTTTATTTAAATGTTACCCAGAGGAAATCTGTTTTTACCTGTTATTCTCTCATTCAGAAAGAAGATTCTGCGGTTAGCGCTGAGCCTGAGAGAGACCTGCTGTAATTTGCCCCACGATGCCTTGCAGTGCGCCAGTGAGCAGGTGAGTGAGTGGTCAGATAAGTTCTCCGCAGACCATTGTCAAACCGCGAGCTTCCAGTGGATCCCCATGTGCTATCACAAAGGGGTTTCAGAGAAAGAACTGGGAATTGTATCATTAATGCCAGTACAGCTAAGCTATAACAATCTATTTTGGTTTAAATCTTCCAATTCTCTGTTGGTGAATAAGCCCCCTAATGTTACTAGTTAGGTGGTGTATCATTGACATGTATTCACAGTATGTAGAATAATTAAAGCGTCTGTCACCCTTTCAAAAAAAAAAAAAGGTATTTCATAAAGATAGCGTGTTTATGAACCATTTACACTAACTGTAATAGAATTTTATTGAAATTAAAAAATGAGGACCAATTTATTTTTGTACAGCATGAGGATAACAAGACTGTACTAGAGATGTAGCTTCGTTATTGAGTTATAATTCCCCATCATCGCTAGTGATGGGTATAATCAAGCTGCTTCTTGCAGATCACGATACTTAGTCTATTGACATTTGGTGGATTAGGTGCCAAAGACATACTGTACCCCCAGGCCCTTGCACCCCAAGTGGCAATATCACTAACGGGGTCTTTGCAGAAATATGACAGACCCTAAAGATACCAGAGCCACTTTAACTCTTGCCGTACTGTATGTGTGTGTCTAAAGTACATGTATGGTTGTATTGGAGACACTTTGAGCACGCTGACATGTACCAGAGGGATCATGAGACTTGCCTTTACAAGAAAGTGTAGCAGAGGTAAAGGTGTTTTGTTTTCCAGGGGGTGAATAAACCATGAACTGTCAATTCTCTAGAGAATGACTATTAAGGTTAAAAGGCACAATGGGTCCAGCTTGTAGTTTAGAGTGTGGTTAGGAGAACTCTTAATAACCGTGCTGAGCTGACATAGATTGCCCATACTCCTGTAGGATAATCTGTTTATAAAAGTAAAATGTTTTTTGTTTTTCTTGTAGAAAGAGAAGTTTATAGAGATTATCTGCAGCTCCAGGAAAGCAGTGTGGAATGACGCTCAGAAATGTTGTAAGAAAAGCAATGAAGAAAAGGCAGAGTGTTTCAATTCCCACCTGCAGAATGTGGCGTTAGTCGTATCTCAGCAGAAGAAACCGGTGAAATGAGACTTACGGAGATCATTACAGGAACCCTCCTCCTGAATCCACATATACCTAGAGGTTTGGGACACGGAGGGCAAAGTGTGCACCATGACTTTATTTAGTTCACTCTCACACGGTCCGCGGTTCAGAGACCAGACTCCAACTAAACCGTTTGCATGAAGTAGTTTGACTCGTGCAAGAAATGCATCATTCTTAATGACAATCCTGACGATCCAATGGGCACTGCTTATGTTTAGCGATTTCAATGTATGGATGCATTGACCAAGGATAGAATGTGCCAGCATATTGCCAATACAGTTAGCTGGCACAGGGAACTAACCTTAATGGAGAATTCAAACACCGATACGGTCATTGAAATACCAAGAGGGTTTATGCATTGCCTGAGGAAATGGAAAACTGTTAATTCTTATTAGTTCAGTCAATATGGCCAAACATTCACCATTAGGTTTTATGAGATCTTCTGCCTTCTAATGGCATTGAAACTACTTTTTATTTCAGTCTCACTTGGAGTAAAGGCCGAAAGATCCCATTTGTTTTGATAAGTTTATCATATAAAATGGGGTAGTCTCTTTCACTCCCGTCCACATTTTTTTTTCTTTTCATTCATAGGTGAACAGGGTTTAGTCAGCAACGGCAGAGAACTGAAGATTGAATTGGAGGTTTTTTTTTCCTGGCTAGGCTATTGTAATAACTGGACTGTGCGGCTTAGAATTCGCAATGCTTTCTCTCCAAAAACCTTAAACTGAGACATACGTTTTACACACACCATTCCTCTCTACACTTTTGAAATCACCTAAAGTTTGTGTCTTCTCTCTATAATTGAAGCATCCGAATACTATTATTCTTTTAAGAAAATGTCAGGAATTAAATAACCACAAAAACAAATATTTTTGTACTTTTTTTATGAGATGTTTGAAAACCAATAAAAAAATCTATAGCCAAATTAAGAATGTGTTCTATTAGCAGATTGAGTCCTCAGACTGACCTCACTCCTTACAGCTGGTATGTGAGAAGTGATGTAGATAGAACTCTGAATATAAAGGAAGCAGTTGTGATCTTTCCTGCAGTATATTAATTCTACTATTAACTTATGGTCTATGGAGGATGGGTTAGTTAAAGGGACGGCATTGCCATAAATATTCCACTTCCATGTCATTGGACAGCTGAGGGGGAACTCTGTCCCAATATAAAAACAATAAGCAGGTTTCTCTCGAGTAGCTCTTGTATTTAGTAATGTTTTCCTTCTGAAATCCCCATTGTACAGCACTTCAGAATATGGCATAGCTATATAGTGGGTCGTAGCTCAGGTAGGGATCTTGGGGGAAGGTGAGACAGATGTCCTTTGTGTAGGACCTTTTCAAGCTTTCTATGTTGGTTAATGTAGAAGGAATTGCTGTATTCGTTCATCAATCCAGAGACTCAACGTGGCTTCCAGCGCATTCAGTGAGTTACGTGGTTTGTTTCTGTCTGCACGGAACTGTAGATAATGGAGTCACCCTGATTACAAGACAATACACAGTCAGAGACATTGAATGGAACAGAGGAGCTTCCAAACTAAAGGTGTAAACTGTACAGAATGGAACCAGGTGAGAGATGCAGATCATAATCCATTCTGCTCACTGGGGTTACTGACCGCCACATAACCCTCTGTAAGATCTATGCATTGCTGTATATAATTAAAACAACTGCAGCCATCTAGTTCAACATACAGCGAAAACTGTGAAGGAGCTGATTGGGATTTTTAAATTGCATCAACCGTGAAAGGTGCTCATAGCTACAGTTATATACTAAAGTGGAAATGGTCAGGAAATTAAAAAGAATTTCAAAGTAGCTGAACTGGCAGCAGAGCTAATGTGGAGATATTTTTTTTTTTCCTTAAATGTTACTCCAACACGTAACTTTTTGTTTCATTTTAAAGTAATAATGCCCTTTGGGAGTTGGTGGGCCCAAAACACTACAGAAAGAACTAAAATAAGGTTTTATTTGTCTGAAATCCAGCACTGAGCAAAGTCCCAGGTGCTATTTTCAAAGGGGTGTCCTATCCAATCTTTTTTCCAGCATCCTATCAAGGGCTTTTCACAGAGAAGCCTTTGATTGGAACGTTTAGCCAGCTCAGAGAAAAGAGGGAAGGGAGACACACAACTTTATCAGAATACATCAAATATGCACAGAATTACCAGTGGGCAGTCTGAAACAGAGTTCTGGGCTGTCGAGTGTGCGAGGGGTGTAACTCTGTGTAATGTTTCATCCAGATAGCTGCAGTTATAATACACTGTGCGTGGGCAGACGTGTAACCTTATACCTGCAGTTCCAACACACTTGCATACAGTACTCTATCTTGGGTTGCAACTTTAATTAGAGACACAATCTAAGCTTTTCAATGTTTGCAGAGCGAATACACCAGTTTTCTTGTGCAATGCAAGCTGTATTGGGGACATACTCACGTGTTCCGTACTGGAAGCTGGAGAGTCTGTGAATGAAGAGATTGAAATAAACATGGCATTCTGGGAAATTTAAGACACACATTCACACTATGGCATTCCTGCTAAGGTGGATCTGGGTATATCTAGCTGTGAGGTTCTGAAATGGGTTCACGGCTCCCCCTTACAGCTAAAACATTAGGTTTTAAATAAACTCCTAAACCGCTCAATGCTCCCCTGGAAAAGTAAGATGAATTAAGCAGAAATGTGTCCAGTGAATACTGTATTTTCCTTTTTACAATTACTGGGGTTTTCAGATCCTAAATAGGGAAGATTTTCATTGAAATGTTTTGTATTTAGCATGGATACCATTTCATAATACACTATGGAGGTAAGGAATGAGGAATCTGTCGTTACATAGCTGAAAAGAGATGTGTCCATCAAGTTCAGCCTTCCTCACATTTGTTTTTTGCTGTTGATCCAAAAGAAGGCAAAAAAAAACCCGGTTTGAAGCACTTCCAATTTTGCAACAAACTAGGAAAAAATGCCATTCTGGGGTCAAGAAGGAATGTCAGATTAATCATTCTCTAAAGAATTTGGATAAAACTTTCTAAAATTATTTTGTCAAAACATGGAAATCCTAAATTATCAAAAAAATTTTTTAAATATTAAAAATAAGACCATCAAAGGTTTAAATGTCATACATTGAAAAAAACTAATTTTTAGAAAGTTTTCTCCAAAAAATATTAAATAAAGGCGATGTTGGCACACTCCCGCCTAGAAGGTATTTTCCGAATGCTTTTTATGAGCTTTAAATACAGCATCAGTTATTTAATATGTTACCGTCAATGTGTCTGTCTTTATATCCTGCTTTGGTTGGAAATCTACCGTGATTACACCTTGGTAAAATACAACTTCACACTAGCTGGTGACTTGTTGATAGCCGTAAATGGTGAAAAGAAACCAATATACAGTACAATAACACTGACCTTCCTCCATAGGGCTGATCAAGATAGGGGTGTAACATATGTCCAATCTCTGAGATTCAGATTCAGAAAGACCGCATTCTGTTAAAACAAAATCAAATATAAAATGAGTACTGTGCATTGTCATTGATCTTTATAAAGCCCACTGGAAACAGAAGCAGTGTTTTATTTCCTCACTGGTCACTGGCGTCTGTGCACGATGACAAAGGAGTCTGGAAGCCACTTTATGTCTGAATAAGATGGCAGCAGTAGCAACACAAAGTATCAGCAGGAAAATGAGAATCAGTGCTGGCAACAGAATCCCATGACGGCTTTCTATGGGTAGGAAGAAGAGACATTGTATAAGCACTACGCAGAATAGAAATGACCTCGCTGTGTGTCACTACGTCTAGCTTTTCTGTACTGAGCACAGGGAACTGGGAAATAGGCACTGGTGTGGTTATTAATGAGTAGGTATTACTACACTGCATATTGGCATGCTGGGGTCGTGTGTGTGGATAATTTCCAGAGAAATAACAGCCAGTAAAGGTAAGAAGGGAGGGGGACATAATCTATATTTATTTTATTAAATAAAAAAATTAAATATTAAAAAGCCTCCCCCACACACACTACACACACTACACACACTATACACACTGCCCCACAAACACTGCCCCCCATACACACACTGTCCCCATACACACACTACCCCACAAACACTGCCCCTATATACACAATACACACACTGCACACCCATACACACACTGCCCCAAAAACACTGCCCTCATACACACACTACAAACACTGTCCCAAAAACACTGCCCCCATACACACACTACCCCACAAACACTGCCCCCATACACACACTACACACACTGCCCCACAAACATACACTGCTGCCCTCACGCACTCGCACACACACTGCACCTTTCACACACACTTCACCCCTAACACATACCACTGCTCCTATGCCCTATATCCCAGCAGAGCCCAGGTAAGTTTTCAAACTGTTCTTAAACGGTTTGACTACTTACTCTGGGATGGGATCCTGGCACTACTGGTGCCATAACTACTATACTGAGCTGTAGTGGTTATTGTGCCTGGATTATTTCTTATATAATAATAATCTACAAGTGCCCCTCCCGAGATCAGGCTCTGGATCCGCCACTGGTGTAGAAGGGAATTACTTGTAGAAGGGAGTGGAGTCAGACACTATTCCACACTCACCTGATATGTGGATGTGAGTCACATTACTCATCTTCCTTACATTATTGGTTCTGACCTCACAGCTGTAATTTCCAGCGTGTCCCACCTGAGCCACGGAAACTCGATATTTATCAGATGAACTGAATTCCTGCACTATCTGCCCATTCCTGTAGAAGGCAAATTCAAACCACGTAGCAACCAAGACTGGAGTCAGAGTACTGTTACATATCACAGTCATGTCATCGCCTTCATTAACCGGGTTCGGGATGACTTCAATGTGGGGATCGGAGAACGGCTCTAGATGAGGAAAATAAAAACATTATTACATTGCAGTTAGCATAGCTAGAGAGAGATTTAGTGCTCCCAGGTAGAGAGCAGACAATGAACATAACACTCTGCAAATATTTACAACATAAATGCACAACCTTCATTAAACACTGGAATGAATATTCAAAGCTGAATGCAAGAGCATAGTTGATTTTATGTTAATCTACAAAAGATTACTCGGGTGTCTCCACCAGATAAACTCAGAGGAAGGTTTCAGAGGAAGGTAGGGTTAATTACCTGAAGCTGTCTGTCGTGGATATCGCTATCATCTTCCTCTAATACTACTTCTGAGCCACATAATGCTGTACTTTTGTACATGTGCAAAAGCAAAGCATTGAGGTCTATGGAATCTTCCTGAATCCTCCATAGAAGACATGAGCGAGACCATGAATTAATTGATTGGACAAAAAAAGACTGCAGAGCTTTGCATTTTGTGAACCTTTGTCAATGTCAGATTTACTACAAGACAAAGTAGTTCCCACTTTCTCTGATAATATCTTTTGATTGTGTTGCAATTCCAATGACATACCACAAAGTCAGCATGAACACGTTATAAATATTATATCTTTAAGGAATACTAAGGAAAGAGAGCAGCTTTAGCGAATAAACCCTTATGTGCCATTGCCAGCTTGTTAGAGGTTTATAAATACTGGTAATAACCATCATCGTTTCCCCAGTTTTGAGTGCTCTCTGGTTCGCAGTGCGTTATATCCTTCATTACACCCCATGCACCTCTAATAATGAGGAATACAATGTAGACGATGGCCACACGGCCACATGTGGTAATTCACACTCACCTGTCATATAGACATGGTATTCGTGGCTTGTCTTCTTTACACTGTTGGTTAAAGTTTTGACTTTACAGGTATAACGTCCAGTGTCGTCCTCCTGGGTGAAGTTAACTCGGTATGTATCTGATGGTGTGAATCCCTGGACTTGCTGCCCATTTCTGTAGAAAGCAAAATGCAGCGGAGTACGTACTCTGAGCAGACTGAGAGTCGTGCTACATGTTACAGTCATATCGACTCCTTTTAGCGCTGGATCTGGGAAAACTGTAATTTCTGGAGTAGAAAAAAGATCTAAGATACAAAAAAACACAATTAATACACTTTAAATGGACAAAGTTCAAACTACTATAAACCTTCTTTTGGAAAGTTGTCAATATAAAGCTTTAGTGACACCAGCATAAATGCAAAATTATTCATTTAAACTCATTTATATATTGTAAAAATCAATTATATTACAGGACATCTACTTAGGCAACGTGTTGAAGAGCAATTGGCTTATTACGTAAACAGATTTGGGCAAAACTCGTTTTATATTGAACCAAGGTCCCAACTTTCCTTATTAGGTCAGGGAGCCCAAATCTGACACCATGAGCATGAAGAAAGCCCCTTCTCATACCGGACAGTAAACTGAGGTTATAGTTAGAACATGTATTATAGGAGTGACAAAAGTATTCGTTTTGCTGCAGTCCCTGTTTGTTTTATACAGAAGGCAATTTGCTAAAAAGTTTTTGTCAATTAGCATAAGTAACAGCAGTGCGATAGGACATACATGTCCATAGTATTAAATTAAATAATATCCTGATATACGTTCGGACTCGCAGTACTAATAAAAGACTGTGATGCAGAACACAAAGAACAGTGAAGAAGCATTAAACAAAGGCCCTACCACAGCACCCTCAAACCCTGGATAAACAGACGGGTAACAGAGATCAAGGTGACAGCCACTAGGCAGCCGCTTGAATCTGCAAATTACAAGTGGTGCAATAAATCACTGAACATTCCATTAATGCACACACTATAATCAGTGTAAAATAGGCAGTTAATATCACTGAATGCTCTGTAACTCCTTAGAACAATGATTCGCTTAGAAAATTATGTTGAAGGGTTGAGGAAGACTTAGGAACAGAATACTAACGTAAAACATTAATTTTGATGTGGTGAGTGGATGACCTTGGAGTGTGAGAAGGGGTCTAAGACTTTGACTGGACACCAGCTGTTCTCAGTGGGATATTAGTGCATTTCTATTGGTTGGCTGAATTGGTTGGACTTGGATTTGATTTAGAATATTCAGATAATGATCTGTGATTTTTTTTTTAAATGTATTTTATGTTAAGACTAAGATGCGTAGGTGACAGGGTTACTACAGTAAATTCCCTTGGTCTTAGGAAGCTGTAAAAAGCAATGTAAATAGAAGCTTTTATTACATTAGTTGTGTGAATGTTAAATGGTTTAGTGTCTAGTATGTGGTATGAATAGGTAGTTCTAGTACGGAAAAAAGAAATATAACATAGTGTAGTGTGTACACAATCGCCACTCAGTACGCAAGTTTCCAATTGGCAACTCACTATTATCCAGTTAAAACGGAGCCTTCAGAGAAACATAGAATGTGACGGCAGATAAGAACCATTCGGCCCATCTAGTCTGCCCAATTTTCTAAATACTTTCATTAGTCCCTAGTCTTATCTTATAGTTGGGATAGCCTTATGCCTATCCCACGCATGCTTAAACTCCTTTACTGTGTTAACCTCTACCACTTCAGCTGGAAGGCTATTCCATGCATCCACTACCCTCTCAGTAAAGTAATACATCCTGATATTTTTAAACCTTTGCCCCTCCTTGTCAGGAAGCTCAGCTCCCAGGTCCCTTTTACTTCCACTTCAATTCCAGGGTGGTGGGACAAAGGGAATAAAGTGCAAAGTCTATACAAAGGCCAAATGAAGGGCAAAAATAATTTATTACTACTCACATGTAGATTAAAAACCGCAAATAAAGCAGTCCTACGCATTTCGTCACCTGCAGGGACTTCCTCATGGACAAATGCTGCTGAATTTGCAATGAAGCAAAGAATGAAACATTCCCTCCCTAACCCAATCTTTTTAACCCCTTAAGGACCAAACTTCTGGAATAAAAGGGAATCATGACATGTCACACATGTCCTGTGTCCTTAAGGGGTTAAACCCCTCTTAATTACTCCAGCATCATTTCTGTAGGTTTCTAAGTGTTCTCCATGTGATTTTCGGGTTCTGCCGTTAATGCATCAGTACGTCGCATATGTGATAACGTGGTGCATGTCATGTGTGAGTTCCATTGCGGACTTGAAAGATAAGGCTTCCTTCTTCCTATCCTATTCTTCACATCATCGCATGATTCACACAATGACGTGTGCGTTCCAACTCCGATTTTTGCGTTCCAAACATGGAAGATGTTAAGAGTCGCCATCCCAACAAGTTCGTTAAATATTCATAGAATCGTGAAGAAAGGTGAAAGACTTATAAGAGGATGAAGGGAACAGAGGAATGGTGTTTAAATATTACAGATATATAAATCAAATATCAGTAATGTATAAAAATACTACTAATAAAAATAAGATAAGACATAAAAACATCTCTCAAGTCCGCAATGGAACACACATGTGATGACACGCACCACTTCATCACGTACAGGACGTGATGACGTTGTAACGGGAGCTCTTCCGGTAACCCAACCGGTTACCTCCCATTAGTTCCCTTCCTTCAGCCGATCAGGAACTCTTGAATGATTAGGGGACTTAGCTCTATGCGCTCCCAGGCCAAGACGGCACTCAGCCCTGGAAGCTCTTAGTCCTTACAAGAACTTTTCCATGTTGCATCCCCTCCATGCTGGAAGAGCAGACACAGGGTTAAATATTCCTTCCCTCCAATAACAGGACGACACACGTTTTTGAAGTTTTAAGCACTGACTGACCATCTTTATTTTGAACACACAGCCTTTATGCCCAGACCCCAGCAGGGTGTCTCCACTCAGTACAACACAATCC